ATCTTCCTCTGTTTTTTTTATTTACGAAAGGAACCAAATGGATCCCAGAACTGTGCTTGACCACGCTCTGTTCCAGTTAACACCAACCAGAACAAGGTATGTAATTGATCCCTGGAAGCCAATCCCACTGTTTTACGGTTATTTTCTCATCTGGGTAGTTAAAAAGTTTCCGACTTTTTCACCTCTCCACTGGTGGTTTTGATTCAGATGTGATTTGGTGATATTTGCTGTCGCCGGCGGTGGCGGGAGTGAGAAATTGGCATCTGGGCTTCTGGAGCCATTCGTCTGTCACTTGAAGACGGCCAGAGACCAGATTTCTAAAGGAGGCTACTCCATTATTCTCCGTCCTTCATTTCCCCCTAATTCGTCCTGGTTCACTAAGGCCACTCTTCAGCGGTAAGTTTTTCTTTCATTCTATTTTGCCCAATTCCTAAAAATCCTAATTGAAACCGTTTCGCGAGAAAGTCTTTAGTGTTCTCTAGTGGGAAATCTTAGTCCGTCTCTCCAAGCTGATTCATTTTCTTAGGATTCTGATAAGGACCGGAGATTTTGTCTGGATTCCCCTTGGCTGGAACTTAGTGCTGCTATGAATCTCGTGATTTTGTATGCTTTTGTTGTCTGGTGATTGATTTGTATTCTGCAATGGTGCCAATAACAGATTCGTTCGCTTTGTGAACACCCCAGAAGTTCTTGAGAGATTCGTGACTATTGAAAGGGAACTTGACCAGATTGAGAGTTCAGTTCAGTCCAATGAGCTCTCCAATGTTGATGCAGATGGTGAGTAGTGAATTTGGATAAAAACAAACTCAAAACATCTGATGTCAATGTGCTAATAGTAGATGTTGATTGCACTGACATAAACTGGAAATCGAGGAATGTGAGCCAACTTTACTTGGGTTTTCTCTAGATTTTGGTCACTTGTATGAAAGTTGCTTACTTGAAGCTATTTGACATTGTAGGAAATTACAAGCCAACTGCCTCGTCTAAGGTATGTCATTAGTGATAATCCGAAGGTTAGGGAATTGCTTGATGATGATTTACTCAGCCTTTACATCTATAAACTTGTCGTATTTCAGAATGGAGCTAGTGATGCTGCATCAGAGGAAAATTCAAAGTTAGTCATTTGAACTTGCGATCATCCGAAAGAATATGTTCCATGGAATCGACCTTGTAATTTGACTGCTTGTGGTTTATTAACAGGGTTCATCTTCAGCGTGCTTTGGAATCTAGGAAATCTATCCTACGCAAAGAGCAAGCTATGGCCTATGCTCGTGCATTGGTCACAGGATTCGAGCCTGACTGTATTTATGATCTTATATCTTTTGCTGATGCTTTTGGAGCTTCACGGTTAAGGTATGATTTCTGACTTATAAGGTGCATGTGGCCTTGAACGTTGACCTTTAATACATTGGTATCGTCATCATGTTAGAGGTAAGGATTTCACATCAACAGACAATATTCATCCTTTCAGGGAAGCATGCATAAACTTCATGGAGTTATGCAAGAAGAAGAATCAAGATCGACTTTGGATGGACGAAGTTGTGGCAATGCAAGCCGCTCAGATGGACTTGCCTTCTCTAAGAAGTTCCGGAATTATACTTGCAGGAGAGGAAAGTTACCCTGCCGGCCAGTTATCTGGTGGGAGATTCAATGGCTCAAATGATGCATCTGAGACAGCAACTAGTCTCGGAAGTGTTGATCTCAGCCAAGGTATAATATTTCTGGTTAAGAAATGAGAATTACTTGACCCTTAAGTGAGCTTGTGTTGATGGAAAAGTTGTTGCTGTGGAACATGCAAACCAGGAGATGGCTGATTCAAATTTACTGTTAACTATTTGATCATTGCAGATAGTGGTTTGCCACCATCAGCTGATGGCAGGGGTCAAGTGCCAGTGCATTGGGCAAATCATCATCCTCACTACATGCACAATTTTCAAGGGCCAGTTTACCAGCAGATGGGCCCATATCAAGGCTATGGTTTCCCTGGTGCACAATTTCCATCTCCATATTTTCCAGGGAACATGCAGTGGCCTCCAACTGGAGATGACAACTTTTCATCTTCGAGGAACAGAAAGAAGTCTTCTTCACATGCAGATTCAAACCGAGAAGACGATTCCCCTGGCACTGGTTCTAGCTCGGACAACGATTCAGATGACAACGAACACAATGGTAGACAGCTGTCCTCAGAGGAGAATGTCCGGAGAAAGAAGCATGGCAAGAAGAAGTCTTCAAGAAGAACAGTTGTCATCCGTAACATTAACTACATTACTTCCAAGAGAGATGGGGAAAAGGGTACTGGGGAAACATCTGATGATGAAGATGATGAGTTCATTGATGGAGAAGCTCTGAAGCAGCAGGTGGAAGATGCTGTAGGTTCTTTGGAGAGACGGAGTAAGTCAGCTTCTTCCCGTCGTCATAAGAAATCACATAACAATAATGCCTCTGACCAAGAAAACGCCAACATGAATGCGAAGAATCTAGATGGGCAAGGAAAGGACCAGTGGGGTGCCTTCCAAAGCCTTCTCTTGAAGGACAATGATGCAGACTCATCAGAATTTAAAATGGAATCTGAGAATGCAAGGAAGCAGGAAATGCTGGCAGATGATTCCTTCATTGTTAGGAACCGGGATACTGCAAGGGATGTTCAATCTCAGATCCAGAACTTTGAAGGTGGTACAAATGGTCATGGCTTATTGCTCAAGAAGGGAGATGACTCGTATGATGAGCTGTTATTTTCTAAAAAAAGTGATAAATCAGAGAATATCCACTTGCAAGCTGCAGTTTCTGATTACTCTTCCGAATCGCGATTAATCAAAGTTCAGAAAGAAGGAGATTGGTTTGCTGGAAACCAGATGGACATGGTCAACAAGAACGCCAGTGGGGACATCAACCTGTTTGATGGTGATCATATTCGAGTTGAGAAAAACAGTAACAAGGATGTTATGGCTGATGATTCATTCATGATCCAAGCCCGATCATTTGGAAATGAAGCTTCGGATTCTGTATTAAGAACCGACATAAGCATGGTGGGAGATGTGGCGGAAGTTGCTCAATGTGGTAATGGTACTCTAGATAAAGCAGAAGGATTTGGTAATTCCTGTGAGCCAGATGACCTTTTCATGGTGCTTGGGCGTGATTCGGCAGCTGATCAGCATAATATCCCTTCTTGGACCCCAGAGATAGATTATGAAAACGACATTTTATCTGCTGAAACCTACAGAAAGAGCTCTCCTGTGGAGAAAAGTGCTACTGAGGATGAAGTTGTTGCTGTCAATAAGAAGACTAATGGTAAGTCAAAAGTTGGCAGTGGACCTCTTGGCAGAAGCAAATCGGAAATTCCATCGAGGACTAAGAAACCACCTCTTGGAAGCAGAACAACTATTCCAAAGAGTAAATCCGAGAGGGTAAGTGAAGATGAAACTATTGCTTTCTTGTTTACTTTATTAGTGTAATTTATAACATGTTTGGATAGCCTAGAAAGTGGAATGCAATTTCCAATTTCATTACCTTAAGACGCATGTTCAATTATCTTATTAAAAAGAATACAATTCATTTTCGTAGTTTTAAGAATCATTTCAAACATGAGAATTGAAAATGGAACTGTATGGCTCACCTTGTGCATCTTTCTGACAATTCTTTGTCTGCTTACAAGCAGGAAGAAGAGAGTAGGAAAAGAGCGGAGGCATTAAAGCTCGAACGTCAGAAGAGAATTGCAGCGAGGAGTTCTGGCAGCAGTAATAGTCCACTGACAGCATCTAGGAGAAACTCGACTGGAACATTAAAAGAAGGGAAGCCCAAAATACAGTCTCCAAGTTCAAGCCAAGACGGTAAGAAGTCGGTTTTCAGAAGTTCTACAATTGATCGCCTTGCTGCTGCTCGGACGACACCAAAGGTGGAATCGACAACTCAATCGAAACCGAAAAGTGCAATGTCGAAAGCAAATGGCCTTCAGCAGAAGGGTTCTGCTAGATATGATAATAATAAGAAGCCCAGTGCAAAACCTGCGAAATCTGATGTCATGCAAAAGAAGAACACTGCACAGAAATCAACCGAATCATTAATTGCTGCACAAGATACTCCACCTTCTAATGACACTGCTGCCTTGAGGGAGATCAAGGAGTTGGAAAGATTACCGGAAGTGAAGAATGAAGGAAGTACTGTGAGTTTAAGTAATGGAATGGAGGGAAAAGGATGCAATGATGCTAATATTCTAGTTGAACCTTCTGCAGAAACAACTCCCTTGAAGGGTGACAGTCCAGCAACCTCAGCTCTTGCCAAAGGTGGAGAGGCTTCTTCCTTCGAGCTTATGGAGGATATTTCTGGAGTCATGATACATCCTACGCCAGAGTCACCAGATAAACAGCTGAACCAGTATGCTGTTAATATAGAAGAGGATGAGAAGAGAAATGTGCATCTAGCTTTGCCACAGCTCTCCGAGATAGAGATATCCACTCCCGCGCCTAATGAAGCAAACCCAGAACCAACTCACACAAGAAAGAAATGGAACAGTGGTGAAACCTCTCCGAAAGGCGCAAAAGGGTTCCGAAAGCTCCTCTTCTTCGCAAAGAAAGGGTAGGAACTACTACAAGGATCGATCAAGAAATGAATGGCGAAACTCAGTTGCGGAGGATCTCGATAAAATCCAGGCAATATCCTCTCCAATCCACCAAATGAGAAGAGCAAAGGAAGTAAAACCACACCGTAAATAGAAGAGTGAGTGATAGATGATTTTGTATTGGTCTTATTGGGAAATAAGGTCTGGAGCTTCGCTGACATGTTTGAAGATAAAATTGTTTTGTAAGTTGTAAGTTAAGTAGCTTCTACTCCAAGTCATAAGTTTTCATGGTGTAAAGGTTTCTGCTTCCAGGAAGGGTTTTCCTGTTTGCTTGTTTTGGGACATCGATTTTGAGTTGCATTGTTGTGATGTTGATTTTCATTCAGATTTGTTCATGTATGCACTGTAAACACCTTTACAATGATTTTGTTCATTGTTAATCTCTATCTAAACCGATTCTTTTTCTACAATAATTTGTTAGTGTACTTTTTGTTGTTCAGCAAGACAGCAACAGAAGATCACCTTCAACAAGTTAGTTGCTGTGTGGCGCCAAAGGAGTAGTAAGCTATATTCATCTGATAATATAAAAAAACCAGGTGACTCTTTCAACGAAATCCGCTGTAGCACATTGGCAATTTCAATCCTAGAAATCCGGGTTTAAATCCAGGCAGCGGAAATATATTTTTTTTTCTTCTCCAAACGTTTTTCACCAGAAAACACAGAGCATCCAAAGCAAAATGGATGATTACACAAGGAATGGGGAAAGAATTAAAAGAATGGTTGTCTCTAAAGGTTACAGCTTTACAACAGTCTAGTTTATCAAGAGAGGCTGCATTCCTGGGGAATCCCCTGTGGAAACCTCTTGTTATCGGCGCAGTAATTGTAGATCATGTAGTTCTTCTGCGCCCATTTCAGCCTCTCTTGGCCCGTGGTGTCCATCTCCTCCGACAGCCACTCGGCGGAAGAGGAATCCGGAGTCGTTGACGCTGCTGCAGAGCAAGAAGATTTGCCGTTGGTCCACACGCAGGCATTGGCATTGAAGCCGCGGTATGAGGCTGTGAATGGAGCGTTCGACCAATCCGTCTTCACCAGCCCGCCCCTCGTAGCCCAGTCGTCGGCGTTCCACAGGCTGGAGTAAATCCTCATCGGCTGATTCTTTGGGAAAGGAATGCCGTTGCTCTCCATGTTCTTGAACTCCCTGATCGGGGTGCCGTCGACTGAGAAACTGGAAAAAAAAAAAAACAGAGCAACCAAAATTAGTCTCCCGTTCACAGTAATTGCAGAGAAATTGATGGATGTTTTTGTCTCTGATTAGGCTTACATGATGCGCTGCGGGTTCCAGAGGATGGAGTAGGTGTGGAAATCGGCAGCTGGGTCGAACCACAGATGAAACTGCTGCTCTCTGTTTCCTTTCCCCTGGCTGAAGACGTTAGTGTGGAGGATGTACGGGTCGCCGCTCAAATTCCCCAAGAACTCGAAATCGATTTCATCCCAGTTCGCTCCTTTCGACGATAACTGCAACGAATTATACATAAATGTCAGCACCCGTAATCAAAATTGAATTGATGTGGCAGAGAGAGTGAATTTAGTATAGAAGAAAACAGAGCAGCTACTTACATAGTATGCAGTAACAGTTCCAGCAGAGTTGCCAGGGACGAGCTTGAGCTGCATATCAATCTTGCCGAACAGATACTCGTTCTTGGACTGGAATCCCGAGCCGGAAGCCTTGTCGAGGGAAAGAGTGAGGAGATCGCCATTGTTGAGGATCTTGCCTCTGCCGTCTCCCCAAGTGACATCGAAGTCCTGGTAGAAATTGGCAGCTGCTGAAGCAGCCACAAGCACTGTGGCGACGGCAAGAAGCAGAAAAAGTGAAGAGAAGCAAGCCATGGTGAGTTTTGAACAGAGTATGGAGTGGTTTATGTTTTCTTCTCTGTTGGGCAAATGTGAAGAAGAAGGGGAGTGTTATGGAGGAGATTTATATGCAGGTGGAGAACTCAACTGGGTAGCATTGGAGCTAAGACACAATCAATGGGATGGACGCGGAAATGGTCAAGTGGAAGGAAGCTTCTTCTTCTTCTTCGTTCCGCTCGGCTAAGCCGAAGCTGTGGACAGCTAAGAAAAAGCAAAAGTAAAGAAGTCGGCGGACGCCGGCTGCCGGACGGTGGTTTAATTTCTGCCTGCCTGGTGGCAGCTTTTTTACAGTGGGTTTGAAGCGGACCCGTTATATTCGACGCGTCTGACAGTTTGTCGTGTTGTGTAACCTCAAATTGACGGGCCTTACCGTCACAAAATAGAATGATGGGCCTTAGTTTCAGCCCAATAGGCCTCGACAGAAAGCCCAACGTCGAAATTGGGGCCGGGATAAGAATAAAGAGTTTGGTGGACGGTGAGGGTTGAGTTTCAATGTCCACCTCAATTTGACATTTGGAGTGTCTATTAACGGTGTTCACCATCGACAACAACAATGAATAATTTCTTGTTATGGATGATCACATACTGATTGGTTTTGATATGACATGTTACATCTCACATAAGTTTGATTACGAGAATAATTAGGATTTTAAATTCGTGATGCGAAGATTAATAAATATGAAAAATCGACGTCTACTGAACCCCGTTGCCTCTTTCAAAGGGCAAACAGGCCCATGAGATACGTATTGAGTTTTTTGGGCTTTTTGGTTTAGGGGTATAAGATACATCAAATGCCAAACAGGCCCATAAGATACGGCCCAATAGGCCTATGAAATGTGGCCTTCAATCACCGCACCGCTGTCGGCGGTGTTTTTGCAGACTTGCAGGATCGGAATGAGGAACAAAGGCCACGTGCCCACCTCCACCGCCGCTTCTGTTTGCTGGAAGATACTAAACGACAAACATGATATACATTGAAGAATTTGACTATTGAGATTGTGTGTTTGTGAATTCAGAATTGTGAGTGCTACCGTGCTAGCTTGCTGCTTACAACCCAGAAGGTGAGTTGTATACCCCATTTTCACTCTTAGCTCCTTGATTGGTAAACCGTCCTTCTCTATTTAGGTGAGTCCTGTGAATAATAATTATCAAGAATTTAGTACCAAAACGAAGTTTCCAACGGAAGGGGAAAGAAAGAGTAGAAAAAGAAAGAATAAATTCTTCCATCTTTCTTCTGTTTTACTCTATGTATTCATCTTTTTTTGGTGTAATATATACAAATCGTTCGTTGCACCTGCCATCCCTCTGTTTCAGCTGGACAGTATTTTTAACTGCAGGTTGGTTTTACTGTATTCTATAGAAGGGGGGGTTGAGTCGGTGGGTTTCAGAGGGAGAGAGAGAGCGAGCAAGATCTTGAGTTGGTTGCTGAAGGAAGCTCGCTCGCTCGTCTGCATCGATGGCTTCTAAACTTGTGTTGATCATCGTCTTCATCTTTGATCTCATTGCCTTCGGCCTCGCTGTAGCTGCTGAGCAGAGGCGAACCACTGTGAGCTTCCTTCTCCCTCGCTTTCTGAACCCTTTGAACTTGTTTTCCCCTATTTTGATCTTTCATTTTACCTGTACGCGTTATGTATGCATTTATGGCATCTGGGTTTCGGTTCCCGTAGCTAAAGGTGAAAACTTTGTGTTTTGGAGCTGAAAGTTTCGCTCCGTGGTTCCAGAAACCGTAGAAATTTAGGAAGTTAATGTTTTCCCCTTTTGCAGGTTGGTGAAGTGAAACCTTATTACCCTTTCAGCTCTTTTTTCTAGGTTTCGTTGTTCTTTTTGCCCTCTGCATTGATGATTGATGAGTTGTAGTCGAACTTTGCCTGATTTTTCTTGGTAACAATGGGTGGTCATTGGACACTCAGATCTCGAGGGATTTTGTGTGTTTTCGGCCTTTTCAGTGCAACAGATGGCAAGTAAATTTGGGGGCTCTATGGAAGAAAATAGATTGCCTGATCTGCGGCCTGAAACACCAGATCTGTACTCATGATCTCTGCATCTGGCAAATGAACCCGTGATTCTTAGAATGGAACTCGTGTCTTGATCTCTGACATCCGTGTCCATGGCAAGGATTTCTGTAAGGTCGACTAGTGATTGACATTGCCCATTAGAATCAGTTTGTCTAGCTGGCCAATTGTTAGTCAACTGTCATATCTAACGAATCTAAGGAAGGGGATTCCCTCCTTTGTTCTCCAGCCATGGAAATACGTTGTCAAACTTTTGTTACTTGGATTCGTTTGCCTGGTGTCAAAAGTAAAACTTTAGGAACCAGTTGCTTAACTTAGACAAACAGCCAAGTTGATCGATCTGAATGCCAGGAATGCTGTGTTGTTGATTGGTATAGGCTTTTAACGTCAAATAACTGGAAGCATACTCTCTAACCAGTGTTGAGGTATTAACAAGCTGTTGGTGGGTTTGATTATAGGCTAAAATCACAGCAGATCAAGAGAAGGACTACAACTACTGTGTATATGACTCTGACATCGCAACCGGTTTTGGCGTGGGAGCATTCTTGTTCCTTTTGGCCAGCCAAGTCCTGATAATGGTAGCAAGCAAATGTTTCTGCTGTGGGAGGGCCATGAACCCTAGTGGCTCCAGGGCCTGTGCAGTCATGCTCTTCCTAATCTGCTGGTGTGTTCACCACCTATCCCTTAAGCTGCAAAACATAAGGAAAATCCATTTATTCTATTGAACGTTGCTTGAAAACACTTTGCAAATTGTATTCTTCCTTTCTCAGGTTGTTCTTCCTTGTGGCGGAGGCCTGCTTGCTGGCGGGTTCGGTGAGGAACGCCTACCACACCAAGTACAGGAGCAACAGGGCTATCTTTGGTGCCGACCCACCGACTTGCCAGACCCTGAGGAAGGGAGTTTTCGCGGCTGGAGCAGCTTTCACCCTGTTCACAGCCATCGTCTCCGAGTTCTACTATGTTTCATACTCCAAGGCCAGAGGTGGTGGCTCCAACCAGTATGGCAGAGAAACTGGAGTTGGGATGGGTACCTACAAATGAGTCTAGCCTTTAAATATATACTGTTTACATATATGACTGCTTCCACAGACTTGTGATATGGGCTTTCAGATTGAATTGATATGTGTATCAGAACGCTCTTGATGTAGTTGTTGGTAGGTTGTGTATTTTTAAGTCTCATGTTCATGATTTGTTTCTCCTCCATGGCCATGTCCACAATTCTTTCTGGTCTGTGTTGTAGTAATTTGCAAATAACTGATGAGTTTGTGTTCTTCTGCAAATGCCTTTCTTCCTTTAGCAAGTGTTTTCTCGTGAGCGTGCTGGTGGTGGGGAAAGCTGGAACTATGATGAGAAACTGATGTTTCACCAACTTAGGTTAGGCTGTCTAACCTAAACGTATATTCAAAATCACTGGAAATCAGCTCGTGGTTTGAAAAGTAGGGGTGAAAATATTGTGCGAGGTTGAAGGGAATAATTGTTTGGAAGTCAAATTATGGGCTTTTCAGAGTCAAGGAGACGAAATTATGACTTTGAGGGTTCAGAGACTGCATCAAGTTATTGCCCCATGCAGTGTGTTGGTACATCTGGTTGGAGAGAAATAATAGGATTTTCAGGGATGTGGAGTCCTCCCCAAAAGAGATTGGACAGAAGATTGTTCTTATAGTTGGACGATGGTTACGAGCTCTTAGTCGCATCTCAGATAGACGCTTCCACCAATGGATGGCGATCGGGACGAAGCACCTCATTTGACCCTCACGTTCTTTCTTCTTTTTATTCTCGAGTTGGTTGTTTTTTTTTTCTTTCTTTTGCTTATTTTTTGGGTTAATACCTTATTTTGGCCCGAACTATGCCCATATAATCAACTTTGGCCCGTGGTTTCAGAAATTAACATCCTGGCCTCAACTATGCAGCATATAGACTCAATTGGCCCGACACATAGTTTGACCGTCAATTTGGACGGTCAACTCCGTTGACCGTTAGTCAACACGCCATGTCATTGCCTAGTCAGCCTAAAAGTCATTAAAAAATTATTTATTATCAAATTAACCAAAAATAAATTATAAAAAACATAAAATAAATTTATTTTTTATTTTTTGGATAATTTGATAATGATAAATTTTATAAACTAACCAAAAATTATCAAATTATTTTATATTTTTAAAACTTCCCAAAAAATATAATTTATATAATAATTTTTAAATTTATAAAATTTAATTTGATAATTTTGGTTAATTTATCATTTTCAAATATCCCAAAAAAATTGCTTTATATTTTTAGAATTTTATTTTTTGGTTAATTGGAAAATGATAAATAATAGAAATTAGAAAAATAATTTGAATTTGAATTTTTTAATGATTTTTATGCTAACTAGGCAATGCCATGGCATGTTGACTAACGGTCAATGGAGTTGACCGTCCAAATTGACGGTCAAACTATGTGTCGGGCCAATTGAGTCTATATGCTGCATAGTTGAGGCCATGATGTTAATTTTTGAAACCACGGGCCAAAGTTGATTATATGGTCATAGTTCGGGCCAAAATAAGATATTAACCCTAATTTTTTTTGTTTTGTTTTGTTTTTTTCATTGCTTGCTTGCTCTACTAATGGTTGAGCTGCTGACTTTTTATTTTTTACCTTTGTACTTTCATGGATTGGTTAGTTTCTTATAATATTCTCATCATTCTTCAAAAAAGAAATTATGACTTTGAGGTTTGTAACGTTTAACCTTCTCTTTCGAAGGACTTTATTATAATATGATTTAAGTCAAAATCGTGCTGGAGGTTGAATTACAATCGACATTTTATTAGCCGAACTCGATTTTAGGTCGCTAAACTCATTGACAAGTCGAACTCGAGCTTTTGTTTTTGGAAACGAGGCAAATCCAAACTTACCTACTAAATTCGTGTGTCAAACTAGAATCGATTTTAACAAACCGAACCAGACCTATAGCAAAGCTCGGAGCCCTACCCAAACAAATAGAAATATAGAATGGTTGACCGATGATTCATCCATCAGCGGGGGTTGTCGGTTGTTGAAAAGTCAACGGCGTATATTGCTTCTGCAGTTCTGCATCAGACGAAAGAAGAACGGATCGATATTAGTACACAATCATCATCGAGTCCACTACACAGGAAAAAATCAGATAATGGCGTCCACGATGCTGTTCATGGCGGTGCTTGCTCTCGAATTCGTTTCTTTCCTGCTCGCTCTGACGGCTGAGCAGACCCGAAGTCGGGTAATCGCCGCCTTCCCTTCTCCAATCGTCTTTTATCTCCCCCCAACTCTCAGCAACGATCTTGACTTCAATTTGTTTTTTTTTTTTAACTCTTTCAATTTGAATCAAAATTTCAGGCTACGGTTGTGGTTGACACCAATTGCGACTACACCCACTGCGTCTACGATTCCAACATCGCGACGATCTTGGGATCCGCCGCCTTCGGCTTGCTACTCGCCGGTCAATTCCTCACCTGCTTCTTCCTCTCCGGAAAGGCTTCCGACAACAAGCGCCGCTGCTGTGCAGCCATTTCCGCCGCGATCTGCTGGTGAGTTGTGATAAATTGGATCTTGTTTGATGATAAACAATCCATCGGGTTAGAATTAGAAAAAACTTAAATCGATTCTCACGCAGGATTGCATTTTTGGGGGCGGAGGCCTGTTTGCTGGCGGGTTCAGTGAAGAACGCACAGAGGACCAAATACAGGTTCTTGTACATGGCGGGAGATCCTCACTGCGAGACTCTGAGATCTGGGGTTTTCCAGAGTGGAGCGATTCTGATTATGATCTCCAGCTTCGCTTCTAAGACGAACGTCTGGTGGTCGGAGACGGAGGAAGGCGCCGGTGCCGGCGATGGCTGCGGCGGCGACTTGGGAGCCTATACTCCGCTCTAAACTCCAACCGGCGTACAGTTTCTATACGGTGTCGTTTTTTTCACATGTGGTCGTCCAGCTGTATCCTATGAATAAGTAGTGAAGCGCACGTTCCCCATTAAGAAATTATTAAAATGACGCCGTTCCGTGTTGACTCCTTAATTGGGTTTCACGTTTGAATTAGTTACTTACCTTTTGTATGGGCCTCACGTTATATTTAACAATAAATTAACTCAGGTTTTTCTTCTGGAAATAAATAAATGATCCATAATTATTTTCCTGATATGATGTTAATTATGTAGGCCACCAATGATGAGCTTAATTAAATTGAGCGGGCTTTCTCATGATTCTAGCTCTGCTGGCAATAAGCCCAGGCCCATGGGCCACGAAATGATGGTCTTAGTGTCAGCCGCAACCATCCTTCTTCTTCTATAGCTTTGTAATCCAAAATCTCGTCTCCTAGTCATGAAAGATGTCATACGTGTTAAAACTCAATATGGATCAAGGCGATTAGAATCGTAACTTATATCCTACACACAGAGTTATAACTTTCATTTTTTTCCTGTCGAATACGTCCCGTTAACTTTTCCATCACAACCAACAAGAAAATATAACAAGACATCTGTAGACGGTCAAAAGTATGCAATAAATGTACTCTAGTAATCACGTCGATGACTCTCCTCTGAATTCCAATTAGTTTTGATTTCTAAAAGTCGTAACGAGCCACGTGAAAACGAGTACGATACAGAACAAAAGAGGAAGAAACCATGACCCTGGAAGTAACTTGGTTTACTTGAGCACTTTTCCCCATTCTGAAACGTGAATTTTTAACTAACCGAAAGGGGAGAAACCAACATTACTTCCTTATCTCTTCATTGTTTACCCCTTTTCCACCTTTCTTCAGTAATGGCCAGGGAAAGGTAAAAGAAACAGAGCCCCCATCCATGGCAGATTCACAGCTCGGAGAAAAAAAAAAGAGGAAAGAAGAACAAGAGGGCCAAGAAAAGAGAAACAAGGAAACAAGGTAAAGCCGGCAACGTCCCAAGAATCAATCATAGTTAAGACAGAACCAGCCCCAAAAGCAAAATAAAATAAAATAAAATAATTGGTAATAAATAAATAAATAAAAAGAAAACAAGAACAGACCAGACTCCCACACACGATCCCTCTCTCTCTCTCTCTCTCGCCATCCTTCCTTCCTTCCTCCACCGGCAGCAGCCAGCGACGCCATTATCTATAATCTCCCCTTCTTTCAGCATAGGGCTCCGTTCCCTTTGCTCCCTCTTCTCTCCGATCTCCTCTCACAAGGAATCTTCCACCCCCGGAAAGCAAGATTCTCGGGATTTCGATTTCGGAAGGCGGAGTGAAACCGAAATGCCCGGAGGATTGAGCTAGATGACTCTCTCAAGTCTCGACTCCCGCCGCCCGCCGCCGAGAGAGGAGGAGACTAGGCGATGAATGTAGAACGCGACGGCAGAGGGAACAGCAGAATCAGCAAGGAATCCCTCGGCGGCGGCGGCGGCGGCGGTGGTGGTGGTTGCGAGGATGACGATGAGGAAGGCGAGCGGTTCTACGAGTCGCTGGATCGCATTGCTTCCTCTTCCTGCTCCTGCTCCTGCTCCACTTCCAATTCCGACTCCGATCCCGACCCTCCCATCCCTTCCTTCTCCACCAGCAATTCCGCCACCAAATCTCGATTCGGCTTCTCGTCTTCCAACTACGACGTCTGGATCTCCGAGCCGTCGTCCGTGTCCGAGCGCCGCCACCGGCTCTTCAGCCAGATGGGGCTCTCTTCCGAGGAGTCTTCTTCCTCCCTGTCCCGCCGCCAGCCCGACGAAAGGTGTGTTGATTTGAACTTCGATCATTTCCCGCCCCGCCGCTTGGCTTCCAGGAATGCTGGGGTGTCCCGGTCGAAATCTGACGGTGGTGCGGATCGCCGAGATGGTGACAGTGACGGCGGTGACACAACTTGTAATGATGATTTCAATTCCTGCTCCTCCTTTTCCTCATGTTCTTCGTATTCGTCTTTGGTGTCTGTTTATTCTGCTTCAACGATTCTTTCCGACGATTTGATTGATGTAAATAGCTGTAACAACAACAACAATCACAATGACAAGACATTAGTAGTTGCCAATGGTAAGAAGAAGAAGAATGGATTTGTCGTTGGTGGGGGCGCAAGGAACGCGAATCTTTGTTCCCCGCAGCATTCTGATGTTTCCCCTAGTAAGCCCCCTTCTGGTAAACATGGCAGGAGTGTGGATTTGAATAGGAGCTGGTCGAACACGAGCATTGCGGAGCTCATGGAGGGATTGGATGGTAATGGGAATGATAGTGGATCGGCAGAGGTAACGCAGGCCTGTACGATTAAGAATCTTGATACCGGGAAAGAGTTTGTCGTTAACGAAGTCAGGGAAGATGGGGCGTGCAACAGGTTGAAAGAAGTGGGGACTGGGAGGCAGTTGACAATGGAGGAATTCGAAATGACGGTGGGTCATTCACCAATCGTGCAAGAGCTAATGAGGAGGCAGAATGTTGAGGATGGTGGTAGGGAAAATCATGATCCTGGTGCCAATGGTGGCATTGGAGCTGGAGGGTCGAAGCCGAAGAAGAAGAGCAGTTGGTTCAGAAGTATAAAAAACGTGGCAAGCAGTGTGAAAGGTCATAAGGAGAGGAGGAGTAGCGATGAGAAGGATACGGGATCGGAGAGAGGAGGGAGGAGGTCGAGTTCTGCTACAGATGATAGCCAGGATGCTTCATTTCACGGACCAGAAAGAGTGCGAGTAAAGCAATATGGCAAGTCATTTAAAGATCTGACTGCGCTTTACAAGACGCAGGAGATTCAGGGGCATACTGGCTCAATTTGGGCTATTAAGTTTAGTTTGGATGGTAGATATTTGGCAAGTGCAGGTGAGGACTGTGTGATCCATGTTTGGCAGGTGGTGGAAACAGAAAGGAAAGGAGAGTTGTTGCTTGAAAAGCCAGAGGATGCGAACTTTAATCTCTTAGTAACAGTAAATGGGTCTCCTGAACCTATGTTCTTGTCAACTTCTGCTGATGGTCATAATGAAAGGAGGAGAAGAGCGAGGTCATCTATAAGCAGGAAATCTGTGAGCTTGGAACACATCATCGTTCCCGAAACTGTGTTTGCACTTTCAGATAAACCTTTTTGCACATTTGAAGGGCATCTTGGTGATGTCCTCGACTTATCATGGTCCAAGTCTCAGGTTGGTAACTACTCCATGAAATGAAACTTGCTTGTTCTCTTCTAGCAGCCACATCTTATCATTTTTCATTCAATATCTTACTTGGCTATCTCTTCTCTGGTTTCATATGGTCAAGAACCGTGGTTTTGCTTCTACTCCCTAGCTATGCCATAGATTCATGGCAGCGCTCATTTGAATACATTGTGAACATCTATTATAGTGTTTTGTGTGTATCCAGGATAAGTTTGTTTCTAAGAGATAATTCTTACGGATACTGCGTTAAAATCAGTCATCTTTGATACTTCTGTTCTATGTAAAGTTAAGACCAGTTAACACGTCTGTGCTACTGTGAACTTGAATTTCTAAGTTTAGGACTGAATGATATAATAGATTCTTCTGAAGGATGCTGATATAGTTCTGTTTACTGGACTCCAGCACCTGCTTTCTTCTTCAATGGACAAAACGGTGCGCCTCTGGCACTTGTCTAGCAAGACTTGTTTGAAGATATTCTCACACAGTGACTATGGTAATATTTATTTCTCCTTCGTCATAAAGATGGGTATACAGATTTTATACACCTTTGATGCTAACTTATTCTAGGTTTGAGGTGGCTTTAAGTTCTACCCAAACAAATAAGGGTTGAAGTTTACCATTTTCTGTTAGAGTGATAATGGTGTAAAGTGATTAGGAATGGGCTTTTGAATATAGTTGTCATGTAGAAGCTAAAACCAAGGAAGGAATATTTTGATTTTGTTACATTTTGGAACCCTTTCCTTTCTTTGAATGAACTTATTAGCCATGTCTCATGTTATGCTACTCTGGATTTTCAATTGCCAGTTACTTGCATCCAATTCAATCCGGTTGATGATAGCTACTTCATTAGTGGGTCACTAGATTCAAAGGTTCGCATATGGAGTATTCCCGATCGTCAAGTTGTTGACTGGAATGATGTACATGAGATCGTCACTGCAGCTTGCTACACTCCAGATGGTCAGGTAGGGCCAGAAGTAATGTATACCTTGTCCAGATTTTAACATCTTTCGGGATTCTAAATGGAAAGTTCCTCTTTGCATGTGAAGGGTGCACTTGTTGGTTCGTATAAGGGAGGCTGTCGGCTCTACAATACATCTGGTACAAATCGATTTAATTACTATCTTGTTGACAGTTGGGTTCTGCTAACTGCTAATACTTATATGGCCTTCCATTTCAGAGAATAAGTTGCAGCAAAAATCTCAAGTCAATCTACAAAACAAAAAGAAGAAATCTCACCTGAAGAAAATTACTGGGTTCCAGGTAATGTTTACCCTTCTATGTAACTCCTCGGTTGATGGCAAGTTGACCAGATGGAGGGGCATTGTTCTTTTACCGGCTGATTTCCTCTTGTTATGTTCTTCTTTAGTTCGAGTCTTTGTGCATCATTGCAACCTGATTTCTGCAAGTCAGAACCAGTAATCTTCAGATTCCTACCACTGATTTGTGGTTTGTTTGTTTTGAATAGTTTTTGCCGGGAAGCTCATCTGAAGTGCTCATCACCTCAGCAGATTCTCGGATACGAGTCGTTGATCGCACTGATTTGGTTCACAAGTTCAAAGGTAAATAAATGGTTCAGAGACCTTTGTGAGTATGATATGGACCAACTGATGTGTGATCATGGTTCTTTTTTCTATATTTGTTTTGTTCAATAGGTAATGTTCAATTTGAGTTTTGAACCTATGTTGGCTCGATAATTTTTAGTTCTCCTATTATGCTAGACCAGGTGGTGAAAATATATTAATCCTTAGTCAGCTCGCCGATGGAAATGACTGAATCTCAAAGGCATTTGAACTTTTGATTAGACGAGTCTTGTTTTAACGGAGGTGATAGTTGGCTAAATAGGTGGCCATTTTTCTTGTGGCACACTCTAATTATTGATTTTGAGACTCAAATTGCTTGCAGGGTTTCGGAATACAAACAGTCAAATCTCAGCCTCCCTCGCAGCAAACGGCAAGTTCGTCGTCTCAGCGAGCGAGGACTCGTACGTCTACGTATGGAAGCACGAGGCAGATTCGCGGCTGACCAGGAGCAAAGGCGTCACCGTCACACGGTCGTACGAGCATTTCCACTGCCAAGATGTCTCTGTAGCCATCCCTTGGCCCGGAGCAGCCAGCTCCGACGACACCTGGGGAGGAGGAGGACACCTAGCAACACCCGGCGTCGATATCCATCTCGAAGACATCCCCACCTCCCTCGCCAACAACCATCCTCCAACACCCGTGGAGGAACCAAGCAGTAGGAGCGACGATCGCTCCCAGTCACTGCCTGGTGGTGGCGCCGCTGCCACCACCAGCAGCCCACTGAACGGAATCATCTCCAGCGCCACGAACGGTTACTTCTTCGACAGGATATCGGCTACTTGGCCAGAGGAGAAGCTGAATGCAGCTGCTGCTAGGGCACGGAGCCCTCGAACCAGCGTGGACGTGAGCAACGGGCTGATCAACCAGAACATGTCAGCAGCTTACGGGATGGTGATTGTTACTGCTGGCCTGAGAGGGGAGATTCGAACTTACCAGAACTTCGGCCTGCCAGTTCGAATCTGACGTGGAAGTCAAGGAAGCAAAGTACAGTCCGGTGAGGCAGCAGGTGTACAGGGAGGGAGGGGATTGTTTTGATGAGATTTGTGCAGGAATTTTCAGGCGGGAGGTGGTCGATTTTTTCATTTTTTTCTGTTCTTCTTGGTGGGTTATGTCTTTTTGTTTTTGTTACTGGTTTTGGTGCTTGTTGGAAGTTGGAGATGGGTACAAGATTTAGGTAAGCCATTTTCGACTGAAACAACGTAAAGAAGGAAAAGAAGAGTGGGGAAGAAACAACGTAAAGAAGGAAAAGAAGTCAGGATGGAAACTACACCGTGAATTTTTTAGAAACCAAGCCAAAATTGTAAGTGTTTGGGGGAATTTGTAGAGTTGAGTTCATTACAAAAATGAAAATTCGTTCACATTCTTTTTCTGGATATGGTGTTATTGTGTTTCTGGATATGGGTGCGTGGGAGCATATCGATCGATATCGTTATATCATCCTTCTGTTCTCAGCTGGCTGATCCCATTTTTTGTGGAACAACGTACTATTGTAAAAAATTACGAGGTGGGAAAATGTTGTAAATTGTGAAAGCAAAACATTATTACTGTTTAACAGTCAATAAAAAGTTGATTCGCAAATTGTTATCAATAATCCGTTGTAGCTGGTGAAAAATTAATGACAAACTAAATCGTTCCTCGCATATTTAACAAGCAACTAGATTAATCTATGTTATCTTTATGATAAATTTCGAGAGGAACAACGAAGGAACAAAAGAAATTAGGTTTATGTTTTACTTAACAAGGATACAGGTAATTTTTTTCGGGTGGGAGATTTTTCTATTATATAGTTTGAGCATGTACGCAAATGCATCTTAAATTCTTTGGGCAAAGTTAACAACACAGGTCAAAAGAGGATATTTGATAAGATGTGATTTGAATTAAACCACACGACTCCTGTGAATACACACCTTAACTTCTCTGGACAAAGGTTAACAACACGGGAGCAGATAGTATAACAACAGCTCCTTTGTTGTTATGGTAACAACAGAATTCATTAAGGGTAATAGGGTAATTTAACATAAAAAAATAAAAAAAAATATTTAATCCATCTCCGTGCCGTGATTTTTCCTTTCCCGAATTCAGGGCTTTCTACCAGATCTTCCCTTACGGCCGATTCGCTCACTTCGCCGCCAATTCGGCCATGGTCGAGTCGATTCCGGCAGACGCCGAGACCGTCCACATCGTCGATTTCGACGTCGGGGAAGGCGTCCAGTCACCAGTGGCCGCCGGTGATCGAGGCTCTGGCTCGCCTCGGGAAGAAGGTCAATCTGACCGTCGTAGATTGGGAATCGCAAGCCACGGGAACGGATCAGGACTCCGATTGGGCGCCGGCGATGTGGAACCTGGAGGAGGTGAAGAGGCGGACCATTCTTGCCGGGTCGGGTCGAACGCGATCATCGAATCAACCCAAATCGAAGATTTGGCAGGGGGAATCAGGGGAGCAAAGCGCGCGAGCGCATCTTGTTCTGCTTGTTTGTTCATTTCTGGTTGAAAGTGGAGAAGAGAATCCGATAATTTTCTTCCGTCTTTCATTTTCAACGTTGCCGCTAATTGTTTATCGACTACATTGACAGAAAGTAACAATGTTGAGAAAATTTTCTCGAGAAAATTGGTAGGCTATATGCTGATCAGTTATCAGTTTACATCACCTGCCGTATATACTGAAGTTCTCATTTCTAGGAATTAACGGAAGTTTTACCTGTTAGTTTCTTCTATGAGTTTGCTAACCCTCGGCTGCGAAGCTAAACACACAATGCCTTGGGCAATGGCCGCGTAAGTTTCTTGTTCCTCTTAGAGAACTGATACTGCTCTGTTTTACCTTTTGTCTTACTAGGGAAGAGCTCTCAGGTTCCGCAGTTTCTCCTGGAGCAAGACATGGCTCCTGTTCTATGCACACAGCCGAGGAGATTTACTGTTGTTGCTGTGGCAAAAATGGTTGCGCAAGCTCGTAACTGTGAGCTGGGAGGAGAGGTTGGATATCACATAGGCCATTCAAAGGTCTTATCAACCACGTAAGAATAAATGGCGCGTGTTCAATTGTATGGTGGGGCTTCCGCCCATGAGGAGGGTGAGGAGCAGGAAATTGGTGGAGGAATTCCTGACGACGGCGAACGAGTTGGTGGCCGAGTCGGGGAGAGGGATGGTGACTCGGGGAGACGGGGAAGCTTGGGAGCATTTGAAGGGTTGCTCTGGGTTCGGATCCTTTTTGAAGATAACATGGTCTATTACAGGTCCTTGTTGGAGTCAATTGAGCTGAATTTCCCGGAGCTGGCGGAGGCGAGGATGGCGCTGGAATGTCTGTTCGTGGCGCCGTTCATATCGTCGGAGGCGTGGTTCCTAAAGTTTATCAATTTTTTTTTGTTTTATGATGTATCAGAAGCATCCTAATGTAGAATATAAGTCTCGTGAATCAAAACGGAAACACCACAAAGTGAGCCATAAATATTTTTAAATCGCACCAAAAACCTTATTATACAAACCATAACTCTCCTAAAACAAACCAAAAACACCACAAAGCACACCAGAAACTTCATAAAACAAACTACAAACACGGTAAAACAAACCATAAAAAAACATACCAAAAACCTCCCAATGCATGCCACAAATTCCCTAAAACAAACCAGAAACACCACAAACCAAACCACAAATATTTTGAAAGCACACCAGAAAACTCATAATGCAAACCATAAACACCGTAAAGTAAACCACAAAAACAAACCAGAAACGTCCTAATGCAGACCAAAAATATATTAAAACAAACCAGAAACCTCACAAAGCAAACCACAGAATTTTAAAAAACACACCAGAAACCTCATAATTCAAACCACAAACACGTTAAAGCAAACCACAAAAACAAACCAGAAACCTCCTAATGCATACCACAAATCCCCTAAAACAAACCAGAAACCTTCTAATGCAAACCACAAAGTTTTCGAAAGCAAACCAGAAACCTCACAATGCAAACCACAAACACGATAAAGCAAACCAGAAACTTCTTAATGCAAACCACAAAAGGCATACAAAAATATGAGAAACCAAACCATAAATCTCACAATGCAGACCATAACATCCGGCGGTCGTTGACCGGTCAACGAAGACCGTTGACCGGTCAACGAAGACCGTTGACCGAACTCCGGTGACCGTCAGTGAGTAGATTCCGGCGCCGATAAGCATATTCCGGCCCCGATGACCAGATTCCGACGCCGATAAGCATATTCCGACCACGGTGAGCATATTTCGACGCCGGTAAGCATATTCCGGCGAAAAATAGCATATTCCGGCGACAAAAAAGCATATTCCGGTGACCGTCGACCAGATTCCGGCGACAGGTGGCCGAATTCCGGCGACCAAAATTTTGGTTTATTTTTTATTTTTTTATTATTATTTAAACATATTTTTCATAATGACAATTATACCCCTGTTTTGATTTTACACTAGGTCAACTCATCTTATAAAAAGTCATCATAATCCTAGCTTCCTATTGGTTGGAGGCTAGTGTTGTTACAATAACAACACAAAGGGTGTTGTTATAGTATCTAGTCCCTAACAACACGATTCAAACGAAGACATTTGACAATATGATATTTAAATTAAATCACACGTACCACTCCTGTGAAGATTCCTTGCGACTTTTGCCTCCATGTTGTAACCTTGACCATCATGTTTCCCTCTTGCAAATTTACTAATTTAGTCTCCTAAGCTGAATAATATTGTAAAAATATGAGACTGTAGTTGATCAATTCAGGAAGATCAGGTACTATAAGGTAAAATTGCCTTCTGCCATGGGCCACGAGCCCACGAGTCCATGACATGAGATCAAAAGAATTCCTTCCAAATTATTTTACTTTTTTTCTTTCTTGGGATTATTTTATGATGTATTTCTGTCTCTTCTTCTCCTCTACCTTCGTCGTCCTCCTCCCACCTTCCCCTTTAAATCCACTTTTTGAAATCTTTTTCAAGGTCTCTCCTTTCCTTTTTTCTCTCACGAGCTCTCTGTGATAGCGTGGAAAGCTTGCCAGTAGTAGGTTTCACTCCTGGATTACGTCTACGATTCCATTGCTCACGCAGCTCATTGCACGAATTCCCCCACCCCTTGCATTTGGGATAAATGTACGCTAATCAACTGTTACTCTAACTGCTACTGCTGCTTACACATCGCCATTTCTGAGCAAGTAAGTTCTCTGAGAATCGAAAGACCCAATAGCACACTGCAGCAGCCGCGAGCTTCCCGGCTCCTCTATGGTGGGTTTTCTCTTTTTTCGAGTGTTTCCCTTTTGTTTTATTTTGCTTTTCTATAGAGACAAAGACAACTTGCTGAAAACAAAGGGGGATGGATATTGTCCTGCTTTTTTGGGGTTTTATTGGGAAGCTTTCTTGTGAAGCGATTCGCGTTGAACGTGATCCTGTTCATTCCTCATCTTCCCTGATTTCCCCTACTGCTGCTTCGGGCTCACGGTTTCTTTTTACCTCCTCCACAGCCTGGCGAGATGTGGAAGGTGTTTCGGGCTTGTATCGGCGGACATCGATGATAAATTGATCTCTGGGATCTGGGTATTTCTATGATTCGAGGAATCTGGGGGCTTTAGTGTCTAATGGAGGATATTGGGCTGTTTAAGCAAGCATGGCAGTGGCTGCAAATGCAGAAGCACACTTGCTCGCGGGTCAGAACTGCAGCAGGGTGTGTGAGAGAGAGGGCTGGTGTCCTTATAGACCGACATTGGCCGACGGTGTGTGGCGGGTTTGCCAGATTTGGGAAGTTGATAATTTTCTTGTTGATATATTGGAGAGAATGCTTTGTCAAGGGTTTCCTATCGGTTCTGCAACTGGGCTCGGCAGCTCTGCTTCTTATTATGTGGAGTTGCTTTCTTAGTCTCACATCAATATCATGCTTGATTTACGTACTGGTTAGCATGGTATGGCCCTTCCTTTTCCAGTCTTTTTCTCAGCTTTCCCATGATGATGAAGTGTTGAACTTGTAGCAAATGAGCATCTATGAAGTTGGGCATGTTCATTGTCAAGAACATCTTTTTATTGTGGATAAGTTACTAGTAGTAGGACTGTTGGTCCGTGGAAAGAGAGTCAGCGTTTGCATTTGTCAGGGTTAGGTGCTAGGCCTTTCATCTCTTGTTCTGTGATTCTCAATGTGATCTTTCTTCGAGGTAGAGAACTAGAGATGACCATCATTCACATCTCACATAAATCTGTTTGGTCGATTCAGTGTTTTGACATGCATGGCTGAAGCTTTGTACTTAGTACTTGGAGATTTGTGGTGTCTATGGATAGAGGAAAATATGTAAGAAAGCCTAATTCACATCCTTCGTTGATTAGATGGAACTTATCCCTATACGGGGTTTTCCTCCTTACCTTGTTATGCACATCTTACGGCGCAAAGCCTTAAGTTGTTCCATTTCTGTCGTGTTTCTAGTCTGCACTGCTTTGTATTCTGATCTTAGTCTCATGTCAGTATTCTACTGTCTGTATGTGTAAGCTTGTTGCATTTGAGCTGATAACTATTTGTGTTCTTCTCCAGGGAGCTGCAGGAGTTGCTGTTCAATACTTGGGTTATACCCCTGGGCTTTTTATCGTAGGACTAGTTGCTATATTAACTCTATGGATGTATGCTAACTTTTGGATAACAGGAACCTTGTTTATAGTTGGAGGTATGGTTTCTTTTCACATCATGATTTTGATGCCTATGTTGATGAGTTACAATGCCAGCATGTTTGATTCCTGGTTTCTATAGTACTGAATTTATGCATGCTTTTGCAGTAACAACCTTTTGCCCTATTTCATATTATTTCTAATTTGTGTTCTGCAAGGGTTATTGATTACAGTAAATCTTAGTGTGTTTGTAATTTTATCTTATGATAGATCGCATTCTGCGTGGTGATTTAGTTTTCAGGAATTTTCATGCCTAATAACAATTAGAGCGTAATGATATGGATTGTTGAGGAGAATCAGTCATTCATTTATCATATAACACGTGTTATGATTCTGTAGGATAATCAGTTTCTAGGATAATCATGGAAAAGACCCGCAGAACCATGTTTCTAGGATAATCAGTTTCTCCCTACCTGGCTAGATTTCTGATCTCTGAATTATGATATTGGCCGATTTTCCTTTTTGTTGGGCAAGGATGCGAGATTGAATGAAGTGCAGATAACTTGGGGTGGGCAGTAGCTTTTAGTTGAACATAGAGTGGAATTACTTCCGAGTTGTAGGAAACGAGAAGATAAGGGCCATAAGCTCTTGCAGATGACTGACACTGTTAGGTGGTGTTCTTTGTTTTGATGAAATTTTCTTATTCTACTTACATGATTGTTTTCATGTGAACTGAAATTCTCTTCTGGGATCTAAATGCGACCTTCCTGTGCTAAGATTGCATTTTCGTAGAGCAATCTTTCTTTCTTGCATATACTGAATCACTGCAATGAAATTCTTTATAACTTTCTTTGAAATTCTGTTAGTTTCTGGAGTCCCAGTTAGCACATGGGAAGTTCTAACCCCTTCCACTATGTAAATGCAGGTTATTTGTTTTCACTCAATCATGCTAGGTTGGTGGTTCTAATGGCGGCTATATATGCTATCTATATGGTCCAAGTTCGAGTGGGGTGGCATGGTGTTTTTCTGTCAGTACACCTCACATTTTTCTCAAATGACATATTGAATCTGTTACTGCAATGTTGTGATAATATCAGTGAGTCTGTCCCTGTGGAGGAGCAGAAAGATCCCGAAACAGTTCAAGAGGATGGGTTCTCTCCAGATTGTGACTTCTCCATGCCAACTGATGCATCTGAAAAGGTGCATTCATGTAAATCTTCCAGTAAGCCAGCTGGTGTTTCATCAGTTGTTAGTAACCAACCAGAATCTTCTACTAGAAAGGTAGTTAGAGAAGACACGAGTTCAGTTGATGAGATGAGGAGGATCTTAACAAGTATTGATCATTATGAAGCTCTTGGGTTTCCACGTCACAAGCGGATTGATGCGGCAATTTTGAAAAAGGAGTACCGGAAGAAGGTAACTATGCTACTGAACTAGATACTCTTACGCTTCTGTTTTGCTCGACTGTCACTTGAATTCAAAAAAATTATGCATCTAAACATGCTTTGTGTTCAGTGATTGAAATCTCACTCGACTCACATTTTACCTTAGTGTCTTAACCTTGTATTGACTTCTTTCTGTGGAAAGATGAAAACATTGCTAACGCCTTGAATGACCATCATTAATAATGCAAGTGCAAGAACACTTTACTGGAACTTTTCAGATAATGTGTATGAAGCAGTTGTTGATACTTTCTATTCTGTGATTGAATCAAGTACTTATAGTCCAAGAGACTCAGTGAAGTGATAGGCAATAAAAAAAGGAAGTAGTACTCGAGTTCTCTGGTTCTTTTCCATTTTGATAATTTATGCTTTGTTATGTAGGCCATGCTTGTGCATCCTGATAAAAATATGGGGAACCCGTTAGCAAGTGAATCCTTTAAGAAACTTCAGTGTGCCTATGAGGTAAGCATCTGATTAGTGATGAAAAGTTTTCTTATCCATTATTGTTGGATAATATACGAACTTGCTTAGATCCAAGCTCTGCTGTTGTTAGTTGATGTCATTCCTCAATTATAATCTTTAGGTTCTTTCTGATGGCACCAAGAAGCGGGATTATGATGAGCAATTGCGGAAGGACGAGCTCAGGACTAGAAGTGTGTGTCAGAAGTCCAATAGTACCTCAACACAGGTACAATAACTATTGACAATAGACTTGCACTGCCTGAGGTTGAACATAGTTTTCCACACTTTGTTTGTGATATGGCCCATTTTCATGAATTGCCTAAAGTTTAGAATTGATGTGAAATAAGGGTGCGATAGACTCATTTGAAGTGAAGGAAAATCTGTGTTCTGGTTAAAAAAAATCCCTGGAATTAGATCTCAGTTAGATTGCTAAAGACATTGAGAAGTCAAACTGGAGCGTTTTTTAACTATATTCCTCATGAAAGCAGGATTCTCCAGACTATTTTTCCGAGGAATCAAGGCACATCCAGTGTACAAAGTGTGGTAATTCCCATATATGGGTGTGTACGAATAGGAGCAAGGCCAAGGCAAGATGGTGCCAGGTCAGTGCTCTGTTTCTAGTTGTCTGTGAGTTGGTAGTTGCTCCATGCTTCATAGTGCTCCCAAATGTGTGGCCTGTATATCATGTATCATGTGAGGATGTTGGTCATTCTGATTCAAGGTGGTAGTCGTCTTTCAGGATTGTTGCCAATACCATCAAGCCAAAGATGGTGATGGATGGGTTGAATACAAGGGCTCATTGGGGTTTGACACGTCTGTAAAGGTACAATAGTTCTATGTTGGGTTCTCAGTTGCCATCCGCCCATCCCCATGAATTCTGAATCGTATTCTAGTAGTCTGTGACACCAAGCATGCCCTCCTTGCTTAAAGCTGCAGTTGGGTACTGCTATCTGATAACCTTCTGTTAATCGTTAGTGTTTATGTTTTACTTTGCTATTGCGTAGGTGGAAATCCCCCGTGCTTTTGTATGTGCTGAAAGCAAAATATTTGACGTCTCTGAGTGGGCTATCTGCCAGGTCAGTACTTGTGTCTTTATGATGTGCATTGTGTTTCCATGCCACTTTGTTTTTTGAGCTTCTGAATTCTGTTAGCAACATGGCTGTGATGAGTTTGAGCACACTGAACAATTAGGGGCTTTTTCTCTTGTTCATCTATGGGCAGGGAATGGCGTGTAGACCCAACACTCACAGGCCAAGTTTCCATGTGAATATGGTTGGTCTGGAGAAAACACAGCGGTCGAGTACAGGACGATACCCATGGGATTTAGATGCCGAGATGATGGACGAAGACGAAGAAGAGTTTGAGCTGTGGCTACAACAGGCTCTGGCTTCTGGGGTGTTCTGCGAGACTTCTAAACGCAGGACAAGCTGGAGCCCTTTCAAGCTGAATCCAAAGAAAGGGAAGAAACAGGGGCGGAGAACATCAACTTAACGAGAGATCGGGTAAGAAGAGAAGTAGGAACTCCTGGGATCACACACAGTGACTACTTGGTCCTCTTTCTGGAAATATCGAGCTACCATCGAAGCTGCACATGGATATGGTGACTAGCTTTCTCTGGATTGGGAAGAAATGTGGGAGGAGGCAGAGAGGACTCTGGTCACCACATGGCCGCAAGCCAGAGGAAACAAAGCAACCAGAAGCAAGTGCTCAGCCAAAAAGTTGATACCATCTGAATCATGGAGAAGGAAGAAATGAATGTGTTGATTGTTTTCCTCCCTGGAGGAGGATTTGTGTAGTTTTAGTTTAGTTAAGTTCACTGGAAGTGGGAAGGGGTTCCTCAGTAGTGTTGACTATTGTTGTACATATCTTCATGATTTTGTTCCCATTTTACGATAAGGCCGACTCCCTCTGCTTTTACTTTCTTAGCTGTCCACAGCTCTAGCTTAGCGGAATGATGAATGAAGAAGAAGAAGTTTCCTTCCCATTTTCCAACTTCCGCGTCCATCCCATTATCGCCATTGCCTTCACTTCTCCGTGACCTACTTGTATAAGTATATCCCATTACACTCTCCACTTCTCCATCACCAGCAACACACTCGCTTCTTCCTCTTCTTCTTCTTAGCCCAACGGAGAAAGCTAGATACTTGAAATCATTATGACTCGCTCTTCATCAGTCCTGGTGTTTCTTGCCATTGCCACCGTGCTAGTGGCTGCTTCATCAGCTGCCAATTTCTACCAGGACTTCGATGTCACATGGGGAGACGGCAGGGGAAAGATCCTCAACAATGGCGATCTCCTCACTCTTTCCCTCGACAAGTCCTCTGGCTCGGGATTCCAGTCCAAGAACGAGTATCTGTTCGGCAAGATTGACATGCAGCTCAAGCTCGTCCCTGGCAACTCTGCTGGGACTGTCACCGCATACTATGTAAGTAGCTGCTCTGTTTTTCTTGCTTTACTAAAATTCAATCTCTCTGCCTCGTCAACTCATTTTTGTTTGTGGCTGCTGACATTTATATATAATTCGCTGCAGTTATCTTCGAAAGGAGCGAATTGGGATGAAATCGATTTCGAGTTCCTGGGGAATTTGAGCGGCGACCCGTACATCCTCCACACCAACGTCTTCAGCCAGGGGAAGGGAAACAGAGAGCAGCAGTTCCATCTGTGGTTCGACCCAACTGCCGATTTCCACACCTACTCCATCCTCTGGAACCCGCAGCGCATCATGTAAGCCTAATCAGAGACAAAACAAAAAACATCCATCAATTTCTCTGCAATTACTGTGAACGGGGAGACTAATTGTTTGGTTGCTCTGTTTTTCAGTTTCTCAGTGGATGGCACTCCGATCAGGGAGTTCAAGAACATGGATAGCAACGGCGTCGCGTTCCCAAAGAATCAGCCGATGAGGATTTACTCCAGCCTGTGGAACGCCGACGACTGGGCTACGAAGGGCGGGCTGGTGAAGACGGATTGGTCGAACGCTCCATTCACAGCCTCCTACCGCGGCTTCAATGCCAATGCCTGCGTGTGGACCAACGGCAAATCTTCTTGCTCTGCAGCAGCGTCAACGACTCCGGATTCCTCTTCTTCACAGTGGTTGTCGGAGGAGATGGACACCACGGGCCAAGAAAGGATGAAATGGGCGCAGAAGAACTACATGATCTACAATTACTGCGCTGATAACAAGAGATTTCCACAGGGGATTCCCCAGGAATGCAACCTCTCTTGATTCGTTCGACCATCTCGCCAGAAATCTCTGATTCTTTTCATTCTTTCTCCCTTCCTTCTGTAATTAAGAATTCGATCTGGGTTGTATTACTGTAATTTTGGGATAATTAAGTCTACTTTTCGTGTATGGATTTTGGAATAATATTGGCAACTATGCAATGGGATAATTTCCCTAGACTCTATATGGTAAGGGATCATATGCATAACATTTCCTCCACATAATCTAGATAATCTGACAATCGTAATATATCGTATCACCATAAAAATAAAATAAAAACAAGTTAATAACAAGACCTATACGATCGGGGGAAAAGGAAAACTAGTAAAATTTCCGATGTTGAGATTTGGACCTGGATTTCTGAATTTTAAATTGCCAATTTGCTACGGCGGAGGTTGTTGAACAAACATTTCCAAAAATATTATTCGAGAAAATTTCTAAGTGGCATGGAAGACTTGAAACGCAACATATGTCGTCGACTTCAAGGTTGGAATGCAGGTTTATGATCGCAGCTTTTAACTCTCTTGTTTATTGACCGATGGATGGAAGATTTTGAGATTCGAATACCGGACAAAACTAGAATCTCAATTCATCAATGGCGGAGCGAGAAACCTAAATGAGAGGGGGTCTGATTTTGAATTGTCGTAATTGTGGATGAGGCTAGCGCATTACTAATTATGTTAATTCCTAAATTTGTGCATAATTCAAGTGCAATTTGAACTATATTTCAAAAATTGAAAAAGGATACTTCAACCTAGCTCAACCACTGCCCATCAAAATGTTTATCTTCAAACACCTTAAGAAAGGGCTTGGTGTGATTGCAGGCAACTTCTAAACCCTTATAATCTAAGTATTCACCATGCTTGTGTATTTAGAGGTGCATCACATGGCTATTTCGAAAGCTCAATTGACTTCCAATCGACGTAAGAGAATCCAACTTCAAATCATCTCAACAATCTCAATGTTCATACCCACCTCTTAATCATGGCGCAATCACTTTGGAATGTCTGAGTTCGATTATGCATTTTCGTGAATATCATGTGAAATGAAATAGCTTCTGCTGCTGTGCAGAATGCAAAAAATGTTGTGACTGGATGTAGTTCGAAAAAATTAATTTGCATCATACACGGATAATGATATACAAAGTTCTTAAACAGGCAAAAAAAAAAAAAAAAAAAAAGCCATACTACAGTCAGCGAGTGGGCCACTTGATAGATTGATAACTACCTCCGCAGCCCAGCCCAATCCAGCCCAGCCCACTTGTGGGTTTTCTGTTCTACCTGACGTGACGTCGTTTCTCGACAATTAATTAGCAAGACCCGACATTAACAAAACGCGTCTACTCTAATCTCTCTCTAATTCAAAATTCTGGTCTCTTTGCCTGCTCTGATAATTCTGTTCGGACGTGGATGTAGTAACAGACCAAAACCATTAATTAATTCAGGACGTTGATCGCTGGGTGTGGCTCGCATCGCCGGGGTGTCAAAAGAGGGTCATCGACAAGATGTGTGTGTTGCTGGCGATCGTGTCAATATTTTCGGTTCGTGTTATTTTGAAAGAAGTTAATGAGATGATTTCTCGTGTGTAGTTAAAAGAGGTATTTCTTGTTTTTCTAAATTATGTATATTCTTTAATTTCTTGGTAATACAAAAAGTATTTCTCGACAAGAAAACAATGCATTAATTTTGTTGGGGATAAAAAATTAAATAATGTCACCGAAGAACTCAGAGGAACGAGGACACACTAAACTCCAAACTCGTTTTCACGACGATTAAGTTTTGATTATTCTAGTTTTTGACGATCCACATAGGAAACTACGAAGAGTTGCCAAACTTTAATCTCGGTCAAATCTAACTAACTTGGACCCCCCCCCGACATAATGAACTAAACGTTTTTGTAAAAATAAAAAAAATTCAAGTTCTCTGAAATTTCGAAGTAGTCGATTTCTACGCAAAGCTGAGACATATTCTTCGAGAATAAATCAATGATGGTAACGAAACGTACCCCCCTTCATAAACAAATGGATTAGAAAGGGGTTGAGTTCTAGTTTAGAGCGGGTCTAGAGGTGAAGGCCATAAGAAAAAAAGATTGTCTACCTAATAAGGAAGAGAGCAAAAAGACCCGCTTTTTGATACCATGTTGGGAAATCAGATTACGGTGGGAAATGTTGTGTGTTATTACCGAAACCACATGTAGCTTATATAGTGTACAAATGCCGACCTCTATAATAACCCTGATACTAATGCAGAAATTTACCTAACTTGATTCCGATAAGCAATATAACTCTGCCCAATTACACAACAGTACTCGTAGTATAACACAATACTACTCATACTACACATACTCTAATAGTCTCTACCAATTTACCAATGCGTTAGAAATCCATACTAACTCCCTTAATCACTTGTAATCTGTACCAATTTACTAAGCTTGCGCCCAGGGGCGGAGGTAATTGGGAGGTAGGGTGGGCCCCCAGAATTAGTCCGGCCCCTAAGACCTTAAGAATATTTAGATAAAATTTGAATAAGTAGGACTCAGCCAAAACATTAGTTCATAGAATTATCATGTAGTCTACTGGTAGCTAATCTAATTTTTAGCCTAGAAATTCTGGCTCCACCCCTGCCTGCGCGGACGATAACATCATTAATTAGAGGCCCCTTCCACAGTCGATTCCTAATAATACTATCTTCTCCTTGTTTGGTACTGAAAATTCTTCAATGGTCCTCCCTCCTCTGCTCTCTGTGAAAGCACCAACTAATCCAAATCGCCAGCTGCAAAACAGCCCGATCCCTCCCCAACACTGAAAGAAACTTGCTACCCAATCTCCATCCTCTCCTCTTCGTGGTGGAAACTTTGACTCCAAGTCTCTTTCAACCCACTTGAGCCCATGCATTCATGCACCAGCTCGATCGAGTCATCTTCCCCCCTATAAAACCCTGCCTAAACCCTTCCATTTCTCCTCAACCCTTTTCAACCCATTCGAAAACCCAATTCCCAATTCGAAAAAATGGCAGCAGCTTCTTCTTTAGCTTCCTCGATATCGTTCTTCTTGCTGATGGTGATTGGCTCAGCAGCTGGTAACTTCAACCAGGACTTCGACGTCACATGGGGAGACGGCAGGGGAAAGATCCTCAACAATGGCAATCTCCTCACCCTTTCCCTCGACAGGGCTTCCGGTTCGGGGTTCCAGTCGAAGCGCGAGTACCTGTTCGGCAAGATCGACATGCAGCTCAAGCTGGTCGCTGGCAACTCCGCTGGCACCGTTACTGCTTATTACGTAAGTACACTGAGCTAGTTCGCTAGGGTTTTCATCCTCTGTTTCTCACTCTGTTTTTCTCTGTTTTGTGGGTGAATTGATTTTTTTTTTTTGTGTGTGTTGTTGTTTCGTATTTGGGCAGTTGTCGTCGAAAGGATCGACCTGGGACGAAATCGACTTCGAGTTCCTGGGAAATCTGAGCGGGGACCCTTACATCCTCCACACCAACGTGTTCTCGCAGGGGAAAGGAAACAGAGAGCAACAGTTCTACCTGTGGTTCGACCCGACGGCGGATTTCCACACTTACTCCATCCTCTGGAACCCTCAGCGCATCATGTAAGTAAAACCATATCTTCCTCACCAGACCCAGAAATTAAAATTTGGTGATTTATAATTCATGACTAATTTACAATTCATTTGTTGTATGTAGATTCTCGGTGGATGGAACCCCGATCAGGGAGTTCAAGAACATGGAGAACAGAGGAGTTCCGTTCCCGACAAGGCAGCCGATGAGGATCTACTCGAGCCTGTGGAACGCCGACGACTGGGCGACGCGCGGAGGGCTGGTGAAGACGGATTGGTCGAAAGCTCCGTTCATGGCTTCCTACAGGAACTTCAGATCGGAAGCTTCCTCTGCCACGGCTCCATGGATGTCGCAGCAGCTGGACTTTGCGAATCAGCAGAGGCTGGCGTGGGTGAGGAAGAACTACATGATTTACGACTACTGCAGGGACTCCAGGAGGTTCCCTCAGGGTTTTCCTCCGGAGTGTAATGTCGCCTAATTTGGCCGGAGATGTGCGCCGGGAACTGGGCAGAAGAAGTATGATCACTCTGTTTTTTTTTCCCGCGATTAAGAGACCAATCGGGTTGTTTACTCTGTTGTGATATTACTGTTTCTGTTTTTTCTTTTCTTCTCTATTTGTTTCTGTAAAATATGTCGGTAAAATATGGAACTGTATAGTGATAATGTCTCAATTGTTAAAACAAGTATGCAGTGTGGAATACAGCGAATAAAATTGTATTATTTTACCTTGTTCACTAATTGTGGCAAATTACACTTAGAATCAAGTCTCTTGTTGTCATCGTTAGGTGACAAAAACATTTAATTCACTCTTTTTTTTTTTTTTTTTTTGACGGGAAACCTGCTAATCAATTAATTCGGAGTAAAGGTTACATTATCCAGCCGAAGCTGATCGACAAGAAACAAAGGTGGATTATCACACCACACTTCTCTACTATCCCAACTAGTCCCATTGTGAGCCAAAATATGCGCACAGACATTCGCCGCTCGCCGCACATGTTTTATGCATCCCGGAGTTGGGGTCTGATCCTGAAGTAGTCGAACAATCCGCCGGCATATAACACCAGTCTCGGTCTGCACCTCCTCCGCCTGCTCAATTTTTTCCGTCAAGGTCAGGCTGTCGACTTCAATCATGAATCTATGGTAGCCCAGCTGATGCGCTAACTGCCCCCCGAACTCTGCCGCCAGTGCTTCCGCTAACTCCACTCCAAAGGAACCTCGGATCTTTTTTGTAGCGGCGGCAAGGAAACTCCCCTGGTGATTCCGAAAGACTGCACCCAAACCTATGCCCTCATCTCCAAGCAGGCCGGCATCTGTGTTGACTTTAATCCATCCTTCCATCGGTCTCTCCCATCGATCCACCTGCACGTCACCCATCACTGCTTCCTCGTGACCTTGGTTCTTTCTATATTCATCCAGAATTGAGATTGCACGCTGCAAAATCTCGTCCTCAGGCCACTTCGTTCCATTAAATAGCTGCGCATTACGTTCCTTCCATATTGCCCATAAAACCATAGCCCACGATTCCGCCACGTCCTGGTTCTCATGCTTCATCACTTCCGCTACCCATTTCATGCTATCCACCGATCCATACTCAGTAAAGCCTCTCTCCCACGGCGATCCTCTCCAAATCCGGCTACACCAGTTGCATTCGAGAAACAGGTGGTGTTGGGTTTCCTTTTGGTCGCAGAAAGGACACCCATCATGCCGATGTGGGTTTTTTGAAGCCACTTTCACCCCTGTTGGCAGAACATTCCTAGAAAATTTCCACAAGAAATGACGAACTTTCGGGGGGATTTTCATCGCCCATATAGCCTTCCAAAACTTCTCATCCCCGCTAGGACGAATGCCCTCCTCCTGCATAAACCCTGTTAGCCAATGCTTATATCCACTCTTCACAGAATAGCGACCGTTGTCCTCATAACGCCATACAAGGCGATCTGGTTCCTCCCTCCCCCTCAGAGGAATGGACATTATAGTGTGCACAGTCTGGGCGGGGAAGCAGTTGTGGAGCAGCTCGAGGTCCCAAGTTTCCGTGTCAGGATCAATAAGTTCCCGGACTATGGCGTCCACCGGGAGATGCTGCGGCGCCGATGGAATGAAGGCCGGTTCCGCGGGAAGCCACTGATCTCCCCAGATTCGCACCTGGGCACCATTTCCCACCCGCCATCTAAGCCCGCCGCACAGGAAGTCTTGCGCACTGAGCAGGCTTCTCCAAATGAAACTCGGCCTACTTCCCAAACGAGCTTCCAAGATAGGGCAATTTTTATGGTACTTGGCAGCAATGATCCTGGCAATGAGGGACGTTGGCCGCTGATGCAGAGACCAGAGTTGTTTCGCTAGCAATGCCTTGTTAAAACCTCGTAAGTCACGGAAACCCATCCCGCCATCTTCCTTCATAGTAACCAGCTCCTCACGGCGAAGCCAATGCGATCGTCTCTCCGCATTCTTCTGTCCCCACCAAAAGTTGATGATCATACTGTGAATCTCGTCAATGACGCCGTCCGGAATTTTAAAGACTGTCATGGCATAGTTGAGCTGAGCTTGGGCAACGGATTTGATAAGAATTTCCCGGGCTGCAACAGACATAGATTTTTCCTTCCAACCTTTCAGCTTCTGTCTCACCCGCTCCTTCAACCCTGCAAAGAGATCCTTCTTGGCTCGCCCCACCTCCGTAACCAGCCCCAAATATTTAATTCACTCTTTTTTACCCATGTATTCCCGTCATATTTATTTTATTCACGTTATATTAGCGTTATTCACACAACCAATATTGTTTAGTCACGCAACCTAGTGTTTATTTACACATATAGTTATTTATTCACGCCATTGTAAAATTAAATTTTAAATTTTTTTTTTAGCGCTTGTCGCCGCCGGCCCTCCTCCTCCCACCACCACGGATCCTCCTCTCTCTACCCAACGACCCTCCCCGCCCGTGCCCATCCCACTGCCACCGTCCGTCAACCCTCCCTCCTCCACCTCCCATGCCCACCACCCCCTACGCCCACTCCCCCCTCTCTCTCGTATTGGTTTTTTTATTTATTTGGTGTTGCTTCGATTTTATTATGGTATTGGTTTGGTTTGAGTGTATTCGTATTCAAACCGGTTTGATACTTTTTTTGTAGCGGTATTGATTTGAGTGTATTTGTATTGGAAGTGGTTGTCATGTACGTTTTTCATAATGGTTTGAGTGTATTCGTATTGGTGGTGTTTTTCCACATTGGTATTGATTATCATGAAATGAGATTTTTTTTTATAGAAATATAATGGTATTGATTTGCATGTATTGGTATTGATCAAATCTGCAATGGTATTAGTGTTTTTTCACATTGGTATTGATTATCATGTAATGGTATTGATTAAATCTGCAATTGTATTGGTGTTTTGTGAAATGCTAGTGTTTTGTGCCCGTTACAAAGAATTATTCTGCCGAGGTGCGCCCGGAATTTCAAATTGTGCGGTTGTGATTGGGCCACGTGGCCAAATGCGCGAATGTCGAGGCGCGGCCGTCGTCTCCTCCTTAATATGTGAGCTGTTTCTCTCCATTGAACCTCATTCGCCTCCAATCTCCTTCTCACTCTAACTTCTCTCTCTGCCGAGTCTCTCTCCTTGCATCCACCAGTGTGTAATTTTTTGCCCAGAGATGTCAAACCCGACCGATGCTGTCGCCGCCGCCGCCGCGGGCTTCTCACAAGACCAAGGCGACCCGTCCAAAGCCGGTAAGAACCCCTCCATTTTTTTGAGGATTTGTAATGGAGGCGCCGCTCACCTTGCCAACGGTTGTGTGCGCCTGATTGGATTGTTTTAGCGGGGGCGCCTGCACTGTCTCCTATACCGCCGCCATCATCAAACTACTACGTGCCGGAGGATGGGTCGTACAAAATGACTACATGGGAAAACACATGGCCGCCTGAATATATGCCCTGTGAGACTACATGTTTGCCCACGAATGTGGCGGGGCCCGAGCATAACTCCACCATATTGGCGCCCTGGATGACTAGCCTAATCGCCGGCTTTGGACTCCCCCACACTTGGACTTATGCGCCTCCTTCCCCCATTATGAGGGTGGGATTATGTGGTCCCCGATGGTTGGGCATCTACAAGGAGTATTTCCGGTTTGGACTCCGATTTCCCATAGATCCAATTTTGGAGGGGATTTTGGATTACTGTGGGTGTACCATTGGGCGCCTATCGCCCTCGGTAATGTTGATCGTCGTGCTTTTTAAGTTGAAGTGCCGCATTCATAACGTGCGCCCGACCCTCAACCTTTTTCGCCATTTTTTCTCCGTGACGCCGCTAGACAACTGACTGTCGTTGAAGCGCCGCCAGAAAGTGCGCGCCCATTTCGTGACACTATGCCCAAAGTTGGGGAGGAGTTGGTTCACATGTTTCTTCTTCGTGAAGGCGCATAGGGACTACTTTTTTGAAAGTGGAGGCGCCTTTAGAACAGATTGGGAGCTTGGTGATGAGAAACTATTTAACTCCGCCGTCGTACTTAGTCAAGACGAACGAGATGGCGCCGCCCTCATTAGCGCCTCACCTATCGATCTGCACCCTACCAACGCTTGTGCGCCTATTTTAAACGAATACTATGGAGATGGTGTGTTAGATGCCCAATTTGCATGTTGATGCCCTTACAGGCGCCTTGGCTAATGTATTTGTTTGTGTGCAGGTGCCAACTTCTCACGAATTGCCACCCTGATGAAGAGTAGATACGCAAAGATGACTCAGTAGGCGCCTCGACAAGCCGCAGCCAACCGAACCAAGGGGTCCCCAACATCTGTCTCTACCAAGCAACCGCCTGCAGTCACGGGGAAAGGGAAAGGCAAGGCTCCTGGGGAGAAGCCCGCCAAGACCTCCAGCGTGGCGTCTACACCGTCGAAAATGGATGCGCCTGAGGACACCCCCATGGTCGTTACACTTGACTAGCAAGGGGAGTCAGACGATGACATGCCGTTGATTGCCTGCGGGAAGAGGTCAGGCGCCCGGCTCACCAATCAAGGGAAGAAACCTCGATCAAGTATCGAGGAGGCGCTGGAGATCACGACGCAAGCCGAGGAAGGCGCCCGGGGGCAGGGTGCTACCCAACCCAGCCGCTTTATCATATCATCCGGGCGCCTGCTTGGCCCTGACGGGAAGCCACCCATGCTCCAGCCGATGCGCACCGAGATGGGGCGCGTTGCTCTGTCTTGCTCCCCGCGGGCGGCGGTGGACCGCGGATGTGCAATGGGTCTGGCTCTCTCGGCGTCGCAACTACTGCAAGTGCCCTCCGAGATCTCAGAGGATCATCCTTGGTCCGAAGTCGCACACATGGGTGCCAAGGTGCGTTTTCGTGCACCTTTGTTTTCCTACGAAGGTGTACTTGTATACTTTGTTGGCTCGCGGGATTTCTTTTTTAATTGCGTGCGTTTGTCCTTGTAGATGCTCCTTCTCCCAGAGGCAGGCGCCCGTAAGACGGATGCCGCTTTTGAAGAGTGCCGCGAAGCAAGAGCTTCGCTGTCCACGATGAAGGATGACCTTGAGACTGCTAATACACGCCGCGAGAAGCTTATTAAGGAGTGCGAGGAGGCTCAACTAGAGGCGGCCAAGCAAATCTCCACCCTTCAAAGCACCTTGGAGGAGGAACGCCGCCAACGAGATGCCGAATTTGCTTTCCGAATGGCCGAGGAGCGCCTGGAGTTCGAGCAGAAGGTTGCCGCATTGGAGGCGGTCAAGGAGGCGCTGACTCAGGACCTAGGCGCCCGGGATGAGGAGCTGACTACCCTGAAGGAAGAGAAGACCTCCCTCGAGAAAAAGTTGAAGGCGGCTGCATACAGCCGATGAGACTAGGGCTGGAAAAATAGACCAGACCGTTAGAAAAACCATGGTCCAAACCGTACCGCACAGTTTGGTCCGGACCGTAGACCGTGAAGTATGGTCTGGTCTGGTCCATGGTCTGTATTATTTTATGATTTGATCTCTTGGCCTGGTCTGGTCTGGTCTGGTCTAGACCGCGGTTTACTGGACCAAACCGTGGACCCAACTGACTTGTCAATATGTGTTAACAGCCCATTCGACCACTCTCCAAACTCCCACAACGACACCCAAGTCTCAACCTTAATTTTGTGAATCTCTTCCCTCCTTCAGTCACAACCACATTTAACCAGAGAGTAGAGATAATAGTGTCTCCATATGACATTATGTTAATGTTTATGACGTTATGGTTCAAGCTAGGATGTTTTTACTTTGTATCTTTGTTATGTACTAAGATTTAGAGTATCAAAATTATTCATGCATGTTAGGATTAATGTTTTAAGGCAAATAACAATTATTTTTTGGTTATTGGTTCAATTTTTTGTGTGGTTGACTAAATAAATTATTCATTTTTCGTTAAGTGTGGTTTATCTGGACCAGACCGCACAGGCGTGGTCTGGACCGGACCGTATAGTCTGTGCTCTATACTTTAGCCTCTCGGTCTGGACCATAGACCGTATATATGGTCTGGTCTGGACCAGACCGCACCGCTTCCCAACCCTAGAGGAGACTAAAAGAAAGTTGTGAGGACTGCTCACAAGAAAATCAGGGCTCTAAAGGCGTCCATAAAAAACTTCCCCAACTCGGAGGAGGGACAGGAGTTAATTGCCAAGGCGTCTCTGGACAGTTTGGTGCTCGCCAAGAGAAAGCTCGATCAAGAGTGCCCCGAAATCACTGTGGACTTCCCCGACCTTGTGAATTTTGTATTCAAAGAGATGCAAAATGAACAACAAGAAGAGGCGCCCGGAGAAGATGAGGCGGCACATGCTGGGAGTGGAGAGGCGCCTTCTCCCCAAAGCAGTGAATCCTCGTTGATGGATGATGAGTCCTCGGAGGAGAAATAGCTTCATTGCTTGCAGCTTGATCTATTGGGCGCCTTTTTTTCTCTTCATAACTAAGCACTCTTGGCGTGGGAGGGCTCCTTGTACTATGGATTGCTTTCACTTCCCTTATTTCATAAAATTTAAATGCCATCTCTTGGTTGGGCGCGTATTTTACGGGCGCTTTATTGACATTAGGCGCTATGGTTGGGCGCTTTTGACATTACTTGGGCGCGAGTTATTCGAGCGGGCGCTATTCTTTGTAACGGGCGCAAGGAAAGGCGCATTTCTTGTGGCATGCGCGAATTAGGCGGGCGCGATACGATTGAGTGATGCCGACAATTTATGTTATCCCAACCAGGCCAACATTCATATATGCATTCAACAAAACACACAGAGCAAATTTGCAAACAAAACACAGAAGCAAATTATCAAGCACACAGTCGAGGTCCACGACATAGGTACATCGTAGGATTCAGAAGTGGGAGCTGCTCGCAGGTTGGGACCGTCGACGTTATTTATTTAGTAGTAATAATGGACCAGCGAGCCCCCTCCCCTTTCGTTACAACATGTCATTCATCATTTAGAGCTTCTCCTCCTTGGTCTCGTACTTGAAGTTGAAGGAATTGACGCCGGTGTAGACACCGTCGTCCATCCGATAAGTAACCTGGTTGCCGTTGGTGAGAGTGTCCCTCTGGGTATAGGAGTAGGGGATGTCACAAGATCCTCTAGTGGCCAACAGACTGATTCGGGTCAAGCTCTGAGGCGCCACATTGACCTCGTACTCGGTCTCCAACGTGTTTGACGACTCGTTGGTCTCGCCCCATGTGTAACTTCCGGAGAGCTCACCGGTAATCTCGATGTGCCCTTCCGCGAGGAACGGGATGCCGGTCTTGATGGTAATCTTCACCCCGACCTTGAGGGACACATTGCCGGACCAGGTGCTGCTCTTGGTGTCAGTGTAGCTCAGCTTCACTTTGGCCGTGTTGGGGTTCGAGGTCCCGTTGGTGGCGACCCCGGTGGCCATGGTGACGATGGACTGGTCGTAGATTCTCGCGTCCATGAGGCGGAAGTCCACATCGTAGATGCTCCTGGAGATCACCAGGTCCTCGACCTCGATCTGGGCCTCCCTGCTTATCGTCGACACGCCGGCATTGAGGCAACTTATTTTCCCCTCGTCCGTCAGCCGCTTGCAGAAGTAGTTGTTACCGTAGTTGCGCAATGCGACGACGTTTTCCCCGACTTTCACGGGCCAGAACAGCGTGTCGGCGTCGTCCGCGGTGCTGTCGCTGGAGTCGCCCCAGATCCAGTTGGAGCCACGCCTCCAGAACTTGTTGAAGTAATCGGACTTGATCCGGATGCTCCCGTAGGGGTTGGTGAACACCTCGTTCCCAACGGACGGGTCGCCGAGGTCGGTGCCAGAGAATTCGAGGTACTCGTGGCCTTCGATCCAGCGAGCACAGAGGTACCCTCCGTTATCGCCCTTGAAGGCCACGTGCTTGGGCAGGACGAGGAGGGACTCCCAGTCCAAGATCTGGCAGACATCGCAGAGGTCGCTGTTGGGCTCCTCCCACCCGGCGTACACGAAGTTGCCGAAGGGCGGGTCGGAGCGGAAGAGGCAGGCGTAGTGGTTGAGCTGGACGTGGAGGAACCGGACGGTCTTGTTGTCGAGGAAGACGGGCTTGAAGAGCGTGCAGGACCACTTGGACTGGTCCTCCTCGGGCTTGTCGGCCCCTCCGGAGATCCAGTACTGAGTTTCTGACCATCTCACCCACTACTTGTTGTTGTAGGCGCACCTGAGGTGGACCAGGCCGGACCCGGTCTTGGAAGGCTCGACCTGGAACTTGGCGTAAGGGCTCACGGCCTGCTCGCCGGTGAACTGGAGGAGGCCGTGCTGCTGGATGTCCTCGTGGGTGTAGCGCATGTACTTGTTGTTGTACTTGCACTTGAGCACCACGTATCGGGGCAACGGCGCCGGTTGTGCCATTTCTTTTGATCGGAGCTAAGAGCTTTCTGGTGGGTATTTTTTTGTTCTTGTGTATTGTGCTGTGGTATGCTATGATCGATTGATTTGAATGTGTATTTATAGCAGAACACTTACCTACTGTGCATATTATATAATCGACGTTTCGTCTCTTGTTTAATCAATCTTAGAACCCACTTTTACTTCTCTTAATTGGATTGGTTGCTGTACTTAATTAATTAGCATGGATCATCAGCAAACATTATCACCCAAGTCATCCCATCCACTAGCTCCTCTCTGCTTACTGATACTGCAGATCAGTTGGTGAAATCCCACTCTCGAACTATTCCTAGGTTGTTTTTTCCCGTGTACTCCAAGTTGTCTCCTAGAGGGAGATCATGACGTTCTTCACTATGAAAGGTGTTTGAGCCCGATCGACTGGGGGTCGCTCGGGTCCAAGGGGTTTGGGGCGTCAGCCATGACTTTGAGGGGGTAGGCGCCCCGCCTCGTCTGAAGTAGGAAAAGAGAAGAGGTATATAGAGAGAGAAAGTAGAGAGAAGTTAGAGCAAGAGTAGATTGATTGCCATTTATGAGGAGAGAACTCCTATTTATACACATTTGAGGGTTAGGTCGTGGTCTGGGCGCCTGCCAAGCCATAAATGCTGTGGTCGGGCGCCTCAGACTTTCTGACACTGTACATAGTCCTTTTTGACAGAGGGTGTCCCCCTGCCCCTTGTCCTTGCTGATGTCAGGTGCCTGGGCTTGTCTCTTGTCTCCCAGCCTTGTCTTTTTGCTCTTTTGTCTTCTTTCCTTCTTTATGCCATTAGCTTAGGGTTTTGCCTCTTTAGTACTTAAGATACCCTATCAAAAAGGTTTTCTACTGGAGGAGATTTATCACCATGATCAGTATCAGGGACCGCAGTGGAGAGCGCAGCAGAGTTGGACCTTCCAATCCCTGAGAAGAATCGTTCATGGCGTCATGACCATAATCAGAGCACGGTGGTGAAAGGAAAGTAGAGGTGAAGAATCATGGTGTTGAATATTGCAAACGAAAAACAGAGTGGGAGAGTATTCAGGGCTATGGAAGAGGGGCAGATTATGGATCTGAATAGTTAAATGTCGTCCTTAAAATTATTAATTATCGTTCTAACTTAATACGTAATTTACCGAAATGTCCATTTTGAATTTCAAAATCAAACACAAAACAAACAACCCCTTCCCTTCCATAAATCTAAAAAAATATAAACTAGCATCCAATTAATTATCTTATGGACCGAACCATAAATCGTAGTAAAAGAATAGAAGAAGATTATTGATACAAACCGAAAAACCAAAAAAAAAAAAAACCCCCAAAAACCCCTCAACCGAAACCAATTTTCAGTTGTACCATGGCTCAACCGAAGCCAATTTTTGGTTGTGCCATGGATCAACCAAAAATCAGCTTCGGTAGTACTATGGATACAACTGAAAATTGGATTCGGTTGAGGGGTTTTGGTTTTTATTTTTTCTCCTGAATTTTTATCTCGTCGGAGTCACTACTTATAATTCGGACCTATTCTAGACGATCACGACTCGAGAATGTCAACGATGAATTCGAGAGTGTGGGAGATTGAGTGGTTTTCGTTTTTTAGTTAAAGTGATGTTTGTTTGCTAAAGAGAAGGTAAAGAGGCCAAAAGGTTAAAAATGTAACTTTATTATTTTTTTAGGAAGATCATTAGTAATTTTAAGAATGACCTTTATCAATTCCTTGGATGGATGGCCTGTAGAAGTAGTCAATAGTTATCAAATATATAAAATTAATCATTTTAAAAATAAACTAGTATGTAAATATTAGTTAACTTAGCAATTTAATCCATTAAATACGGGTATTAAACGTGTTATATGGGTTTTATACATGTTTAGTACGTAAGTCGTTAAATGCACACAAAGAGATGAAACAATTTTACAATAATACGGATACGGAAGATTGTATTTTGTGTTTAATCATATAAAAAAAACATTTTTATTTGGGCTTTGAGAAACCGGCCCAATAACGTTACTCAAACATCCAACTCTCTGCTACCTAAAACCCTACTGGCGGTAAGAAGTCAGAATTCGGTATTCGTCGAGGGCAAAGCTTCTGCCGCCATTTACAGTGTTTTTTCTCCTCTGAAATTTTCTGTGTCGTCGGAGGTAGTGAAAGATGACGAAGAAGGAGAGGAAGGTGAACACGTCGGGGAAGCCGAAGCACTCCCTGGACACCAATCGGAGCAATGGAGCCAGCAGCAGCACCAACTCGCGAAGTGCGGCCACGGTCCGCCGCCTCAAGATGTACAAGACAAGGCCGAAGCGTGATAGCAAGGGCAAAGTTCTGAAGCACGATCTCCAATCGCAAGAACTACCCAACACTCGTATCCAGCCGGACAGACGCTGGTTTGGTAACGCGCTACAGCCTTTTCATTTGGGTTGCTTCGCGAATTTTTTGATTTTGCCTCTTTGAGGTTTCTTTTGGCACTGGATTTTGAAAGAGCTAGAATTTTTCTTCTTTTGTTGGTTTCTTAGGGAACACGCGTGTTGTGGATCAGAAAGAGCTGGAATTTTTCAGGGAAGAGCTGCAGAGTCGTATGTCAAGTAACTACAATGTTATTCTGAGAGGGAAGAAGTTGCCCTTTTCTCTTCTGAATGACCACCAGAAGGTATGTGTTAACCTATTTGATCTTGCTTAGCCAATTTCCCATTATGAAATGATTTGTCTTTCCTCTCTTTGGTCTGCAGTGGTTGATGCCTAGAACTTTTAATTGAAGGGGCTTTTTATTAATCTCCTCAGAGGTTCTCACAATTCATGAAATGTTATTTCTTTGTGAAGCAAGCTAGAGTTCATCTTCTTGATACCGAGCCTTTTGGGGATGCATTCGGGCCCAAGAAGAAAAGGAAGCGCCCAAGACTTTTGGCAGGAGATTACGAGTCTTTGGCCAAGAAAGCTGATGAATCTCAGGGTATACTATTGATTGTTTTCTCTGTATTCTATAACTTCATTATCTGCTCATTGCTTGTCATTTCCTCGTATTATTCTGCTTGTTACTTGCCTATGCAAGTTGTGCACGTTTTTGCATCATCAGACATCACTGGAGTTTTTGGTTGATGCCTGTTACTAATTTCATACTTGGTTCTTTTGTGACATTGCAGATGCTTTTGAGGAAAAGCATGGGAGTGGTGCGACTGCAGAAGGGGATGGCGAGGATGGGTTTAGAGACCTTGTTCGCCACAATATGTTTGAGAAGGGCCAAAGTAAGCGTATATGGGGTGAGCTATACAAGGTTATTGACTCGTCTGACGTTGTTGTACAAGTAAGTAATTCGTTACTGTATTCCCTTTTCAATCCAAAGAAGTAACCAGCCAGAGAGTCCAAATCTTTTGGCTGTTAAAATATCAACGTTTGATGAAGTTACAGTGCATATTATGCTGTTAGTGATAACTTTGCTCCTTGTTCCTTGCAGGTTTTGGATGCAAGGGACCCCCAAGGTACAAGATGTTATCATTTAGAAAGACACCTGAAAGAGCACTGTACACACAAACACATGGTGTTTCTGCTCAATAAGGTCAGCTGAACTAATCACTCTTCTCATGTTGTGGATGCCATCTTTCTCTTTCAAAAGTCGAAACTGTTTTTTTAACTTCCGTCTCACTACTTCCAGTGTGATCTTGTCCCTGCTTGGGCAACAAAAGGATGGCTCAGGGTGTTATCCAAAGAGTATCCAACTCTAGCATTCCATGCAAGCATTAATAAGTCATTTGGCAAGGTACTTCTTGAGGAATATTGTATTTACTTCTCACCAAACGGAGCTGATGTTCGCCGCTTTTAGCTTCTATGAACTAAATGTGAACAATCATCCTGGATTCTCCCAATATGCATAGTATTCTGTTAGATTTCTTGATCCTTTGTGATTATTTTGCTTTTGATAGATGCACCCTGCTTTGTTTCAGTTGAGATGTATATTATTTGCTCCTTCCTCTTATTTTCAAATTTTTGGCAATAGGGTTCTCTTCTGTCTGTACTGAGACAGTTTGCTCGGCTAAAAAGTGACAAACAAGCAATATCAGTTGGATTTGTTGGCTATCCCAATGTTGGCAAGTCTTCAGTCATCAACACACTTCGGACAAAGAATGTAATATTTGTTCTGTCTTCTGTTGCTTATAATGATCACGTTCCTTTTTACCATCATATACTCATTGATGTCTAATATTTTTGCCTTAGCTAGGTATGCAAAGTTGCTCCCATACCAGGGGAGACTAAAGTGTGGCAGTACATAACTCTTACCAAGAGAATTTTCTTGATTGATTGTCCTGGAGTTGTCTATGAGAGTAAAGATTCTGAAACAGATATCGTACTGAAGGGTGTGGTAAGTTTTTGCTCTCTTTATCCAAATTATGTGGCATGTGGTTATCAGAAGAGACTTGAGGCTCCATTTTAAGTTTTCATATAGTAAAAGGATTGGTCATGTTATTGGTGTCACATAGGTCCGTGTCACAAATTTGGAAGATGCTACAGAACACATTGGAGAAGTTCTGAAACGTGTGAAAAAGGAGCATTTGAAACGTGCATACAAGATAGAGGATTGGTAAGTAATGTAATCTCCTTCCACCTTCTTATTCCCGCGGGTGTACTACTGATTTTACAGAACACATAGGAGAAATTCTTTATTTGCCGATGGGAGACCTACTTTACCTACTAGATTGTGGCATCTGACTTTTATTCTGGCAACGATATACTGATGATGCAAAACTTGCCTTTGTGTTCAGGGTCGATGACAATGACTTCCTGGTTCAGCTGTGCAAATCTACTGGCAAACTTTTGAAGGTTTGATTTATGTTCTGTTATGCCCCTTGATTATAATTGTGATGCATGTTCAATCAAACTGTTGATAGTGAGGGTCTATTTGTTGCGGTTTCTGCATTCCTTCTCATGCTTTCCTCCTTTATATGATCCTAATCTGACCGAGTTGGGATGGGTGGGTGTGTAGGGAGGTGAGCCAGACTTGATGACTGCAGCTAAGATGATACTGCACGACTGGCAAAGGGGTAAAATACCGTTCTTTGTCCCTCCTCCACAACAGGAAGTTAACAACGCATCATCAGAGGAACCTACAGCAGATGGTATTGATGAGGCGGCCATTGCGGACAAAAACAGGGCATCTGCAGCTTTCAAAGCCATTGCAAATGTCATTTCGACCCAGCAACAGCGAAGTGTCCCTGTACAGAGAGATCTATTTAGCGAGAATGAGTTGAAGGGTGACAAGCCTGGGCAGCAATCAGTAGAAGATGATGATCAACAAGACTCTGAAGCAGAAGCAGAAGAAGATACAGGTGATGATCAACCTGACATCGAAGCAGCAGAAGATGATGATCAACAAGACTCTGAAGCAGAAGACGATGATGATCAGCAAGACACTGAAGAAGAGTCAGATGATTGAGCTCCCTTTTTTTATTTCGAAACTCCCATGGTCCTTTGTACCTTGTTCTCCATTTTTGGCCTCTGGAGTGTATCAAATTCCCTGTTGCTCAGAGTTTTGTTCCCTCCATACCAGCATCTTTTGCGTTGAGAGTTGTAATGTAAGTTAAAACTTGTTAACAAATGCTGCGAGGAATATCAAGAATTACTATTCACTGCTTGTATCTCGTGCGGAGAAGATGACATGAATGGCTGCACTAAGGGATACTGTGAAACTGTAAGAAGAGGAGCTCATGGACTTCCTTCACCAGCTCATGAATTTGTATTTGTCATACTTTATAAATTTTTTTTCCTAGATTCTGGATCTATTTTGAGAGAGGTGTCATTTTCATATAGTCTCTGTTTATAGGCCAAACCATCCCCCTAATCATGGAAATTGGAAAACAATCGGTAGTTCGGTACTGGTAGTTTCTTTCCCTCGCAAAAGCATTCTCAATTATCGATCTGGCTGGTCATCAATCACACCATTAAATTTCTCGCCAAAAAATGGACCCCATGATAAGGAAATGGAAAAAGAACAAAGAAAACTACCGTCAAAGAGAATTAAAAAAACAAAATAAAGCTCAGCAGTCAGCAGAGAGATCCTTCCTTGCGGGGGTTTCTTCATTCCTTCTTTCATGTGCTTCGTCCAAGTCATGTCACCCGCCGTGTTTCGTGGCATCAGTAGAAACTAGAAAGGTGGCTGCTTTACAAGTACCCAGAGAGCAAGAACAGGAAGAAGAAGAAGAAGAAGGAAGGAAGAGAGAGAGAGAGAGAGAGAGAGACTGATAAATCTTTCCTGGAAGTTTCCTTCAATCCGGGTTTGACTCAAGAAGTAACCAAGAAGCGTATCTGGAGGTGCCCATCTTTGATGCTGTTAGTCTGAATTGGATCTGCTCTTCAATGCAACTAGTTCTTAGTTTAGGCAGAGTGTCCCGTTCGTCTATGAAGATGTGAAGTATTTTCTGGGTACAGGAAAGAAAATCGGTCAGACATCAAATTTGGAAGCTTTTTGTTGAGAGGGAAAGATATCCGGTCTCTAGGTGCCGCCCTATTCTACATTCGCCATTTCCCAAGTTGGGTTCCATTTAAAGTATCCATTCTTAGGGGTTATCTCCCTTCCTCCAGTGAACACAAAGAGAAAGAAAGATAGCTCAGGATTGTCCGGTCTTGTGTATATCGTCGCCGTGTGGGGATCTACAAGGAATCTCAGATAGTCAGATTAGTACTGTAAATGCTGGTTTCTATTCCGTCATCGAGATTTGCGGGTTCTGATTTTCAGCTAAGCTGGAGGAACTTGGAAGAAGAAGTTGAGATTTTGAAGGAACGAAGGTTCAGATTGTTGCTCTGCGGCGGTGTTGTTGGTCATAATGGCAGAAGAAAACGAGCAAGGTGCCGTGGAGAACTCGAAAGAAATGCGGTCATTAGCGTTGACTCCCACATGGTCGGTTGCAACTGTGCTAACAGTCTTTGTGGTTGTTTCCTTGATCGTGGAGCGCTTAATCCATCGCCTGAGTAATGTAAGTTCTTCCTTGTCTCTCGTTTCTGACTTACCAAACATTTAAGCAGTGCAGATAGTGTTGGAGCTTCTGTTCATTGCTGTGACACTTTCTGAGTAATTTAGCTTTTGAAACAACTGTGATTTTCATATGATAAACTGTAGGTTTTGGGTTCGCATGACGATTTGGCTAGGCATAAACCGTTTGAAGTTGTTCCTCTGTGTGTTTATGTGTAGTGGACTACAGATGATAGAGGATACAGCGGCCATAGGGGTTGAAACCAACCGATTCGTTAGCGAATTTCATGATGGCTTGCAATGGAGTTGCTTAACATTTTCATTTTGGTTGAAGAAATCTTATAACATGATACAGTTTGTTCTATCACGCATTTACCCTCATGACACCCATTATATCTATGCAGTAGTATATTAGAAGATTTGTTAAGATATGCCCTTTTACTTCAGTATTTCTATTTCAAATTGGTAATTAGTTTATACCTTTCAGTGGCTGCGGAAAACTAACCGAAAACCTCTGCTTGCTGCTGTGGAGAAAATGAAAGAAGGTAGTAACTTTTACTTGCAAAAGGCCCGAAACTTCATGAAGTTTTTCTGTTAGCTGTATCTTGTTTTTGGTTGTTGCATATTGTCCATCATACTTATCTCCTTGTTTAATTATTGTCACATGTCTCCAGAGTTGATGTTGCTTGGGTTCATATCACTTTTTCTCACTGCAACCTCAAGCCTAATTGCTAATATTTGCATCCCATCAAAGTTCTACAATAGTCGTTTTGCTCCTTGCACCACGGCTCAGATTGATGAAGAAATGGAAGCGAACTCTTTTTCACAGGGTCGCAAACTAACTACGGTTTCTGGTACCCATCTCCGTAGGATTCTGAATAGTTTGGATCGGAATACATGCCATGAGGTAAGTTGTTCATCTTCTGTTACGAATTTCACACTGATTTTAATCACTAGTACACATCATGACACATTTTCCTGCTTTAGAACCAGATGTATGCCCCAGAAGTCTTACTTTTCGTACATAACCGTTGAGTCAGGTGTTTCTGGTAACATAGGAATTTCATGTGATTGTTTGGAACACTCATGCGTGCAGGGACATGAACCATTTGTGTCGTATCAAGGCCTTGAACAGTTGCATCGCTTCATCTTTGTCATGGCTATCACACATATATCTTACAGCTGCCTCACAATGTTGCTGGCTATTGTCAAGGTTAACTTTCCTTCACTATTCTAATCTTACTGTAAATTTTGCTTCATTGTTATGTTGAGGTATCATTTTCATTTTTGTTCCTATCTGCCCTGTTTAAGATATATATATAGCTTCTTCTTGAAGTGAATAGAGCCTGTTTCTCTGTCTCATTAGTGTGTAGTGTGAGTGAGGAAATATGTTTGGAGTGCCTTTAATAGCCTGTATTTCAGGAGGACTGCATTTTGGTAGATCTTGCAAGTTTGCTCTTTAAAGGTTTTTTTTTTTTTTTTTTTTTTTTGCATCGTACTTCTATGTTCATTCTATTCCTCACGAGTTCTAGTTTTCATCAGATCCATCGGTGGAGGCTGTGGGAACTTGAGGCTTACATGGACCGACATGATGTGTTAACAGGTAAATCCCAAGCAGATCTTATAGGTACATAAGTTCCAAAATGCTCTGGTTCAGAAGTGATAACATAAAAGGTTGGTTATTTATCTTGTTACAGAAATGACAAGGGAGAAGACTTTTCAAAGGCAAACCAGCTTCATCGGATATACTCCATCAAGCCCTTTCGCGAAGAGCAGGGTTCTCATGTGGGTGGTAAGTTGCATCTATATGTGAAATCTGAACCAACACTAATTCAACTGAATTTTATAAAATGCCATAAATAATTCACCTTTTAATCCAATCCGTATGATACTAAATGGTATTCTTGTCAATTAACTTCATGCTAAGATCGCTATAACAAGTGAATTAACGTGATTACTAACAAATATACTTTTTCCTTTTTGTCACTAGCAGATATATCATAATAAGTTTATGCAATACTTTGAGCTCTCCCTTCCACCTGGCTATGTGTTTAGTTTGAATTATCTGGTTATCACAATTTTTTGTCCCAGAAGCTGATTGTTTAGTTTTGTCGCAGACGTGTTTCTTTCGGCAATTTGGGCATTCAGTTGTTCGGTCAGATTACCACATTCTTCGCAGAGGATTTATCACGGTACACATCTTTGTAGACTGAACCACATATTTATATTTTTGTTTCTTGGAAGCAATTTCAGCATGTATACGTACATGTATGTACTGGCTCCCTGTTAGGTCATCCGTCCCATTATTTTACCGTGTAGTGCTATTGGACAGAGCTAGTTTGCAAACGATGTGTTGGGAAATGTGAAGCAACAAACAGTAATGCATTTATGTTCAGGCCAATTTTTATAAAAGAAGATACGAGAAACATGATTGTGCATGCATTTCAACTCTTCCATGTAAAAACAGGGAGCTGTAGCTAAAGGGTTCTCCAATTGTCACTTACGGATAAGTTCACAAGAGGCCGTATCAACCAGCCATTACTTGTTCTTAGATTCATTCAACAAACTAGTGCCCTCCAGGACTTTTACATCTATATCATAAGCATCATTTCTTACTAATATGTGTATATTATAGGCCATATGATGTTCCTAATGTTTACTAACACATACTTTATCTTTCCCTCTCTCCTTCCTCTCCTTTGTTTTTGGTCCTGGCGGGCAGAATCACCACCTTACTCACAGATATGATTTTCATGGCTACATGATTCGCTCCATGGAAGAGGAATTTCAAAGGATAGTTGGTGTCAGGTAATGTCTTTTTACTTCGATGTATTGAGCACATTGTAGAAAGCCAGAATCCACTTTTGTGGAGTCTAGACTGAAAATGAGGACTAACATGCTCTCTTCGTAATTCTTTCCAGTGGTCCTTTGTGGGGATTTGTGGTTGCTTTTATGCTTTTCAATATAAAAGGTATGATACCCGATACAGAAATTGATTGCTGCAATTGTCTGTTTTACTCGCTTGTCGATTGTGAAAGATGTGAGAATTTGATGAAACTGCACTTGAATCCTCCTGATTCCTTTTCTGTACACCTTACATGTCACTATCATTATTGTCACTTATAAGTCCGAGGAAGTCGTTTCTGCTTGCCTTATTACTTACACTGATAAATACTATACTTGGTTGCAAGACTAATTAAACGTGCATTGTCCCTCACTACAGGTTCTAATCTTTACTTCTGGATAGCTATCATTCCGATAACTGTAAGTAATTACTCTCTTACATTTCAAATGTGTTTGCTTCTGGGTGCTTGGCCTACTTAGGGAGTTGCATTTGGTTTCTGAGCAGCTCCCGGGTTTCTGTTTGATAGAGAGGCTAATTATGTCTTCTATTTCATATTTAGCTCGTGCTTCTTGTTGGAGCCAAGCTACAGCATGTGATCGCAACTCTGACATTGGAGAATGCTGGCATTTCTGGCTTCTTTGCTGGAAGAGAGCTGAAGCCTCGAGACGATCTGTTCTGGTTCAAAAAGCCAGAATTACTGTTATCGTTGATCCATTTTATTTTATTCCAGGTATCAGTTCTGTCCACTTTGAGTTGCTGCTGTTGCCTTCATTCTCTTGTATTTGAAGGGGCAACTTTTGATTCCATCCAAATTTCATAAACTGACACATTTCCTTTTACTCCGCTTGTCGTGGATTGTAGAATGCATTTGAGCTGGCTTCATTCTTTTGGTTCTGGGTACCTCCTCTTACATGACAAATAGTCTTCTCTATCTTTCCTGATTGATCTCGTTTTCGCTTGCTTATGTACAGCTTCAAGTGTGTCTATGCTCTACCTGATTTGTGTTTTGTTTTTTGGTTTGAATGATGCAGTGGCAATTTGGATATGATTCCTGTTTTATAACGAACCATACACTCGTTTACATACGACTCATTCTAGGGTAACAAATAGATGGAATCTTCAGTGTATTATAGTTTTTATTGCACAGAATTAGCCCCTGACACTGTTCTATGGCGCTCTGTAGGTTTGCTGGTCAGTTTCTTTGTAGCTACAGTACATTGCCTCTGTATGCTCTAGTCACTCAGGTACGCTCGAGGAAATTCCGAAACTCTGGCACTGGGAACAGATTGCTACCTAACTGAGAATTATCTCCATTTAGTTTGTCGGAAATTAATAAGCACTATCGACATTCGATTTTACTTGTTTACCAAGTTATTGGATCACAGAACTTCATGGTGACACTCCTGGGTGCATTATCTAATAATCCGCTTGTGAACTTTGCAGATGGGGACAAATTACAAGGCAGCATTAATCCCACAGAGGATAAGGGAGACAATCCATGGGTGGGGGAAAGCTGCTAGGAGGAGGAAGAGAAGACATGGATTCACCGACGACTCCACCATCCGCACGGACACAAGCACGGTGATGTCACTCGAGGATGAAGACGATCATCAGTTTCTCGACCCTCCAGCCGACGCGACCCCTCTTCCAGGAAGGAATGACAATCACATAGAGATGCAGCCAGTTTCTGCTCCTGATTCCCTCCTAACCAGTCCTCTCGGTCCCGTTCCCAACGATACTTCGTCCCGAGCTGGCACCCCACTCCTGAGACCTTCCGCCTCCTACATTGCTTCTCCAGTCGTTTCTCGAGTCATTGCCGAAGACAGTTTCCCTAGGTCGTCATCTATGCCTGCTAGTAGAAGATAAATGAAGCAAAAAAGGATTGTAGCAGGCCAGCCAGTTGTAGATCAGCAAGGGAGAGTTCGTTCGAAGCTGCTCTTCCCTTCGTTATCGTGTAGAGGAATCGAGATGTTTATCGGTCGAATTTGTATCGCTGTCATGGGTACATAAATACATACTCATGATTTTGCAGCTTGATTGTAGATGAATCTCGTACCTGTTTCTCTGTATGTGTATGCATATATATGTGTAACGAAAATGGTGCAAATACAAAGCTCTCTTTCTGAAACTTCCGGCTCGATTCATATTCATTGAAGTAACAGGATCAACTAGAACCATTTCTGTGATCTGGGAACGAGTTTTATGCATTTTCCAATTGATGATCTGATTTTTGTTATTGTGAAGTCTCCCGTTTCTGGGATGCATTGACAAGTTCTTTGCACGGCTAACTCTAATGTTGTGAAACTGTAACTAAAAGCTTCAAGGGAATTAATATCTTAGTGAAGTTTGTATCTTGAGTGCAATAAGCCTATTTCTTCATGCACCAAGGAAGCTGCAACTGCATTCGACCCGCAGCTAGCTGTAAAAGTCACTATTGATAAACCCAAATCGCCGAGAGCCTGCCAGGGTCATTTAACGACAGACTTTTTATCTTCTAAAGTAGCAATTTCAGCAATTTCAATATGGTATGGTACTAGTTTCTAGATGTGGCAATCTCTGCTAGCATTTGGAACTGCAAACTTCGACTCAGAAATGACGAAGACAGCAAAAAAATACAGGACTTATTCATACTCTTCAGAGAAACAGATAAAAGTTGCTATAGCAAACCAGAGCATCTAGAGTCTAGACATCGTCCCCTTCGCCCCCATCGTCATCCAGACCTGTAAAACCTTCGGCCATCATCTTTTTTCTGTTTTGCGCTTGTCTTTCTACTGCAACCATGTACAAACCTGGCCAAGCAGGTAACCAACAGAAAAATTATTCAGATATAGAGAGAAGAAATACATGGGAGGGGAAACAGAGCCGCTGAATGCTCGTTGTATGGCTGGCAATCGTCGATTTGGAAAACCAGTGGCACAATAGTATGTAATGTTCGTTCCAGAATACTTACCGACTGCACTTCCGAGAGCACACATCCAGAGAATCCTCATGGACCATTTATCGCCAATAACACCTCGACCTCCCATGCTTAGCTGCAAAAATTACCAGTCCTCTATCAGCCAAAAGGGCACATTGTCAATTAATGCATGCTTCTCTTAGTTCCAGCACAGATCCATCATGCAGAACAATAGAGATGTGTATTAATTTAATCGACGAATCTGCACCCCAACTAATGTGTGGAGAGCACAACATGATGAATAAAAGCACTGCAATCGGTATGCAGGCCACTAGCCACTAGGCTTGGGATAGGCTCAGGAGAAGCTCATTAGTGAACTTGACAATCTCGAGCTCGAATGTAGCATGAACTCGAACTCAATTCAAACTCGATTTTTCGGGTTTCAGATAGGTTGAATCAAATTTGATGATGTGCTTGATCCAGGCTTGAATTCCAGACTAGGCAAGCCGGCTTAAACGAGCTGAATCCGAACAATTCGTTAACAACAGATGAATTGAATCAAGCTCAGCCAATTCATTTACCGAATTGAGAAAGATCAAGGATTTCATACACAATCAGAGCTTCCAGGACCTAACATCTAAAGGCTGAGACTTTCTTACTTCATCAGTAAAATTCACCAACTACAAACACTAGCAGTCTCCTAATTCGTAATGAACAGGATGATGCATTGAAATGAAACTGGAAATTCATTTCCTTTAGAGCAAACACGATAAGTGCGTTCAGTCCCTGCAGGGATAAACCCTACTGAGATCAACCAAATTGAAGACAAGAAATTAATCCTTCCCACAAGGAAATCCGAAAAACTAAACCTATAATAACCCGACGAATAATGATCTTACCGCTGAACAGTAAACAACGAGTCGCTGCAGGCGGCGAGCTGACGGGCAAGCAGAGAAATGGGACTTCCCTTGTTGAATCTCTCGGCTTCCTCGATCCGGAAAAGGTTCTAACAGAAGTAACGCGACCTCTCTCTGTCCACGTCGGCGAGCGCCGATGGCGATTACAATCTAAGACTGACCGGCGGTGGGAGACACCGTCTTCCCCTGTTCTAAACCCTCGCTTTCTCGGTTTCCCCCTTTCTCTCTCTAATTCCCTCTCCTCCACCGCTATAAGAACTACAGTTCTACGCCACGTTTTCTAAATTTTCATTTTCTTTCTTAAATACTTTCTCACCGAAACGACATGCTAATCCAAGTTTTCTCAAGATTTGTTCTTTTTTATGAAGTCCTTAAAAGGACCCATCAAATTTCTGCTTTCCCACTCCCGCAGTATCCCTTTATTACTAGTTTGCTAATTGCTGCTGCTACTAGCTACTACTACTGTCCACTGCTCACAGCCACTGTCCTGTCCTTGAAAAAAAGAAGAAAAGAAAACAACTTTCCCTTTCTCCAGAAACATTCCCCAATCCCCAGTGCTACCCAGAACCCACGCTCTCTCCCTCACTCTCTCTGTGTCTTTCCCATAGTTGAGCTGCGGAGGAAGATAGAACGGACGAAGGGAGAGAGAGAGGGAGAGTTCAGGCAGATTGAGAATATGAGTCGGCCCCTGGGGGCAGTGATAGGGAGATACCCATCAAGTGATGGCAGCACTCAGATTGATCGAATCATTAAGCGCAACAGGAGATGCAGAGATGTGGCTTTTCTGGTAGTGTTCATAGCCTTTTGGGTTGCCATGATTGTCAACTCCAGCTTTGGATTCAACCTAGGAAACCCATTAAGGTCAGTAAATCACATAAGTGACGGTCTTTTTCTCCAAAGTCCAAAACCCTTCTTGAGCTGCTTTTGGCATATCTAACTTGTGCTGCAGTATGGTAATTTTGGTGCTTTATGCAACTTTCTTTGGTTAGATAGATTCTGTGCGCGAAATGAGCTTCCTTTGCTGCAATTATTCCTGTCTAATTAAGTGTTTCTTTTGCTCGCCATTTTTGGTATACTTTCTGTTTCTTGATTTAGTTACTTTGTGGGTGTTGCTAGGCTTACATATGGGCTGGACTACAAAGGAAATGTTTGCGGTGACAAGCATGCACATCCGAATCTGCGTGAATTGGAGCTCACTTACTGGGTCAATCCTAACCAGGTCTATCTTAGTGGTTCCAAGAACAGCCAATTCAAGTTGGCGAATGCTAGGAGTATATGCTTGTTGGATTGTCCTAGACCGACAGACGATGGCCTGAATTGGGTCTGTGATTACCCGGAGGGTGATATCCGCATATCAATGGACGATTGGATCGACAGGAATTATGATTATTACGAGTTCCTTACCCCTGAGATGAGGAACTCCTCTCTTCAACTCCAGGGTCCTTGTTACCCTGTCATTTTCCCTAGTGTAAATGGTATGTGAGCTAGAATTGTTAGATGGTTTCAGCTCGATACATGTGTCGGGTTCATACCAATTTCAAGCCCATAGGAGACTTTTTTCACTGGCTCTGCTGAATTGGGAAGCATTTGAAACCTTTCCGCTTTTTACCCATCATTTTCTGTTGATATGTTAGTTAAATACAAAATTGTAATTTGAAGTCACTTTTGTGTGTCTTTGTTCTCAGTTCACTGGAGGTGCGAATTTGTTGCACGTGCATCAAATGCGTCTATGAGACATTGGCAGGTCATGGGTGGATTGAACATCAACGAGGATATTAGAATTGACAAGACTATTCACAAGTCAGTCAATGCTCGTTCGTCTGTGCTGAAGGTTCGAGGTTTCCTCCCCATAGCCCTATTATGAACGTGCTGTTCCTGGATTGATGAATATTGTTATGACTGTAATCTTTTTCTGATTCTCCTTGTCTTCCATTTCGATTTAACCTCCTCGGCATGGATTAGGAATAGAACTTGCACTACTGATGGTATGAAAGGGTCTATAGAAGCATGTCCTAGTGCATTTGTATGCCAGACCAGTTGTATAATTGATTTTGATGGCTGGAATATGTATTTTCATGGTGTTTCTGTATACCAAAATGTGTTTGTTGTCTTTTCGTGAAGCCAACTGTACAGCATATGTTCTCCGCACGTGGAAGTTAATAAGCTTGCTTTTGTATTGCAGAGATATGTGGCAGATATTGGGAAGTCATGGCCTGTATTAATCGTCTGTGGAGGACTATTACCTCTATTTTTGTCGGTGATTTGGCTGCTGATGATTCGACACTTAGTTGTTGCCATGCCATGGGTTACAGTTGCCCTCTTTAATATACTCATAATTTCAGTGACAATGTTCTACTACCTGAAAGGTCAGTAACTCAGAAGGTTTCCTTTTACTTTTCACTGCTGAGCTGACATGGTTTTAGATTATAAGCAAGACTTGGAAGTGATTTGAGTACCGTGAGTTGTAGTCATCCGATCTCATTGCGTCTCAACGCAACTTCATAAGGGTGTTTTGTCTGATTTTGATATAATCTCTTAGCATTAATAAGAAACGAGGCATTGGAAGATTATTTACATGATCAAGTGCTTCCTCCTGGAATATGATTGATAGCAGTCCCACCTATTTTATTCATTCATCTGTGTTACCAGTTTTAACTGCAAATGCTTTTTAGTTCTAGCTTGAGAGTCTCCTTGATTTCCCCCCTCTAATGACACCATTTCTTTTGCTGATCCTTTTCTTACGTTGATCACTTTGCAGCTGGATGGATTGGAAATGATGCTATATCCCCAGTCATTGGCCCCCCTGATCCATACTATCATGTGTTTGGTCGAGTAGGTTACTATATCAGCTGCAGTGCAAGATAGTGTCCTTGTCCGTTCTCCGTGCATGAAATTTATGGTATCTGTTTCTTAATCCTATAATTTTTTCCTTTCAGGAACTTAATCACATCCGCGCTGTTGCTGTTCTCATGACCGTAATCATGGTGGTCTCTGTCCTTACATCAATTGCCATAGCGCGACGCATACTTATGGCCACATCTGTACTCAAGGCAAGTCGGCCATTTCTGGGCATGTTTAGAAATTGAATTTCCAGCTAGGTTTCTTCAGGGGTTGACATTTTGTTTCCAAAGTGAACAAAACCTGGTTGAATGAAATAATTGGTTTTGATCATTAATGCAGGTGGCTGCAAAGGTGATTGGAGAAGTTCAGGCGCTCATAATTTTTCCAGTCATACCATATGCCATGCTTGCAATATTCTACATGTTCTGGTTCGCAGCTGCTTTGTATCTATTCAGCTCTGGCCAGATTATCCAGAACAACTGCGACAACTCAAACTGCTGCGCCTACGATCTTGTGTCGAAACGGGTGAACTGTGACCGTTGTTGTGGTTATGGCATCCGTTACACCCCTCATATTGCTATGGCCATCGTCTTCCACCTGTTCGTATGTTACTGGGCCACCCAGTTCGTCATAGCTTCCTCTGCAACTGTCATTGCTGGTTCCGTTGCATCCTATTATTGGGCTCGTGGTGACAGCTCGGTAAGCTGCTCACTCCTCTTTTGCCTCTGGCATTACTAATGTACAGAGCATTTTATCTTGTAGATTAGTGAAATATCCTTGACCACACTATTGCCAAATGATATGCAGCCAGAGATTCCATTTCTTCCGGTTTTTGGCTCTATGAGAAGGCTTATGAGATACAGCCTTGGGTCAGTTGCCTTGGGCTCGCTGGTGGTCTCGTTTGTGGAATCCATACGCTTCCTCCTAGAATCGATTCGCCGCAAGCTGAAAATCGCCAATACGACACCGGACAGCTGGATTGGGAAGGCGCTGCACCATACCTCTGGATTTTGTCTCAGCTGCATCGAATGGACCTTAAAGTCGGTGAACCGCAATGCTTATATTATGGTAAATGTTTGAAATAACAACTTTTTTCCTAACTGTGATCAAATAAACTGCTGTTTGTTTGGATCTTCGATACAAGTCATAATTTTGATGGCATGCAGATAGCTATTACTGGGAAGAGCTTCTGCCGGGCTTCTGGGATTGCAACTGAGTTGATCATCAACAACATTTTGAGGATAGGGAAGGTGAATGTGATCGGGGACATAATTCTGTTTCTGGGGAAGTTGTGTGTGAGCCTTTCGAGTGCTGTCTTTGCATTCCTGATGTTGGATACACACAAGTACAGATCTTCGCATAACAAGATCTCTTCCCCACTCTTCCCTGTGGTGGTAAGAACTAAGAAACAAGTGCTTGTTTGTTTCAGTTTGTTGAGATACTATATTCTTAACTTGCCAAACTTTGGCACGGCTGATAATGTCCTGTCAAAATATGGCAGGTATGCTGGGGACTTGGGTACGTGGTGGCGACACTGTTCTTTGCGGTGGTGGAGATGTCGATCGATACTATCATCCTGTCGTTCTGTCAGGACTCGGAGGAGCACCAGGGGACGGCGCAGTATGCTCCTCCTCTTCTCATGGAGACACTGAACGATCAGAACGAGATGCAGAGACTAACTCAATGAAGAAAAGGTGTGTTTGCCATCTATTCTTTTGATGGTTTCTGAAAATGTACAAGTAGTAGCAGTAGTATAAGTAGCTTTACTAAGTTGATTTTGAGAATCTAGACTAGTAAGCGTTACTATTAGTTAAATTACCAAAATTCATATCCTTTTATATCTCGACACCATGAAGAGTCTGGTTACAGTGGTGGTATGAACAATTTAGCAAAAGGAGTAGAAAATGAAAGCCCTCAAACAGGTCCATCACCGCTTCTCCCAACAACTCGAGTTATTGGGACCAATTTTTTCATGACATGGTATCAGAGTCTAGAACCAAAAGGTCATGTGTTCGAATCTCCATGACTCCTGATATTAATCGTTGTCTTTCAAGCGCATGGTATGCTGAGCCTGTGCAAACTTCAAGTCCATGGGTTGGCTTTCGTTTGAGGAGACGTGGGCGTGTTAGAGAGTGGTATAAGATCCAGCAGAACCTTCTCCCAATAACTCGTGTTATTGGGACCAACTGGTTCATGATATCTCTCCCTCTTCAATCCCAGCAATCGTATCATACAACAGCCGGTTCAACGTCTCCGGCAACAAAAAAGCCAGTATCGCCCCGACCTGCGCCGCCTGCAATGCGCACCCCATCGTCGCGTTCCTCACCACCGTCGGGAACAGCTCCGCCGCGTACACATACAACATGTTATACGCGCCGGCCATCCCAAACACCCCCATCACCCCACACGCCGTCCTCACCACCTCCCACGCGCTGCCCCCGGCGCGTCCGGTCACCACGCTCCCGACAATGCACGAGACCCCGCTGAAAACCTGAGTCGTGATGGCGAGCGGTTTTCGCCCGACCTTGTCGAGCAGGACAGCCGTCAGGGTGAAGGACGGCATCTCCGCCGCCGCGTTGACCGCCACGTTGGCGTAGAGGTTGGTGTCGAGGTTGACCACGTTGAGGCTGAGCCCGTAGTAGACGGTTGACGAGAGGAAGCAGACCGCCATGCCGAGGAGGAGTCGGGTTCGGGTCACGGGCGACCCGAGGACGTCCATTAGGGTACCCGTGGTTATTATTAACGCCGTTTGCTCGCTCTCCTTCTCGTTGCCGTTACTGCTTGTGTCTTCGTCCAGTGATAGAACGACGCCGTTGGGGATGCTGTTTCCGTTGGACTCTGCAATCGATCGCATCACCTTCATTGCTTCCTCAACTCTCCCGCGCACTAGATACCTAGAAAAACGTTCATGCGTTATAATATAGAAGACATATATAATTTATGCATGAATTTTTATTATTAATCGTAAAAAAATTTAAGTACATGCATATGTGTCATCCATCACCAAAAGTTCTAATAAATCATTCAAACTATCTCATAAAAATATATTATAAATTTATTATTAAATTTCGAGTTAGTAATTAGGGTGGCAAACTATAGTGGACCACATAAAACAGGCAAGGAGGCTGAAAAAAAATTAAAAAAATAAAATTAGACATTTTCCTTAATTTTTTATAATTAAAATAGTGAATTGCGGATTAGTCGAAAGAGGCTAACTATGTTAGTATGGGGTGTAACGTAAGATCCATTATCATTGAAAATTGTCCAACAACTCATGTGAAAGTGAGATGAACTGACTGTTGACATGTTATCATAGCTTTATGTGAATCTCAAGTTCGAATCCCGATAGTAACCCCACATCGGTAAGCACATAATGTCTGATCATTGTGTAAACTGCAAGCTTATATGAGTGGCTTCCTTTTAAAAGTGTGTACGTGAGCTAATATGGTATAAGATCAATTGTTGAACCCCTCCCAATAATTTTAAGTAGTGGTTATTGAGTATTGACAGATTGATCTAATTTCATGTAAAACCGCGCACTAAAAATCATTCAGTCCATCCCTAACCGTCCAAACAGATAGATAAACAATGATAACAATAAATCATCAAGTTCTAGTAAGATAAATCTCTACAACGTACCAACGTGGCGACTCGGAGATGAAGGGCAGGGCGAGGAAGAGGTAGGCGACGGAAGGCAGCGAGGAGGCGATGTAGAGTTGGCGCCAGGGTTGAAGGAAGTAGGCCAGGGCGGAGAGGAGGCCGATCCCGGAGGAGAAGAAGTAGAAGGAGGACCCGCCGGCGGTGCCGCGCTTGGTGGGACCGACGGGCTCGGTGGAGAGGACGAACGCGGCGAGGCCGACGCCGCCGCAGCTGATGCCGGTGAGGAGGCGGACGACGAGGTAGGCCCAGTAGTTCGGAGAGAACGCGGTGAGAAAGCCGAGCACGGCGTTCATGATGGAGACCACGGTGAGAGATCCTTTCCGGCCCAGCGTGGCGTCGGCGAGATGGCCGAAGGTTCCTGCGCCTGCAACATTCATTTTCACATATAGCTTTGCATTTTAGCATTGCACGTTACGTTAGGAGATCATAATTAATGTGGCTTCTGTTAAATATGAAAGGTTGTCAAACCCGTGGACCAATCGCGCGCGGTATAGGTTGAATCGTGCTAATCGATCGGGCTCGAACTTTTGCACGACGAGGACTGGGAATCCGCTTGAAAGTCCGCTCCCGGATTTGGTTAGAATCGGGAAAGTTTTTTGATCAACTTCGGAGCAACCCAACCTCCGGTTAATCCGGTGGAGCCAGGCTTCGAGTAAGGTGAAAATAGGTGCAATAACACGAGTACTTCTGAAGAGGTTACTGCCGTCTTAATCAGGAAACAGGATGACAAATTTGGTCTTCTTCATCACTTGTTCAACGTAACCCGACTTGCCTAGAGAGTCTGTTTTGACACGGCTATTACTTAACCCTGTGGTCGGAGTAAGGCGAGCATGGGTTTGTTATGCCGACTTGCTCCAACCTAATCTCATATATTTTTCCTTATCATGTGATATATAATAAAAACACAAATATTTTCAGTCTTATTATCTCATATTTTAACGATAGTTACAATCAATGTTGTGAGCTCCCACTCTATAATATTTAACCTCATTATTATTACTAATTAGTCAACTCCTCTAAAAAAAATTAAACTCACGAGAAATTTGAAAACGACAGGGATATTAGAATTTGGATTAACATACCTATCATACACCCAACGAAGAAAGCAGCCTGGACAAGCCCAACCTTGAACTTCTGCCCACAAACCAGCCCCCACTCAGCCACAATAGTCCCCCCAGGCCCATCGGCCCATTCCCACGACCCGGGATCCAGCCCACAAACCCCCTGCGCCACCGCCGCCGGGTCACACCCACCACCGCCGCCGCCGCCGCCGCACCGGAAGTCCGGCTCGCGGTCGGTGAAGACCATGACCATGGTGTGGAACGCCTCCAGAGTCAACGCCAGGTTGGTCAACGCGAAGTGACGGAGCTGCCACCACCCGAACTCGCCGCAGTGCCTCTGCAGCATCTCGTCGATGGTCAGCCTCTCGGGCCGGGCCTTGTCGCCGGCTGGATCCGGGCCCGGGAGGAGTGGGTCCCGGACGCCCGCCGGCGAGTCGTTGGCGACTGGTGGCATCTTTGTGTGTCGATCAAATCGTGCTAGGCTTGTTCTTGGGTATGTCAATTTGTGTGTAGAAAGTAAGAAACAGAGAGCATTATAAATAAATAAAAAAGTAAGAAACAGAGAGATAAGAGGAGGCAGAGAGTTGAGGGTTTTCAGCTGGTGGGATTAAATTATTGGATCCATTTTTTGTCACCAAGCTCAGCGAGACGTGTGATATCCCTGCGAACAGGCTGATTCTCGTTTTATATTTGTTTTTATTTATTTTGGGGTTTAATTGTTAATAATTGTACTTTGAATATTTCTAGGGTATAGCCGTATTAGGGCTGCAAATGAGCCGAGTGGAGTCAAGTTTTACTCCAGTTTGAGCTCGACTCGTTAATAAACGAGTCGAGTTCAGCTCCTTTATTAACGAGCCAAGTCGAGTCGAGTTCAAGCTAGCTTGTTTACTAAAATCTTGCGTTTTATATGGTACTTCATTTTGTATATCATGATACATATGATTTATTTTGTTAACTAATCTCATATTATACTTTGCTGGTATTATATATCATTTAGTTAATAATTTTAACTACTCCAAATCATGTTATTTCATAGTATCGAAGCAATCTATGATACATAATTTCTTAGTAAAGTAGAAAATAAGATATATTTGCTCACATACTCAACGTGTGTTAAACTTTATATATGGTGAGATATGTAATGTAACAACCATATGAATTAAAATCATAAGATATAGATTGATTTGTCCATAAGTCGATAATCGAGTTGGCTCTATAGCCACATGTTGAGACATATCATGAGCTCTAAACGAGCCAGCTCACGAGTTTAGCTCAACAAGCCACCGAGTCGAGCTAGCTTGCGAGCTTCACGAGCTGAACAAAGTTTAGTTCATGTTCGGCTTGTTTATTAACGAGTCGAGTTTCGAATGAGCTTTTCTCGAGTCGAACGCCGAGCCGCTCGCGAGCAGCTCAGCTCATTTGCAGCCCTAGCCGTATAGGTACAACATTAGTATGAGACAATAGGTTATAATCTAACACCGTTGACCGTTAGTCAACATGATATGTCATTGCATCATCAGCCTAAAAATCATTAAAAATTTCAAATTCAAATTATTTGTTTAATTATTTATATTTATCAGTATAAATTAACCAAAAAATTAAATTATAATTTTTTTTTTGTTTTTTAATTTTTTGTGTTAATTTGAAAATGATAAATAATAGAAATTAAGAAAATAATTTTACTTGATTTTTAGGCTGACTAGGCAATGACTTGACGTGTTGACTAACAGTAAAAGGTGTTGACCGTTCAAATTGACGGTCAAACCACGTATCGGGCCAATTGAGTCTATATGCTGCATAGTTGAGGCCAGAATGTTAATTTCTAAAACCACGGGTCAAAGTTGACTATAGGATCATAGTTCGGACCAAAATAATGTATTAACCCTTAAATTAATTAGTCTAAATTTAAATTTTGCTTTTGATAATTAATGAAATATTTTGATTTAGAATTAATTATCCTATCAATTATTATTATTATTTTTTATCCAAGATAAGCCTCCAGGACATGGCTGCTGGACAACAGAAATACAAGACAAATAATAATAAAACACACAAATAGCCCGTATGCCACCCGATTCTCGATGAAATAGCATGTTATGCCACAGATGTGGGCAGCTCCACGGACAGCTCCATCCATTATTTGATTATAAGACATTATGATAGCTCAACCAAAATTAGACACCATTAACGAAGATGGGTTCCTTGAGAATAGAGGCGACACAGTCCTTCAACGCATAGGAGTTGGTGTAGCCGTCTTCCTCCTTGTAGATCACATCCATCGCCCTCGTGAAGTTCAGAATCCGATCCATCAGCGCCGCCGCCACCGCCGTCGGCCTCAGGCACCCTTTGTTCAGCTCCTTCCACGCTTCCGCAACTCGTAACCTGAACAGCTCCACCACCACCTCCTCCGTCACCCCATGCTTCTCCATGTAGCACTCGACGGCCGACGGGATGTGCTTCCTCTCTTGCTCTAACTGCAAGCAATGAAGTCAAAATTCATCATCTAAAATCGTAAAAGCGTAACGTTTTAAAGCGTGATTTTGACTACATTGACGGTATTTGCAGGGAGCGGTGACGATTAGGATCCAAATCCATACGAATCCAATCCAGTCCATCCACCAAATTATCCACCTAATCCAAATCCAATTGAATTGGTGGATTGATCCATGGATCCAAATGACAAATTACAATTTAATACCTATATTTTTTATATTTCACTTTTTTGGTACCCAAAATTCATTTTTTATACGAGAAGGCAATTGAAAAATTACGTTTTGGTACCTAAAATTTTTTATCATGATATTTTAGTACCTAAACTTTTCAAAATTTACATTTTGGTCCAAGGCTTGGATGTCATCTGGATCCATTGATCAATCCACCAATCCATTTGATCCATGAATCCACCAATCCATGGGAGACGACGAACCTTGTGGGAGACGATGTCGTCCATCAGCCTGCAGACGGTGGTGGAGGCCGTGAGTACGTCGGGATCGCCGGAGAGCCACTCGAAGGCGTCTTCCGAGGCGGCGTCGGCGCCGGACATGCCGAGGAACGAAACGGCGATGAGCAAAGGGTAGCAGGTGGTGACGAGTGAGACTTGCATGTACTCTTCTAGCGTCGGGAAGTAGTTTGCATCCCTCCACTTGGCCTCCGTTAGGTACGCCGTCAGCGTTCTGTCTAGCTGTGCAGGGGAGATAGCTAGAGATGGTATAAAACTGAGGGAGTTAGGAAACGGGAAATGGTCATAGAAGAAAAGCTTCGTCTTACCGCCATTTTGGCGTAACGTGGAGCGAAGAACCTCCCTTCTTCAGAAACTGCATCTTCGAATTCGTTGAAGATGTAGACGAATAAGCTGTAAAGCATCTTCATGCACCGTGGAAGTTCTCTTACGAGATTGATATCCCACCTGCATCCGTCGTTAAAGTCTGTCAAACTCATATGAGGTTGAATTTTGTACAGATTCGAATACCATGCTCAATTATACAATCTTACATCAAATACTAACACATCGTCTCAAACGAGATTCGTCAGAGGATTCGAACCGAAGGCCACTCATTACCTTTCAATCGCCTGAGTGAAAACATCAAGCTGTTCAGCCGTAGCGTAGTTATCGTAAGTATCGTCCGCCAGAGACATGATGGCCAAGAACTTGGTGAGCAGAGTCCTGCCCAGGCAATACTTGGGCTCGAAATACACTCCCATGATCCAAAAATAGCACTCCACGATTCTGTCTCTGGCGTACGGGAAGTTCATCGGCACGTCCAAACCTTCCCACCACCTATGCACAAACAGAATTTGATACCTTTTGTTAATCGAAGACGAAGAAGAAGAAAAAAAGTTCACTCAAAGCTCTGATGGGCTTACTGCTTGATCCCCCATAGCTCTTCCTGATGGATTCGCTGAAGGACGTTGAAGTCCAACTGCGCGAACCTCAGTAAGGCGCCGTCGTCGTGGGACTCGTCCCCGGTCCGGTAGGCGTCGATGAACTGCCTCGCCTCCAACCTCTGCAACCGCTTTCGGATTGGCCGGAACAGGGCAAAGCTTACCTCCTCTGCCTCTGCCTCCGCCGCCGATGACGACGTGCCGGTCAGGTTTCGGGTGGTGAAGGCCATTGCTTGGTCGAGGATCTCTTCTCCCGGTATGCTCAGAAACGATGCTTCGTACAAGCTCAGCATTGCTGGCACGTCGGAGGCCAATGTTTGCTTGAAGTTGCCTTCACCGTCTTTGAAATTCTCCAAAATGTCTGCCACAAATTGGAGCAAACTGTCATTTGGAGTGAATTACCACACAATTTATTTGATATGTGATAAATTGTACAAAAAATGTCACGTTTGGATAAATTATAAGTAGATATATTGTTGATGCGGTACTTTTGAGCACACTTGTTCTTCAATTTTCACTAGAACATAAAAAAAAAGGACCAAAACAAGAACATCCATCATCACATCACCTGGGGAAACACGAAATCCTTGTTGTCTGAGGAGACGAAACCAAAGCGCAGCCGATTCGAGATCATTAGCAACGAGTTCGTCGACACCGGACTTCATCATGTTCGATAACTCCGCTTCAATCTCGCTCTCCAAGTGGTAGCTCACGCCTAGGCGCTGGACAGCGTCAATCAACCGCAGCTTTCGAGTCTTCTGACCCATTGTTACTGCGTCAGTACTCAGCATCTTTCTGACTTCTTTTTTCAACTCCTCGTGTTGAAACCCAACCATCGAAGCTTCAACAGCAACATCCTCCGACTGGAAGAAAACGTAGAACTCAAGCAACATCAAAGGATCGTGGAGATAATATGTATGATCATATACAAGCATATGCTCTGCTGCAGAGTTAATTTCTACTAACCTTGAGGGCGACGAAATCATCATCTGCCCAGAACGTGGGATGATAATTTGCAGGAGTAAGAGCTTCTGCAGCTTCATTTGGAGCCGAATCGGGCGACATCGAGATCGATCACTGCGATCGTCAAGATTATTCTTACTCTGTTTTTTATAGAGGCAGAGGCAGGGCAACTATCTGCGACGTCACGGCGTGGATTAATGCCGCCGGTGGACAGTTGGGCAGTAGAACCGGACAAAGAAGGCGGGAGGAGCTGAAAGGGGAACATTGAATCGGCCGATTTAATTGACCCATATCGGAGAAACGCCCTCACAGGGCGCCACGCACCCTGAAGAAAGAGGCAGGGGATCGACATTTAAGAGCCCCGAGTTTGCTCCTGGTTAGCAAGTCCAGCCAGCCAACAGCTAGTTAATAACTAGCTTGCTCAAACTCAGGTAGTTCAAGAAGTTAATTTACAACCATGGTATTCATAATTTCATCATCAGAGTAATCCATGAGGCCCCGCTCCCCTCACTGTCACTGTGATATTTAATGCAGAGATTTCACCAAATCAAACACAGAATCTGGAATACAGATTGCACCAAGAGAGAAAATATACAATACAGAACACGTACAAACACGATGGGAGGTTCGATAACGGCCTCTCATCACCTTATTTTAATCGGAGTAGGGTACATTCATACGCCTCATTTTCATCTCAAACCGTCAATGAAGGCGGGTTCCTTGAGAACAGAGACGACGCAGTCCTTGAGCCAGTAGGAGTCGGTGTAGCCATCGTGGTCCTTATAGATCACATCAATCGCCCTCGTCAGGTTCAGAATCCGATCCATCAGCGGTGCAGCCACCTCCGTCGGCCTCAGACACTCCTTGTTCAGGTCCTTCCACGCGTTCGCAGCTCGCTCCTCGAACTGTCTCACCACCACCTCCTCTGCCACCCTGTGCTTCTCCATGTAGCATTCGATGGCCGACGGGATGTGCTTCCTTTCCTGCTCTAACTGCATATGCAATCGAGCTACATTATGATCATAGCACATGACGAGACACATACATCACTTAGATGTTTTTTTTTTATAATGGACATACGCCACTTAGGTCGATGAGGAAGACGTAAAGCGCGCGAACGAACCTTGTGGGAGACGATCTCGTCCATCAGCCTGCAGATGGTCGAGGAGGGTTTGAGCGCGTTGGGATCCCCGGAGAGCCACTCGAAGGCCTCCTCTCTGGCGCCAGCCATGCCGACGAATGAAACAGTTGCGAGCAACGGATAGCAAGAGGTGACGAGTGCAACTTCCATGTACTCTTCTAGGTTCGGGAAGTAGTCTGCATCCCTCCACTTGGCCTCCGTTAGATACGCGTTGAGCGTTCTGTCTAGCTGCAGGTAATGTTACCAGCTAATGGATACTGCTGCGAAAAATGGAATAGTTACGAAACATATGCCCTCAGGCCTTAACTTACTGCTTTTTTCGCGAATGGTGGAGCAAAAGACCTCCCTTCTTTAGAAACAGTCTCTTCAAATTCATCGAAAATGTAGGCATATAAGTGGTAAAGCATCTTCATGCACTCTGGAAGTCCGCTTAGGAGATTGACATCCCACCTGCGCTCCAAGATTAAACCATCCCCCAATTTTATATTGATCCTAATCTACGTGGTTCGACTAATTCAAGCAATATATATACCTTTCGATAGCCTGAGTGAGAGCATCTAGCTGTTCTGCTGTAGCGTAGTTATCATAAGTATCGTCGGCTATAGACATGATGGCTATGAACTTGGTGAGCATCCTCCTGGCCAGGCAATACTTAGGCTCGAAATACACTCCCATTATCCAAAAGTAGGCCTCCACGATTCCGTCTCTTGCGTATGGGAAGTTGGTCGGCACGTCCAAACCTCCCCACCACCTATGTATAACAGAATTTGATACCTTTTATAATCAAAGAAGAAGGAAAAAGCACACTCAAAGATTTGATGGACTTACTGCTTGAACCCTCGTAGCTCTTCCTGATGCTGCCGCTGGAGGATGTTGAAGTCCAACTGCGCAAACCTCAGCAAGGCACCATTGTGGGACTCGTCGTTCTGGTAGGTGTCGATGAAATGCCTCGCCTCCAACCTCTGCAAGCGCTTTCGGATTGGCCGGTACAGGGCAAAGCTTACTTCTTCAGCCAGCTTCGCGCTCATCGTGCCAGCAGCCGAGGATGAACGGAGGTTTTGTGCAGTGAAGGCCATTGCCTGGTCCAGGATATCTTCTCCCGGTATACCCAGAAACGATGCTTCGTACAAGCTCAGCATTGCTGGCACATCATCGACCAATGCTTGCTTGAAGTTCCCTTTACCGTCTTTGAACTTCTCCAAAATGTCTGCCACAACACATAATGCAGGACATCCGTGCTTAATGATGGTTATTACATTGTCGGTTGAAGTTTGAAGCTAAAGGGGTACATAGTATTATACCTGGTGAAACTTGGAAGCCTTGTTGCCTGAGGAGGCGGAACCAAAGTGCAGCCGAATTGAGATCACTAGCTACGGAGTCAGAAATGGCAGACGCCATCATCAAGTTCAGCAGCTCAGCTTCAATCTCTCCCTCGAAGTGGTAACTCACACCCAAGCGCTGGACCGCGACAATCAGCCGTAGTTTCTGAGCCAGGTCGCTTACTGTAGCAGTCAGCATCTTCCTCACTTCTTCTTTCAACTCTTCGTGTTGAAGTTCAAGTACTATTGAAGCATCGAGGACGTCGTCCTTCGACTGACAGAAATGTAGAAAGGTAATATGTATCTAGATGACATGGTATACTATACTGCTTTATATTTGAAATTGCTAAATATAATCTATGGTGTAGTACTAACCTTGAGGGTGAGGAAATCATCATCTACCCACAAAGTGGGATGATAATCAGCAGCAGCAGCAGTGGGGGCTAACAGCACAGTTTTGCTTCATTTCGAGCCGAAGAGGCCGAGCATGATGCATTCGATCATGATAGCAGATGATTCAAGCAAGATGTATACCTTTCGATAGCCTGAGTGAGAGCATCTAGCTGTTCGGCTGTAGTGTAGTTATCATAAGTATCGTCGGCTATAGACATGATGGCTATGAACTTGGTGAGCATCCTCCTGGCCAGGCAATACTTCGGCTCGAAATACACTTCCATTATCCAAAAGTAGGCCTCCACGATTCTGTCTCTTGCGTATGGGAAGTTGGTCGGCACGTCCAAACCTCCCCACCACCTACATATAACAGAATTTGATACCTTCATTAATCAAAGTAGAAGAAAAAAGTACAATCAATGCTTTGATTGGCTTACTGCTGGATCCCTAGTAGCTCTTCCTGATGCTGTTGCTGGAGGATGTTGAAGTCCAACTGCGCAAACCTCAGCAAGGCACTATTGTGGGACTCGTCGTTCTGGTAGGTGTCGATGAAATGCCTCGCCTCCAACCTCTGCAAGCGCTTTCGGATTGGCCGGTACAGGGCAAAGCTTACTTCTTCAGCCACCTTCGCGCTCATCGTGCCAGCAGCCGAGGATGAACGGAGGTTTTGTGCAGTGAAGGCCATTGCCTGGTCCAGGATATCTTCTCCCGGTATACCCAGAAATGATGCTTCGTACAAGCTCAGCATTGCTGGCACATCATCGATGTTTGCTTGCTTGAAGTTCCCTTCGCCGTCTTTGAACTTCTCCAAAATGTCTGCCACAACACGTAATGTAGGACATCCGTGGTTAATGTTAATCTTTACGTTGTTGGTTGAAGTTTGAAGCTAAGGGTTACAATTACATAGTACTATTCTACCTGGTGAAACTTGGAAGCCTTGCTGCCTGAGGAGGCGGAACCAAAGCGCAGCCGAGTTGAGATCATTAGCTACGGAGTCAGAAATGGCAGACGCCACCAAGTTCAGCAGCTCAGCTTCAATCTCTCCCTCAAAGTGGTAACTCACACCCAAGCGCTGGACCGCGTCAATCAGCCGGAGTTTCTGAGCCAGGTCGCTTACTGTAGCAGTCAGCATCTTCCTCACTTCCTCTTTCAACTCTTCGCGTTGAAGTTCAAGTACTACTGAAGCATCAAGGACGTCGTCCTTCGGCTGGCAGAAATGTAGAGAGATGACATGGTATACTATACTGTTTTACATTTGAAATTGCTAATTATAATCTGTGTGAGTAGTACTAACCTTGAGGGTGAGGAAATCATCATCAACCCACAAAGTGGGATGATAATCAGCAGCAGCAGTAGGAGCCAACAGCACAGTTTCTGCTTCGTTTTGAGCCGAAGAGGCCAAGCCTGGCGCATTCGACATCACTGTGGTACTTTGGAGATCAAGCTCAAGCTTATAGAACTACTACCAGCTGTACTAAGTGTTATTGATGTGGTCGTAAGGCCGTATATTTATACATGTCCCTCAACTCTGTTCTTTATATACTGTAGTGATAGACGCAATTAACTTTAATCCCACGTTTCTGCAGTTTACTTGAGGAAAGGAAAACGAACGAGCACATAGGGGTAGCCGCCACGGTGCGACGGCGATGTCCACCTGATTGAAGATTTTTTGGGGAAAAATTCGTAGTATTATTGCCTAGTGGATCTGCTGGAAACAGAGTATTACTATTATCACATTAATTTAAATGGGCTGGGAGGTTGAGTTTGGCAGGGGAGATTCAGGCTCTTTATGCAAGTGGATACCATTTCTTTAGCAGAGGTATCAAATTATCATTATTGCATCAATTCATTGTTCCTAATCTGCCTCACAATATCAAGAAATATTGCACAACATAATAGCCAATAATAGTATTCCAGAAATATTATTTGGTTTCTGCATTTCGAAGTTGATGATCAATATGTGGAGCAGTTAAAATATGATCACCCTTCAATAGTTCAAAAATGAAACAAATGCTCTCCAAGTGAAAGTGAAAGTGGGCTGTGTCATCATGTAACCACCCAAATAAGTGCGAATAAAATATTTATCAACCCAAGGTAAACCCACATTAATCATCCACGCATAACAGTTCAGGTTATTTGTAGATGAGTCTGCATCAAACTGCAGTTCAATCACCCACTTGTCAACCCCTAGTTAACTTAATTCTCACTAAACTACTATGTCCATATGATTTAGATGAATGGGTTAACTACATGATTTCTAAGGTCATGCAATCAGCCATGCTTCCAATTATGCTGAAACCTATTCTGGTTGCGGTGGCTGAAAGCCTGAAAGCAAAATAACATGTAGCACGTTGGAGCAGCAGAAATTAGAGAAGTATGGAAACAGTACATTTAACAGAGTGAAATCCATGTATATAACAAATTGCCATTTGTGACAGTTATCATACACTTTTTATTCTGCAGTAAAAAAGAGATACCAGATAACAAGACAAGATCAAAGCACTTAGCCCAGTTAGATGGACCTTCTTCTCATACATTTAGAACAAACAATCATCATCAAATGCACATCTGTGTTGTATATGTTCTTTCTTTTCCATATTGTGTATGTAAAGTGACCTGGTATAGGCTGGCTCTCTTGGATCGAAAGGATTATTCTGATACAGGACGTGCCTCAATGACTTTAGGTTACCTTCTTCTTTCCGAACAATAGACCCAATGAGTAGGTATTACTCTTTTGCTTAGCAGCTTCCACCCGTCTCGCACCAACCTGAACAAAGTTTTCGGCGGGGAATTCAGTTAAAGGTTGGTCATACATTTAAATGGACTGAAAACGCATTCTCGAAACCTCTACTGGTAGGAAACCAACACTGCAATCGTCTCTAAACGTGAGGCTAAATGTTTGAGGTCATAGAAGATATCTTATCCATAAGCCAGAAGCCAATGGCTGGCATGTACTGCACTAGGTACATAACGGCTAACACGGGCTGCAGGATACGGGAGGAGTTAATAAATTGTTAAGAAACATTAATAATATTAAACAAAGAGAATAATATGAGTGAGCGAGTGAGTGAATGCTGCCACGAATGCAGCACCTGGTTTGATATCCAAACTTCCTTCAAATTGTGGCTTACAGCAATTATTGTCAGCTCTGCACATCTTTCGGATGACAACTTCTGTAAAAAGTTACAGCACTAGTGAGAGGTAGAAATGAATCATGTACTGAACGAAGGGACTTGTTGCACAGTTGAAGGTCTAGACTTTAGAAAGCTATTAACTAGCAAAAACCAAGCTCATCTGGAAAGAACCAAGAACAAACCTTTTCTGAGTTTGATGCTCCAGAACCAGTCTCTATTGGCCCGGGACAAACAATGGTCACCTTTATCCCTTTTGGGTAGAGCTACATCGGAAAAAATTGTATCCCACCATTAGATGCAGGCATAGAAAATGCAGTTCACATCATTGCAGGAGTCATTAGTTTACAAATTAACAGTTCACATCATTGCTTGTAGCCAAACATCTCTTGAATAAAACATGCTAAGACAACAAAATTCGACTGTCCAGAAGACTGATGGACCTCCTTTCTCTAAAAGTTTGTGTACAACACGAGTAAAGACAGAGTTTTTTTATAATTGCATCAGTATTTATAGAGGTATCAGGTTTGAATCCCTTATGTAGCACCTAACAATAAAAAACAAATCTATGTCCCCTTATAAAAAAACAAATTTATGGAGGTACATTCATACATATGAATCGAGAACCAATCCAAAATGGTCGTAGGCATTTCAAAATTATAGGATAAAGACATGGTTACCCTATACCTCAGAACGCAAAGAATGGAAGTATCCATTCAGAGCAAACTTGGTAGCAGAGTATACAGCCTGACTTGGCGCAGGCGTCTTGCCTGCAGCACTGCTCATCTACATAAATTTAGGCAAGCAAGAAGAGATCAACTAAGATTTTAAGGGAGAGACCAAATTTCGAAAAATTAAAGAAATGAAACTAGGAATCATTAACCACCACCCACCACAACAAAATGGCCGCCACCTCGTCTCAGCATGAATGGGGCTAGCAGCCGTGTCAGAGATATTGTCCCCAGAACATTGACGTTGAATGTCATCTACTTCCAGGGGGGAAAAATTATTCAGTATGCAAGTATTCATACAATGGAAGCTCAAAACTATGTATCTCATAAATCTTTATGTCATGCCCAATCATCAATTGCATAGTACCAAGCTGGAGAAACCTTTTTTTCTTCTTTTCCCCCTTAAAGGAACCAATGCCATATAACTATAGTAAGACCAAAGAACTGCCTTTCATTTGATACCTTGAGGATTTCTTCATCTACATCCAAAGCTGGTGTTTTCTGCCAAGGGAATAACAAAATGAGTGAAAAATAAAGGGCACCATGATTGTACTTGTGCAAACCATATTACACAGTTAATAAAAACTTCAAATTAATGCATCAACATTCCATTTGCCGCTCTAAAAAGATTTCTTCTTTGCCTTCATCTGTACAGACAGAATTCCACCTTAACAAAGGTACATGAAGGTGGCAAATCCACTTACAGAAAACAATACAGAACGTAAGGATAAAAAAAAAGGGAAGTCCCTTTTACTTGGATCGCTCGAAAACATTGCAGTTCAGACGCATCTATTTAGGCCTGACAATTGTCTGTTATAGAGTAATACTGAAAAAGCCTAGCAATTCCAGATAGAGAAAACTTCAAACTTACTGGGCGTTCATAAGCTGCATTGTGGATCATATAGTGAACACCAGCACCAGGGAAAAGGGCTTCTGCCTTAACCACAGCCTCCTTAAGAGACTCTTCACCAGCTGTCAAATCCAAAGGCAGAATCTTTACCTCGTTGGGAGCATACTTGCCTGTAACCCAAGGTAAACATATAAGAAAGATGAGCATTACAGGGATGAACAGCAAGATAAAGCAGGGCTATCTAGCTACAGATGAAGTGAAACACACCCGTAAGCTGCTTCTTAACTCGCTCAAGTTCAGCCTCGTCTCGAGCTGAAAGAATAAGCTTGGCACCCAAACTCGCAAATTGTTTGGCCAGAACCTCACCTGAAAATGGAGAGAACAGTAGAACATCAAACATTGACATAAGCGTTGATTGAGGGAGTGGAAGAATTGAATTACCTATCCCACGGCTAGCCCCAGTAATCCAGACAACCTGATGCCATTGATGAACAGTGTAAGCCCCATTTGACAAGGAAAAGCGAAGAGGAGGAAGAAGAAGCAGCAGCAGCATACCTTATCTTCAATTTCTTCGCGCTTGACGCCTCTCTTTGACGTCAAGGTAAAATCCCCTAGGACACAACAAGAGAAATCGAAGAATTTGAGATGAGGCCAATCTCAAGAGGTGGGCAATCGCGCCAAGGTTAGCAGCAAAAGAAGCCAAGAGCTGAAATGGGTAATGAAGCAAATGATCTCATTACCTTCGGCGGTGATGAATTTGAAGAGCAGAGCAACGACGAGGAGGGAACTACAGAGAAAGAGCAGCAGCAGCATTTTTGCTGGGAATTTGGGGTGTAGAAATAATGGGGAAAGAACCTAATTGGGAGATATCTCTGAAAAGGGAGCGGGAAAGGTAAACCCCTTTTTATCTCCAGTCAAACCAAAATCGTAATTAATTGATTAATTAATTAGTACAGAATAAAGCCAAAATTTTGTTCCAGGGAAAGGAGTGTGTGCGTTGGCATTGACAATGGGATAAAGGGAATCTCCCGTATTTTCTTCTATCCGCGTCTCTGTTCTGTTCTCTTTGTTTGTTCTCTAGGAAAATAGAAAATAGGGTGGTGGTGGAGAGAAAACGCAGCCAAGCCGAGAGATATTTTTCTCTGTCTCGACTACATTAGAGGGTGGGAAGGGAGAGATGTCCGCTGCCGCAGGGTTAGCCACCGGGAGGCTCTTGCTGCTAACTACTGCCGCCACCGCCGTCACGAACCCTGCTTCTTCTCTCTTCTCTGCTTCGGCATCTCCAGAATTTCACTCCAAATCGCTGCGAGCGGCGAACCCTAATTTCAGCTACTCGCATCCGCGGAGGAGGCCCCCCTTCATTCCCAAGCCAGCGGTATTTCCCTCTTTCCTATCAGCTCCAAACTCGTAATTGGTGTTTCTTATGTTATTGCTGTATATGTGATTATGCCGTAAGTTTTGGAGAACTGGGTCTGGATTGCCGGGCTGTATTGGTTTCTGATGCAATTGAAAGGGGAAATTTTGTATCGATCTAGATGCGTGGTTTGAGTAGGAGTTTCCTTGCCGATGCTCTAGCTCCATTGTTGTGAGATACTGCTAGAGATTTTGAGCTTTTGGGTTTTCTGAAATGAGGAGGCTTTCGTTTTCCTGGTAACTAATGTTCATCAGTCAATTTGTATTCTCGCGGCCAACTCGCTAACTAGATGGAATATGCCATTGTTTTCTCCTCCTGTCTTATTTCGGTCCGCCTTTGTATCTCTTCTCTACTCTCACCCAGCTGGTTTGATCTTGCCACTGTTTTACTTAGAGTAAAAAGTGGTTTTCTTGGTTGCAAAGGTCTGTTCTTAATTGAGCATGAACTTGAATTGGACGTTATCACAACCCTGTTTAGTTAGCTAGAATGACCCTAGCAAATGCCTCTAGGATATGCTTTCTAACCGAGCAAGTGGAGTGCAGATTTCTGTACAAGAACCTACGGACTGAAGTTCCTTCTTGTGCATTCGTACTTGATACATCTGCTAGTTGTTTGTCCTATCTACTGTGAATTTTACTTAAAAGAGGGTGATCAGTCTCTAGTTTGCTTGTCGCCTAATAATCAAAGATCCGAAAGTAAAGTTGGCTGGAAAGGATGAAGGTGATATGAGAATCGTTCTCGTTAAGACCTGTCAGTCATGCCATGTATTTCTTGAGCTTGTCTGATCTTAACTCTCTACATGCAGTTGATTTTCACTAATGATTTACTATCAGGTCTGTTTTTATGTACTGGAAATAGTGGCTTTGTGGAAGTAAGAGAAGAGGCCAAGAAGATAATGATGCTATTGCTTCTGGAGCTGAGGAGGAGAATGTGGTTGCCAGGTTTGGTTCTGATGAAGAAAGTGGCATCCGAATTCCTACCCAAGCGCAGTCCCTTGTTGAAGGTTCTACTACAATTATGATGTCAGAGCCTAAACCTGTCCCTGATGTAGACTATCTACAGGTGAATACTTCTTTTTAGTATTTAGATAAGACAATCATTGATCCTATCTTGCATTTCATAAGTATTGGAAATGTAAGGATGTATTGAAGTGCCTTGATTAAAGCATGGTCAGGTATTTATGCTGAGGAATCAGATTGATTGCAACGGAATTGAATGAGCTTAATAACTCCTTTCAAATTTAATTCTTTATTGTGGCTGGGAAGATGTATATTGATGTTTGGTTTATTACAATCCCCTGTGTATGTGGCATGCATTTCCATGATTTCTTTCTTCTAAAAAGAGTTCCTTTTTCCTCACGTTCATTGCATGGCTATGGCTACTTATAAGAATCGTCAGCATCAATCCATTTTATTATTTATCAGCACATTGTTTTTTAATTAGAGTTGTTGTCTATTATGCAGGAGCTGCTAGCCATTCAACAACAAGGGCCTAGATCTATCGGTTTCTTTGGAACGAGGAATATGGGCTTCTTGCATCAGGAACTCATTGAGATTCTGAGTTATGCTTTAGTTATAACAGTAAGATTCTGTGTGTTTTGATGCTGTTGTTCACATTTCCATGTCCTTGGGACTGAATTGACAAGCTAGAACTATATCTACTAGGTGCAGTGATATTCTTGGTTCTGGATATAATGATGCTCATTTAACTTGCAGAAGAACCATATATACACCTCAGGTGCCTCTGGCACTAATGCTGCTGTTATTCGAGGGGCGTTGAGAGCAGAGAAACCAGAATTGCTCACAGTGATTCTTCCACAGAGTTTGAAAAAGCAACCGCCAGAAAGCCAGGAACTGCTTGAAAAGGTAAAAAGCTTATTTATTACCTTCTACTTATTGTTTATAAGTGTCGAGATCCAAAATGATCTCTGTTTCAGTTTTTATTGAATCGGTGATAAGCTTCCCATAGTACTATGTTTATTCATGCTAGAAACTAGAAAAGGTGCAAAAGAATTGCTCCCATCAAAGGTCTTGCATTCAGTATGTTCAGAATTGGCTTGGCTTTCCTTCCCTGCAATGGCTGGAGATTATCCTCTCTTTTATGTAGCCGTGAATTGAGGAAAAGGGGAATTAGTGAACATGCTACCCTAGCGGCTAGCAGTTACTTTTTATTGATTTGTTTGTCATTGATATGCATGTGGCTACCTACAATTCTAGCTTGGTAGAGCTCTTCTCTGTGCTAATAACTAGTTGCATCTTTGTCTTACAGGTACAGAATGTGATCGAAAAGCCTTACAATGATCACCTGTCGTTGGCCGAAGCTAGCAGGTATGCATAAAGTCCTCATGTTATTTTAATCATACAATGCCTTCAAACTTCGAGAATGGAATTTCGCCTTCTAGATATCAGTACTCAGGTTCTTGATGTTGGAAAACTGCAGGCTGTGCAATATGGACATAATCTCACAAGTACAGCAAGTGATTTGCTTTGCATTCCATGATAGCCGATTGCTAATGGAGACCTGCGAAGAGGCCAAGAGTATGAGGAAAATTGTGACTCTGTTTTACCTGGACTAAAGAAGGGTTTGTAAGATTTATAGCTGCCTACGCATTTGAAGGTTTGCATTTGAAGGTTTCAATAGAGATGGAAAAAAGGGTTATGGATATTCTTTTTGGTCTGTAAATTAGGTCATTGAGGGGGATAGATTTAGATTGAACATTTGGATACTGGAAGCCAATTTGTAAGATGATGGGGAGGCACTTGTCTTTCTAAAGTTCACCGAATTGAAAATTTGAAACGATTTTGGAATTTAAGGGTGATTTATATGTCAAATAGCACTCCTGTAGATCTGGGACAGGATGATACTATAGCAGCCTATATTCGTTGGCCGGATTTCAGCCACCGCCGAGCTGCTGTTGCTAGAATACAGTCGGCGAGTTCCACAAGGAAAACAAGACAGAGGATAGACTAAAAATCTTTGCTTTGATTTGGTGATGGTTTGTCGGATATCTTTGCCGACAATACAGTGGCCATCTTGTTCAATTTTTTAAGTTAACTGTCTTAGTAGTTCTGTAGAACGTTCACCTTTCAACAGTAACTATGATCAGTACATGTAAAGCATGCTCTAACATCATATCTTCCTGTCTGGCTCTCTGCAGCTGGCTCACTCCATAAGTAGCAATACTAGCTAGAACTTAGAACAGCAGCAGAACTTGAGAGAGCCAAGATCGATGGAAATGGATGCTACCTCTGCGGTGGAGCTTCTCGAGGCCCAGCCCCGAGTTTGGGATCACAGCTTAAGCTACATTAAAGCAATGACCCTCCAATGTGCAGTCGAGATGGAGATTGCAGATGTCATCCAAAGCCACGGCGAGCCAATCGCTTTAAGCGAGCTAGCTGCTGCTCTCGAAATCTCCGCGGCCAAGGCCCCGTTCCTCTCTCGCCTCATGCGCATGCTCGTCCACATGGGCTACTTCACACAAGTCGAGCAACAGATCGTACCAGAAGGAGGAGGCAGAGGAGGAGGAACAGAGGAGCTTTACTGGGTAGCTCCCCTGTCTCAACTCCTCTTGAAGAACAACCCTTTCAACGCCAGATCACTCGTAATCTGCTTGAACCATCCCAATGTGGTGGATCCCTGGCGCCACATGAGCGCTTGGTTTCGTAGCAGCAACGACGACAACATCATTCATGACACGGTTGAACAATCACCACCACCCCCTCCACCGTTCGCGTTCGCTCACGGTGGCAAGAAGCTGTACGAGGTCTGCTCCGCAGACGCAGGATTCGGCCAATTGCTGGCCGAATCGATGGGGGGAGACAGCTGGATGTTCAGCAGAGCCATGGTGGCTAACTGCAAGGAAGCATTCGAAGGCTTGAGCTCGCTCGTGGACGTCGGTGGAAGCACCGGAACCACTGCCAAGGTCATCGCCGAGGCCTTCCCGAGCATCCACTGCACCGTGTTTGATCTCCCCAATGTCGTCGCTGCTGCAGCAGCAGCAGCTTCTGCAGAATCCCTACCCAATTTGGACTACGTCGGCGGCGACATGTTTACCGACGACATCCCTCCAGCTGATGCACTGCTCTTCAAGGTATTAATCAACAATTTGTGCTGTCACTTTCTTACAGAGCGCGTAGTATATAATGTTTCACTTTTCTCATGAAAAAAAAAAACGAATTAACGCAGTGGGTGCTGCTCGACTGGCCGGACGAAGCTTGCTTGAAAGTGTTGAAGCAGTGCAGGAAAGCGTTGTTGAGCAGTAAGAATGGCGGGAAGGTGATGATTGCAGACCATGTTCTGGGCCATGAGAGTTGCAGCAGCGGCGGCGGCAACAGCGACAGGGGAGCATCGTCGTCGTTGCTGTTGGACCTCATGCTGATGGCAGTGGCTGAAGGTTGTTTGAGAAGTGAGAAACAGTGGGGGAAGCTCTTCTCCGACGCCGGATTCTCCAGCTACGTCATCACTCCGGTGGCCGGATTACGGAGTCTCATCCAAGTCTACCCTTGATCAGATTTGGTCACAAAGCCTAGTCGTGAATTGAGTAGTGCATCGGTACTACTGCCAAATGGATCGATCATTCATCTGTATGTTTGTTTGGGTTTCTTGCATTATTAAGAGCTTCCAGGATGTAGTCCGTGATCTGAATTTAGCTTGTACCTATACTTTTCGTATAAATTTCTGTAAGATTCAAAATAAATTTGTACTTTAATTTTAATATTCGGTGTTCAAAATAAATTTGTACGTTAATTTTAATATTCGGTGTGGTACAAACAAAGATAGAAGTGGTTTTAGGGTTCGATTCGTGGGTCGGATTAGCAATAGGGTAGCCCATTTAGTGGGTAGAAAAGCTCTTTCTTTGTTTCCGACTAAGTGTGGTTTGTATGATTTTCGTGCTTGGGTTGGGTCCAGGATGTAGTCCGTGATCTTTTTCTTCAATTAATTGATTATCTTTTGTTAAAAAAAAGCATCCGAGGAAAGAGAAAAACTACGGACACCAAATGAAATGTGCATATATTATAGATATAATCCATCTTAATACAATCTACATATCATCTACATTTAATTATATTTAAATAAAATGCCATTTTAAAAATAAAATGACAAACTTCTACATATCAACTTCTAAATGTTCATATTTGAATTCAACAAATTATTTTTTTATTTAACTTTTTCCTTGTTAATTCCCCCAAAATGTCATTTTGTTTAGAAATCGAAAATTGATCATTCCGATCATACCACTCTTTTTTCCAAATTTGATTGAATTTGACTGTTTTACCTATAGTGTTATACCGATGGTCGTCCAACCATTTTGTGTCCAACCAATATCGATTGACGATTACCCGCACACTCGTGATTTGACAACCCTGCTATAATTCGTCATATTTTGCTATGATTAAGCCTAATTCCGTTCATAATTGACTTTGCATCATCAGTTTTGTTTTAGGGCGATCGGTGGCCATGTTTGATGTAAAAAATAGTAAAGGGGCATGTTTGATAAAACGTCATAGTAGAAAGGCTTGTTATACTTATAAGTTATAACCCATTAGTGAATTAGACCATCTCCATCCACTTTCATATGTAATTGCTAAAACTTAGTTGGCATATGTTTGGCAATTGCTAATTCAATTGCAAGGATGTGAAGCCAATTGCTAACTTAGCAATCTTGCTAAATAAGCAATTTCACTTGCAATGCCACATAAGATTTTATTTACCTTTTCTGTTTTATCTTTATAGTTTAGAAAGTTAGTTTTTTATAATGGAAGAATTGTTTATACATACATATGTGTGTGGCCCCCACAATAGAAATGGCTAAAACTTTGCAAGGATGTGGATGACTTGAAAGAGCTATTGCTTAATTGTAGGGGTGTTAATCGGTCGCCGGTTACTCGGTTAAACCAAAAACCGGCCCAAAAACCGTGGTTAATCGGTTCAACCGAAACCGATTATTTGTGTTCGGTGTCGGAGTCGGTTGTCATTTCCAGGCGAAATCCATAACCGGAAACCGACGGTGGCTAACCGAGAAAACTCGGTGCACCGATAAGTAACCGTCGAATGAAATAGAAGGCTAAAGACACCCTCTGCTCTGCCCCATCCAGAAGCTTCTCGACCTCTACCAGATCTGGCCTCCCACCTCGTCCTTCAATCTCGACATCGGCATCCCAATCTCCCCAATCCCAACCTCGGCGCCCCAATCAGACATGCACCACACAATATTTCACTCTGATTCTCCGCCGAAGTTGTCGCTTCCGCCGATTAGAAGGTGGAGACAATCGAGACCCATCAAACGAAGGAAAAGAGGGTCGATGCCCGTGAAGATTGAGTGCAGATCGCCGCCGTCGTCCCTGCCTTCTTCAGCCTTGGAGGTGGACGAGAACTGGAAAGATTCGAAGCCTCCACCTTCGACGGCTCTTTCTCTTCGTCCTCTGCCACCAAATCTAGATTCGCCGCTACCATGTCCTTCTTCCCCTTCCTAGGTCAACGTCGGTTGTCTCCCTGCCTTCCAGATCGGAGATTGAGGGGCTTTAGATGGTCAGAGAGAGAGAGAGAGAGAGAGAGGAGGGGGAGAGAGAGAGAGGGATTTGGGGAAGGCATATCAGAGATTGAGAAGGAGAGGGAGAGTGAGAAGGATTTGCGGGAGAGGAATAATAATAGGCCCTCAAATCTCAATCCCCAAATTGACAATTATATTCACTTTTTGCGGTTTCACGGTTTGCGGACTAACCACACCGACGATTGCGGTTTTGGTGTCGGATAACCGACCGTGTGTATCGGCGTCGGCTTCGGTTGGGAGTTTGAGCTGCTAATTGACTGCGGTTAACCGCCCTGTCGATTCGATTAAACCGTAACCGAACCGACTATCACCCCTACTTAATTGGTTGATATGGCAGTGGGACCCATATATGAAATTGCTAAGTAATTGCAAGGATGGAGATGGTTTGCAAAATGTCTGAAACCTCTTTTGGGCCCTGTGCAGTCTTCTAATAGAATTCTCCATAAGTAAGGCCCATTGGGCTTGTGTTAGTTTCAGTTGGTAACGCCTGGAAATTGCGGGCTTACTGAGAGAGCCCAGGTTTTAAATGCAATCAGACGCATTTTCTTCACTTTTTAGTTTTTTTTTACTGATTATACTTGGTTCGCAAAGCGTCGCTATTTATCAGTCTCCTAGTTCTCGAAACATCCACCACTGCGGAGGAGCACGTCAGTCCATCCACCACCATCTTGCGCGGAACGAACCGGCGAAATTTTGTTCGAGTGGTAGAATCAATGGCGGGAGCGAGAGGAATTTTGCTGAAGCACCTCCGAGTGAAGGTGCAAGCCTTCCCGCAAAACCCTAAACCCAACAACGGCCTCTTCGGCCTCTCTTTCAATGCGATTCTGCGCCAATTCTCCGAGGCGGTTCGGGGCTCCTTCCTCGACAAATCGGAGGTCACAGATCGTGTCGTCAATTGTGTCAAGAACCTTCAGAAGGTCGAGCCTTCGAAGGTGAATGTCTCCCTTCTCGTCTAATTTTTTTTTGGATTCGAATCGAATGTGTTTGGGAAATGGAAAAATGAATACTATTTCTTATGTATATCTGTTAGGTGTTTGTGGGAATGACTCTGTGAACGGATAATTGTTGGCGTGGCGATTAGCGTTAAGCCGTTAACATGGTCTAGCCATTCATTTTGGGAATCTTTTGGTTTATGCTTAAATAGGACTGCGCGGTTAGGAGACAGCCAAGGAGCGCAGTCCATTTTACTTCTTAATTCTCATGCTTTCTTTTGTTGAATTTATGGCCCTCCCGTTTATGATTTCCTGTCGTTGAAGCTCTATGTTTGTAGAGTTTACTCTTCTGTTTGGATTTCGTATTCGGGTCTTAGCTAGTGTTTGGGTTGAGCACTGTTTGCTTGGTTGATAAGCTGGTGTTTCAATGTATAGCAACCACCAATGTGGTGAGAATTGCTGAAGCTCTTGCAATCTCATGTAGTAGAATACTCAATTGTTGCATCATGCTAAGCATACTTTGTGGGGGCATTATTTTACCAATACTTCCAAACACTCTCCAGTCTTCTTTTTCTTTACCGTTTTTCTTGTGAACTAAATTGTTCTTTGTCCCTATCATATCCTACTCTTTAAGAGAGTTTGCCTTTACAATCTACTGTTTGGCCTGAAGTTTATTGGCATGAAATGTGTACGGCTTTAGCCTTTAAGTTTGGGGTAGATCTATGCAGATAAGTTTGATGCTGTCTTTCATTGAAGGCAAATATGCTTCTGCTTCTGGGATGAATCCTGCATTTCACATCTTATTTATGGACGTTAGAATCTCTTAACTATGTTTTTTCTTCTTGTATTACCCGAGCTTGGTTGACAGACTCAAAGGGTATGGGAACTGTGTTCCAAACTTCCAATATGCTGTTTGTGCTCTAACAAACAACCCCTTGTTGCTTCTACCTGGTTCAGCTAGTTACCAAAAAAAAAAAAAAAATGAATAGCCATTTGTTTAGCTATTCAATAGGAATTCCAAGCACCCGGCATAGTTATTGAATTCCAAATGCAGCTTCTAGTCGTAGAAATGTCTTCAAAGATTTTAAATCGCCCTAGGAATCTTTGGGGTTGTTTTTTCCTTGTTTCCTTATAGATTCCTTTTGAACCGTTGTTGCCAATGGTATTTGTGGTTTATTGCGCTTGTGAATTCTTATTTTCTAAGAAAATCTGTTACTTAGTTGTTCTCTTAGGACGATGCGCTGGTGCAGTTTCACAGATTGACAACTTTTGTCTTCCAATGTTGTAGGTAACACCGAACGCCCATTTCCAGAATGATCTTGGCCTTGATAGCTTAGACACGGTGGAGATTGTGATGGCTCTTGAAGAAGAGTTCGGGTTCGAGATACCAGACAATGAAGCAGATAAGATCAACTCCATTAGTCTTGCTGTTGACTTTATAGCTTCACACCCTCAAGCCAAGTAGAGAAAACAAGCGAATCCGTATTCATCTGTTTCATGGGTTTCGATTGTTTCACCATGAACAGTTCAGCTACGCCGGTATAATGCTCCTGGTTTCCGAGCCTATTTGTCTTTGGAGGTAGAGGATTTGATTTGGTCTATCTTTCTCCTTGTTTCGAAGATTTAGTCGTGTTGTTGGTCAGCTGTTTCTGAACTCGGGTTGAAACTCGAGTGTTGCGCCTCCGTTGGAGGATATGTGATGGTGCAACTGTAATGAGCCGAATTTACTAGTTCATTTGCCATTTGGAATCCTCCCATGTCAATAAAATTTGCGTAAAAAATGTTGATGAGTTCTCCTTGTTCCAGGCATTATGGGTATATTGCATGTGTTTATCACTAGCGCTTTTTCTCGTCTTCTCTTAATGACTCGAGTTCCATTTATTTTCATTCTGAAGTGGCATGTCAGTAGGCAGATTTTACATACATCGTCTCGATCTTGGCCCTAGTCCATTGCTCCGCGAATCACCACTCTTTTCAACTTCTCAAATCGTAACCTCCGACTTGCTTGTTGGGTTCGATGATGCGTACTCGACGACATGTAAATTGATTTGTAGAAGCAAATAGCTCAAAGTCCTTTTTCCTGATTGTGTCATGGAATTTAATTTGATTAGGTTTCCTAGAAAGTCTGTGGAAATGTGGGGAGAGGAAGAACCGAAGAAGGGAAAGCGCCAGCGTGCAGTGTGGGCGGGATTGGCTAATGGAGAAGTGAGCTGCGTTCTGATTGGCTTGTTGTGGGCTGATCCACGTAATGTTGTTCGGGCCTGCTTGTGATGGTGGGCCCGTGGAATGGGAATTGGATTTTTTTTTTTGCCGCGCACTTTGGGGCAAGGCTTGAATTTGGACCAAGTCAAGGAAAGGAACACGTGATGATGGCAAGTTTGAATTGCTTTTTATTTTATTTATTTTTGGGCATAATTTGTGTTTTAAAATTACAGTCTAAAATGAAGAAAAATATTTCATAGGCAAATTTTTTTTTTCCACTTAAATTAATAAATTTTATTTTGGGTAAAAAATTACACCAATGGGGTGGATTAACCATGGTAATTTGTAGCAGAGCTTGTGTCAACTGTCAAGCAGCCATTGCCATTGACTAAGCTTGGTTAGAATTGCAAATTACGAAAGAAACTGGGGGCAATTCCACAACCTCAGCTGTATTAATAAGAGCTACTTTCGAACTCTTAGCAGCAGATTCACTAGAACCTTCTTCTTCTTCTTCTCTTTCTCACCGCGATGGCGGAGAAGAAGCATCTTAACTCCATTGCCAATCGTTTCCTCACACTCCAGCTGCTGCTACTCCTTTCGCTCTGTCGGCTCCACTTCTCATGCGCAGAGGTCATCTTCGAAGAAAGATTCGACGGTAAACAAAAAGTTTCCGTTCTTCATTTCCTCTATGCTTCCCCTGCCGGCCGGCCGGCCGCCACCATCGATCCTAACCTAGATTGATGATCTTAGGTCTCGCTTGTAGTTTTAGCTCGGTTGTTAGTTTATCTTTTGATTTATAGAGCGGAGAAGGATCCAATCTCTTCATTCCGGCGCCGGTTGACTATCTGTTGACTTTTGCCAATTATAGCTGTAAACTGAAAGTCCATTCACATGGTATTGATCTGCTTGCTGAGTTGATTCCTTTACTTTGTTGCTTCGGAGAAATGAAGAGGGTTGGGAGGGCAGATGGGTGAAGTCGGATTGGAAGAGGAGTGAAGGCAAAGCAGGAACGTTCAAACACACCGCTGGGAAATGGTCCGGCGATCCAGATGACAAAGGCACGTTTTTCTTTTCCCCACTAACCTTTCTCCTCTCAAAGTTGGATTGCTAATCAAAGCTAGAATGAAGAAGCTATGCTCTATCACTAACTTGATTATTGTTATGATGATGATGATAGGCATCCAGACGACAAATGATGCCAAGCATTTTGCTATATCTGCAAAGATACCCGAGTTCAGCAACAAGGACAGGACGTTGGTCCTTCAGTACTCGATAAGATTAGAGCAGGACATTGAGTGTGGTGGTGGATACATTAAGCTTCTCTCCGGCTATGTTAATCAGAAGAAGTTTGGTGGAGATACTCCTTACAGGTTAGGTTTTATCATGTCACTAAATCATTTCCGCTTCTGGCTTCTGGCATGTTGCTTAACCCTTTGAAACAAGCAATTCGATACTGCTGTAGCTTCACTAATTGATCACAGCGAACAATTACTCGACTCGGAACTTTTAATTTGCAAACTAACCAAATTGTGGCAAAGTGAATCCGAACTTGAAACGATATAACATTGTTTAGTCATTGGTTGGGAATCCTGTACCTTCTTGGGTATTGGAGAAAGGAGGGAACCTTACTTAACTTCATTGATGGAGTGAACTTCCTAAGCTGGAGAAATGGAACCCACTAGTTTGATTTTGCAGTTTAAGGTGTTAATATAAAAGTAACTACTATAGACATGTATAGCTATCACTCCTTTTCTACAGAGGAAGTGCTCTAAAACAAACAGCTGAGTTTGCTTGAATGACTGGATTTTGCTCTCTGCCCACCTTGAGCTGCAATGATGTTCTGATGTTTTGACTTCATTTTCTTTCTGCAGCGTTATGTTTGGACCGGACCTATGCGGCACACAAAAAAAGAAGCTGCATCTTATAGTATCTTATCAGGGACAGAATTATCCAATCAAAAAAGAGTTGGAGTGTGAAACCGACAAGCTGACTCATTTCTACACATTTGTCCTGAGGCCTGATGCCTCTTATAGCATCCTGATTGATGGTCGCGAAAGGGATTCTGGGAGCCTGTACACAGATTGGGATATTCTACCTCCACGGAAGATTAAAGCTGCCAAGGCAAAGAAGGTTGTAATTGTTTATGTACTTGCATAAGACCAGTTTTCCTGCTAATATTTGGTGGTAGTGGACTAGGACATGAAATTCTAATTCTATCATTGCCATCTTTCACAGCCTGCTGACTGGGATGATAGAGAATATATTGATGATCCTAATGCTGTCAAACCTAAGGTGCAGTTTTCTGGTCCAAGTCTTACTATTTTTACTGGTCCATGAGTTTATACAGTAGCATCACATACCCGAAATTTTTGTGTCCTTTGATAATGCAGGGATATGATTCGATTCCTAAAGAGATTCCCGATCCTAGCGCCAAGGAGGTGAGTTGCTTACAAGAACTACTTTTATTTATAACACTAAAACCAAGGAAATGAATCTAAGTTCTGGTTTTGAATGTTTGAGCCATCGATCGGTCCATATGTATGCTTACAATGTCAGATTAGAAAACTCCTTTTTCAGGTTTTTGTTTTTAAATTGTAATTTTGGTACTGTGATGTGGAAAGATTTAATCTTTTATAAACTGATAGCCATACTCTTGTTGCTGATTAGCCTGAAGATTGGGATGATGAAGAGAATGGCATCTGGAGACCACCAAAGATCCCAAACCCAAAGTATAAAGGGCCCTGGAAACCCAAGGTGTGGGCGTTTAGCATTGATAACTTCAAAAATTGTGTTTCACAGCTTGTTTTGTTCTTATTGCTCTATTTTCTGATGATAATAATAAGTAACACATTCCTCAATGCTTCAGAGAATCAAGAACCCTAATTACAAAGGAAAGTGGAGGATTCCTTACATCGACAATCCTGGTAATGTCTCCATATATCTTCCAGTTATCATTCTCATTAGAGACGTGCACAAATCTGAACTGAAAAATTGACACTAGATTCCTTTATTGTCTACTTGCAATGCGCCCAGAGTTTGAAGATGACCCAGATCTTTACGTGCTCAAGCCAATCAAGTATGTTGGTATCGAAGTTTGGCAGGTATACTTCAGCCTGATATCATGCATCTGTTTGAACTAGTGACGACTAGCTATGTTTAAAGGGAAAAACAGCTGATGGGTATTCCCGGGTGTTGGTATGCAGGTGAAGGCTGGTTCAGTTTTTGACAACGTTTTGATATGTGATGATCCAGACTACGCCAAAGAAGTTGTGCAAGATATATTGTCAAATAGGGAGGTAAGTAACTGCTCTTGCTCTCTTTTTCTCTTTTTCCTCTTATCTAAACTAATCCAGCACTAAGGTCCAGTTGAATACTTGCTTACGGTGGTGATGATGAATGCTGCAGATTGAGAAGGAGGCCTTTGAGGAAGCAGAAAAAATTAGGAGAGCTCGAGAAGAAGAGGTTTGTTATAGTTCAGAGCAGACGTGCAGTTCTTTTGTAGTCTCGAGAGTCGAGACTTTCTTATTTGAAGCTTGCTGATGAAATCTGACTTACGGTGGGGTTCAAAAATGGTGGTACAGGAAGCTCAACGAGCCAGAGAGGAAGGCGAAAGGAGAAGACGAGAGCGTGGTTACGACAGGAACCACAGAGACAAATACAGGAAGGTCAGTAAGAATATATAGCATCATCATCATGATTCCATCTCCAACTTATAGTCAGCTAATTACTGGACTGAATTCATTTCTTGCAGCGCAATCGTCACGATCACTGGGATGACTACCATGTAAGTAAAACCAAAACCCTTCCACACAAACCTTCACTCCCTGAATTAGCCCCCTTACCTTGTGTTCCAATCCTAAAACTGCAGGACGAGCTCTAAGGAAATCGTCAGCTCCATCTTCAAGACATAGCTACAAACAAGCCCGAGCAGCTCAACGAAATCTGGCAGCAGCTTCAGTGTTTCAATTGCAGCAGTACTAGTTGTTCCATTTTCTCTTTCTATTGAGCAGTAGATTTTCTTGAAGGCATTGCTGCTACTTCCATTGTTGTTGTACACTTGTATCCTATATCTCCGCGGATTAGGGTTCATACACTCCCCGGTTTTCCGATTCCAGATGCTAATAGCTATTGTAATAACAGTGATACAAACCATCTAATCAACTGAGAGTTCTTCAATCATCTCTGCAATTTGAAAGTCTGCTCGCCACTTTCTGTTATTTATTAGACCAGTATGAAGGGAGACCATACAAAAGTACTGCGTAATCGTGTTCAAAAAAACGCACTGGAATTCTCTCACTAAGGTTAACAGACGAGCACAAAATTACAGCCAAAGACAACAATTCACTTTCTTCAGGTATGGCGATCGATGAACTTCTCGATCAGTACCGAGAAAGCAGCGAACCCGGCGCAGCCGTAGCACGCGGCCTGAGGGCCGGCCCTGGCGGACATGGCGCCGCCCGTGACGCAGCCGGCGACGGCGGTGTTGGTGACGTCGTGCTTGGCGCGGGCCTTCTCGACGACGCATTCGGCGGCGGAGAAGACCAGGCCCATGAGGGCGAACGTCTTGCAGTTGCTCCAGCTCCGGCTGCCCATCTGCTTGGCGGTGAAGACGAACTGCTTCTTGGCGCTCATGTCCGGATCGTGCATCAGCGGATTGTCGAGCGCGCCGAGGAGGAAGCCCATGAAGATCCCCAGCCCGCCGCCGACCACGCCGCTGAACGCGCTCCGAATCGCGCAGTTGTTCCACACGTCCTGGGCTCGCATCTCCTCCACCGTCGGCATCCTGAACGGCTCGATCTTCGTCTCCGAGCTCGGCGAGGCGTCGCCTCCGCTGCTGCTCTTCGGTTCGCCGCTGTCCGCCATTGAAGAATCTGAAAATTTCTTCGGGGCGCCTACTCTCTTGCTTTTCCTTCCCTTGCTCCGGCGGCGATCCGCTGGTGGCGAGTGGGCACGCGATACAAGACGGAGAATCACGGCGGAGGAAAGGGTTTTGGCACCGTCGCCGTCGCTACCTGCTCAAATGAAATGAAAGGTTGGAGGCTGAATGTAGGGTTTTAGAGGTCTGAGGGGCTTAACGGGAAAGTAATAAGCAAATAAAAAAACAAAAAGGAAATGACGGAGTTTCTTTTCTTGCACGAGAGGCCACCTTCTGTTACTACAGTTAGATTGCCGGCCGTTAAACTGTTAAACAGTCGCCGGAGAAAAGTTTTGACGATCGAACACCTATTTTAAATGGCTGTTTTTTTTTGGAAATGCATCCGGAGACCTTGAGAGATATCAGATATGGCAACCGAACCAAAATCTATAATCTTAAAACCTTAACAGTCAGGAAATTTTCCCAGGCGAACTGACAAAGCAGCTTCATACCGAATTCTAATAACAGTGTAGTGGGTTCAAGAACATTTACAAAACCAGAGTATCCTAGGAAATGGGCAACCACGAGAGTTGGATCGTAATGTGGATGCGAGAGTATGAACGTTAAAGATCGCTTGGACAAGGCTCGGGGAGGACTGCTGTCTCCTGCCGTGAAACACAGACTTTCTATCTTCTTCTGGCAGCAGAACTTGGAGCACGCTGCACAGCTCCGGGTGCTGCAGGCGCTCCACCTGGCTGCCCGGAGGCTTGCTCCTCGGGCATGTTCATGGCTTGGGTTACGGCGTTCACCACTATGAGACCCAAAGGTATCACGTACATCCACTGGGGGGAAAATTCAAAAGGGATATTTATTAGCACGATTACTTGGATACTACGCTGTTTCACCGGAAGTAAATTTCTAGTGGTGTTGCACCATCTGGAGAAATTAAGAAGGATTTGAACAGAATCCTTACGTATTTAGCCCAGAAGGACCTTTCTGGTGGTGCAACCACTTCACCTTCGCCCTCTTCCCCGTTCTTCAACACATCCTGAATGAAAAGCGGAGTCCTGCAAGGAGTGGCATCATGAGTCAAATAAAACTGAATAAGCCGTGATACACTGCCAGGTGCATCGAAGTGACACTGGAATTTTCGGGCTCAATCCCAACAATACACAAAGCGACGTGGTATCTTGAGGTAAAGCATGCCCGCTTAGGTTGTTACCATGAGAGCTCCAAGACTCGTAATCCAGCAAAGCATGCTTTATGTCAAAAGCAACACAACCAAGACTGGACATTGCGAAGGGATAAGGTATAACTTCATGTGTTCAGTACTCAGCACCTAGCAACTACGGAGTAACCAACAACATTCATGAACAACGGTCAAAGAGCTTATAAAGGTTTGAACTTAACTTTATGATTGTCAAGAGTGAGGTCACAGAGGAACTGAAGCTCTATCAGAGTATATAACTTCTATTATTATTCTGTTTCAACAGCCTTCATGTTTGACTGGTGTTTTTCTACCAAATTCAGACAAGCATGGATGGGTTCAGAGGTAAGAGGCTCAATTTTCAGTATTGAGTGGATAGTGGCTCCTTAAACAGGTGGATTTGTTCCTGCATTGTTGCCTCTTCAGTTTCTATATACAGTAGGTCCATATATGGAAGGTCATTACACCCTAGTCAGTTTCTACCAAGACCTTTTTACATAATGGTAAGGACGAACAGTAAGCAATTTCGCACTTGCGTGTAAAGCAATTGCCACAATTTGTCTACGTAGAACGGTTCAGGCGCAAATGGACCTGTGATTGCTCAATGAATGAGTTGAAACATGTAGATTTGAAAAATGTTTTGATTTGGGTGCTTGATTTAGAAGAATGAGTTATTAATAATAAGCTCATGTTTCTGAATTAGTCACATGTGTAGAGAATTTCAGAATTGTTTTACAAATATCAAATTTTGGAGCAGAGAAGTTCCTATGGAAATAAGAAGGCAAAAAAATACTATACCTTGGTGCCTGCTCAGTATTCTTCAGAATTGTGTATGAGTTGAATGACCACTTTGAAGGCTGAACATATTGAAACCACGTGTTAGAGTTGCTCGGTATGATTGAAAATTAACAACGCGATCTCTAAGAAATCACCAAATAAGCAAAAACAAGCAAGTCACCCGTTGGATTATGGTCATTCATTATAAGAATTGATCAAATGTTGACAGATCAGGCATAAATGCAGTTGTCTCACAGTTCCCATGCTTAGACTTGTAGGGTTGAAAAGTAAAAGAAACAAAGTGCTCAGTTTTGAGCATCAGTGAGTCTGTGCACTAGAGGAAGGGTTTGACGCATGGAGTAAAGTCCTCGCCTACCTCACAGCAGCACAAAGCATAAACTGTGGGTTTCTCTAGCAATAAATAAGACAGTCACGGCTGCCAATTTTCCGAGGATTAGTAAAATCTTACAAATACTCCGCTAATTCAACATGCTTCAGACATTCTGATATATTATTTACACCTTACAACTTACAACTCACAAGTTCATGGACTCGGTTTCAGTTTGGTGGAAATAAGTACTCAAGAGCAAGAAGAAAAGGGCATGCAACTCACAAGTTTTGCTGGACGAGGATAAGAGCATGGTGCTGGGGCACCATAGTTGACACCCAAGATGTTAACACCATCCTGCAGGAGGGGGGAAAATAAAGGTTGAAGCCACATTATGAAGACAAAAAGCAGCTTAGTCAGACAAGTCCTAGTACACAAAGCTTTGACATTTACCACCACAACTGCCCCCGCGTATGCTCTATGGACTATTGACCAAACTTCTACATTTTATTTCCCCTATTATTTCACAGCACAATCTTTCACGCGGTATGACCGTTTAGAATGCCGGAGGACAACAATAGGTGCTGAATCCCCATAGACATAGTGTATCTACAACAAGCACATTAAACACAAGATAACTAAAAGTACAATTTATCAAACCATCAGAAGAATGAAAGCAAGGCCAAGAAGTCTCTAACGGGAACCGGGCTCAGGTCATTTCAAACCATGAGTAGGTTGCTCGAACAAGTTTACGGAGAACTTGTCAGCCGATCTAGAGAGACTAGTTTTCGAGTGAGGCAATGACAGGGACAGGAGAGTGATAAAATCCTAACAGATTCGAGTACCCCCTAGAAACGATACTGGAAACTTACCGTGTGTATCACAAAGTGCTCATCCAAAGTCTCTCTCGGAAGACATCTCTGTTGAAGGTAAGAAAATAAGTATTATCACTGTATGCAATGACACCTCACAGATAGGATACCGTGCAGAAGAAATACTCAAACGTGCAATAGACAGTCGAATTATCAACAACTTACTGCTCTCACAGATGTGACTACAAAATCCTTTCCGGGAGGACTCAATACATTAGATGGCAGCCTTATCTTGTAGAAATCATCACCATCTACCAAATTCTGCAGGAATTGCCAACGCCTTTAAGCATTAATCCGTGTTTAGTCGAACAGACTAGAAAACGCAAGCCAGGGAAAGCATCACAGATTGGAGGAAGTTCAGATAATCACCTTGAAGTTCTCTTTCTCAGCATCTGTGAGAGCATTCCGGGAGAACCGCAGCTTTGTGAGTGTCTGCAGCAAACCAGTATCCAAGAACAGTTAAAACCGTGCCCAGAAAGAAAACGAATATCATAAATTGCTTGCGATGAACAGCGGAAAATCAACGAGAATTGCTCATTCTCTGATCATCGAGACCCTCACAATACAGTGAAAATCGCCAATTACCAGAAGGATAACTCGATCGTGAGGGAGGAGAGAAAGAGAGATGACCTGGCCTCCGTGAGCGGATGTTTTGAGTCGAGCGGAGAAGGTGCCGGCGGGGGCGAAATCAGAGTCACCAAAGGCATGCTCAAGGGTGAATTGGATCTTGGAGTCGGAATCAGAATCGGAGAACTTCCTCCGAGGAGTTGGCGAGGGAGTTGTGACAGTAGTCTGATCTGATTTGGGAACCGAAGAGCTCTGCTGAGACTGAGTTTGAGGTAAGCCGACCTCGTCGTCGTCTACGAGAAGCTCATCGGACTGAAAACCGGAGTGAGAGGGCGCAAAGAGAGAGAGTACGAAGCAGAGAGTAAACAAGACCAGCAACACTCCCTTTCTCATCTTCATCGTCGTATCGCCGGCGAGTTTCCAGTTCAGGACGACACGGAGGACGACGGCTGTTATACAGTTATAGATTGTCGTTTTGGGCCTGGATCGGATTGGGCTCAAACTGGATCCGAACAAAACCATTGGACCTTTAGGGGCCCAACTACAATAATTGAGAGGGTTATTAAAGTTTACCTTTGTTTCTTGCTCTTAACCGTCGAGACCCCAAGACTGGCAACCACAGTGGCACTGTGTTGGTTTCAGTTTCGCGGGTAACCCTAGAATTGGGAATCGGAGGGAAAAATCTGCAGAAAGCAGCGAACTTTAACCTCGTGTCGAATCGATCTCTTGGCCTAGTAGGCGGGTGAAGAGAAGAGGAAGAGACAGCCATGGATGCGATGAGGAAACAGCTGGATGTGCTCATGGGTGCCAACCGGAACGGCGACGTCAGAGAGGTGAATCGGAAGTACTACGATCGTGATGTTTGCCGGATGTACTTGGTCGGCCTATGTCCCCACGAGCTCTTCCAGCTGACGGTAAATTTTGCTCTTCGGATTTTCTCTGGTGCAGTCTCCTTAGCGAGGCTCTCTTTCAGCTGATGCATATTTTCGCTAGCCCTAGTAGCTCTGCCAGTCTTATTACGGTTTTCCGCTGAATGGGGTTTTATGAATTCTGGATGGTTTGTACTCGTATTCGTTAGCTTGGGTTTCTCACTATCTCTTTTGTGCCACGAATTCAAGGGAACCAGTGTGGGTGCTTGTTACCTGTGGTATGGGGAATTGGATAGGAAAGTAGAATAGAACATATTGAGTATGCTCCAACTGTGAGTTTGTGACATTATGAATTGGAACTTGTTTTTCACACCTATGACGGTGCTTGTTTTACATGTCTGAAGTTCACGTGCGGATGGTTCTTAATGTTAATGTTGATGTGTTTGTCTGACTGTTTTGGTCTCTTCCCTTTCAGAAAATGGATATGGGTCCTTGCCCAAAAGCTCACTCGTTGCAGCTGCGGAAAGAGTATCCTTCCCCTCACATGCGCTGAAGTTTATCGACACAACTTTCTTGTTTCTTTTATCCATTTTTGTTGCTGTGACTCGTTAACTCGTTTCTAGATATGAAGAAGCGAGGGCAAAAGGTGTTGATAGTTATGACAGAGAGCTGGAGGATGTAATAGATAGACTCATCGTTGAGTGTGACAAGAAGATTGGTAGAGCTCTCAAACGTCTTGACGATGATGATGCAAAGGCTGCCATTGCAATATCAGTTACTGAGGTTACTCAGGTTCGTAGAACTTTCTGTTGTTCTATTGATGAATTGCTTTCACGGCTCTCTTGCGCTTTTGTGGAAGTGATTTTGTTTCCTGAAACTGCAGACTGAAGAGTTGAATGAGTTGTCTAAGCAGATTAAGGAAAAACTGAAAGATGTTGATAAATATGGTAAGATATGAGGGATTCAGCTAAAATCAAACTCAATTTCTTATTTTGATCTGAAGGTTTTGCTTGCGCTCCCTTAGGGTGTGGTGGTGTTGGCATCGTGTTGTTTGTATGATACAAACTGAAAGATGTTTGTATTCTGGTCATGCCTTTTTTCTTGATTGTAATGAGTGACTCTATTGTTTTATTTGTTTCAGATCTTGAAGGTAAGACAGATTTCAAAATCCAAACTCTAGAAGAAGTTGAAAAACTCAGAACTGAAAGAGCCGAGAAGCAGGTAGTTAGTGGTTCTTTCAGAATCTCATTGACTCTCAATTATGGAAACTCTGGGTGCCTCAGTATTGTCTTATACTTCATAAACTGTGTTTCTAAAGAAAATATATTTTTTGTTGACAGTCTGCACTTCTTCTGGAAGCTTTTAATAAAGACAGGGCATCATTACCCCAGCCCCTGCCTAATCTTCCACCACCTCCTCCATTGCCTGCTCCAGCTCCAGATGCACGTACTCAAGAAATGATAAACGAGAAGCTTAAGAAAGCCGAGGATCTTGGTAATATTCCAGTTACGCAGAATTGTCTTCATTAGTTAATATGATCACGTTCAGTTATCAACTTCTATTCATTTGCGCCACTCAACTATGGCCTTCTATTTGTCTAACATCACAAGTCAAACACATATGCTCATCCTTGAAGTTGCATCTTCTCAGAATTATTGCTAGGCGATTTTTTTTATGTATCAGTTTTCTCTTCTCATTCATATTTGTCGGAGACATCAAAGTTCATTGGTTACTTGCTATCATATTGATTCTGTTGTATTGAGTGCTCTCCATTTGGACTCCTTTCATGTTGTATCTGGAATTTGCAGGTGAGCAAGGAATGGTAGATGAGGCCCAGAAAGCATTAGAAGAGGCTGAAGCACTGAAGAAGGTTGGAAGTCCTGACTTTTTTTACATGAGACTAAAACTGCTTCATTGTAGTTTGTGCATTCGCTTTTCCTTAGTCGGTTATTTTTACTACATATGATACTACCTTTACTTTTGTTATTCGGCCTTGGGTTATAATCATATGTGTTTTCATTTTCAGCTGCCTGCCAGGCAGGAGCCTGCAGTAGACAGCACCAAGTATACTGCTGCAGATGTGCGCATTGTAAGTTGCTATTATCTTTCATAATTTCTGATTGTGTTCATGGCCTGAATATGCCTCTTTCTATGTGCTATTCTCCTGATCCACATTTGTATCTGTTGATCAGACTGATCAGAAGCTGCGTGTTTGTGACATCTGCGGAGCATTTTTGAGCGTTTATGATAGGTATGATGTATCTGTTGCATCTTAAATGATTTGATTTGGTAAAGCTTTTTTGAGGGAGACGAGCAATTAGCATTTGGGGTTTCAAGTGGTTCTGCTTTTGACCCAAATATTATACCTCCTTGTTACCAGCAGGCTTTTGGGCCCAGTTTTACGAGGCATACTTTTGCAGCTAAAGAATGTGCGTCTATTTCTGTTTTTATATGTTTGTAGATCATAATGTTACCTGATAATGATGGGGATAATTCAAATTATCTTTATGATGCTGTTGTAATTGGGGTTAAGAGAGAGATATTGACTTTTTGCTGCTAATTTCAGTGATCGACGCTTAGCTGATCATTTTGGAGGCAAGCTACATCTTGGCTATATGCAAATCCGTGAAAAAATTGCTGAGCTTCAGGTATGGGAAAGATGAAATCAGTACTTCATTAGTTCATTTCATCCAAGTTTTTTTTATTTCCATCTTTTCTTAGTAAATTTGCTCATCATTATATTCACGTTTGTTGTAACTTGCTCATTTCTTATAAATTCCCAAGTTCTTTGCTCTTAAAATATTTAGCATAGTTTTGATGAACAGATAACTATTCTTTTTATGTATTAAAGAGGGATAAATTTGTTTTTCTTTCTATTCACGCCTTGACGATGTCCTTAAAGTTGGTATTGTGGATATGTTGGTTCAGGTGCTGGTATAATGTTTCAAATTCTTCTGTAGAGATACTCAGTTAGTATTCGATCTGTGAGTTTTTCTGACCCCGGAATAGAATACTACTTCCTTTTCCCCGAAAATTTATATACACATTTTTGTGTAGTTGGTATCATGGTGGCAGTGGCGGAAATACTTTTGTTTTTTAAACCTATCTTCCACAATCTGTTATGGATATGATATTCTCTCACTGATGAATCTAACCCCGGGATTTGCTATTTTGTGAGTGAGCACTTTTAAGACAAATAAAATTGCTCTATCTTGGTATTGTTTGTACTTTGTGCCATCTAATTTGGTGAAACCACCCTTTCTATTATTACGAAGTGGCTGCTTGTCATTTAAGGTTGTGGTTTTCAGTAGTTTCTTCCATAATTAATATGCCAGGAAGAACGAACCAAAGTCCGGAAAGTTGAGCATCCGGAGGAACAAAGGTAAAGAATTCTCATTCTTTTCCTGCTGCAGCAGTTTTAATTTTTTTATTGCAACAACTATAAGTGTAACGAATTTGTTTACCTGACAGATCGAAAGATCGAAGTAAGGAGCCTGATAGAGAACCGAGTAGGGATCGGGACAACAGGGCGAATAGCCGCGATAGGGGTGGCAGGGACTATGACCGTAGTAGGAGCAGCAGGGATCGTGACAGGTACCACGATCGAGATCATCATGGCTACGACCGTGATCGGGAACGTGACAGGGATTCGGATCACTCTCGTGGTTATGACAGAAGTCGCAGAAGGTCACGATCTCGTTCTAAGGAACGAAGCTCGAGGGATTATGACCGCCACAGGTAGTATTCTTTTACCCATATATGGATCCAACTTCAATCAGTTAACTGTTCCACTAATGGACCTTTCATGACAGGCGCCATGATCGGTACTAGAACTATCATGCAACTGCAGAGATCGGTTGCTGTGTTTGGCTGTTGCATTAGGAGTGTTTGTGAACGCTGAGGGAAAAGGCTTGATGTTCTTGTTTGTGTTGGCTGTTGGTTGAAGGGTGGCAGTGACCGACTGCTAGATGTTTATTTCATCCGCAGATTGGACTTTGCGGGTTTTAATTTGTACCAAGCGAAGATGATAGTTTTGTACTGTACAAGTTTTTTTTCGTAAGTCTCCCCAAGAAATATATTTTCTTCTCAAGTTTCTGTTGTGTTGGTGGTGGACTTGCACAATGGCACAATGCTGCTTGGGTATGGAAGAATTGGTGCATGTTAAACTAATTATGTAGTTCAAAACTTCAAATGAAACTGCCTACTTTCCTCTTTGTTTCTTTTATATTGATAATGATAGTACCCAATCCTTCGGTGTGCATGCGTTGTAGGATCTGGAAATCTCGTAATTGAGTAATTTATAGCGTTATAAGTCACTTTCTTCTACCCTTGCGGCATAGTTTTCTCGTCGTTCTCCTTTGCTTTCATCGTCAGCTCACCCTTTTGCAATTCAGACAGTAATGCCATCCAAATCGAGACTCGTGCTTTCATCGATTAATCTCACTCTATGCTACTATGATGCCGATGACGGTCCAGTGTTTAGAGATTGCAATGCGTTTATCTTCAATTACGGTTCATTTGCTTTCATTCGATTCCTAGAACAGCGAATCGAGCTGTTTGTGAAGTGACTCCAATGATTCGATCTCAAGGTTAGCTAACTATCTAGAGGTGCCTTGTTTTTATTTCACGCAGTGAATAATGTATGTGCTGCAAACTTCTTCAATATCTTGGTTGTTCTGCCGGCCCGCTCCGCATTGTCTTTGCGGAAACAAAAGCCAAACTTCCCCCAAACCAAAATCGAATCCAACCCCAAAACGTCGGGAAAAATGGCTGCAACTTCGTCTCTGTTCCTCCGCTTCTCCCCATCCAAAACCCAAACCCTACTCCCACCGTCAAATCCAAAATCCAGCCGCCGCCACCATTGCTCCACTCCCTTCCTCCCACCAGCCGCCACCACCACCCGCACCCTCTCCCCAATTCACAACCTCCGCCTCTCCCACCGCAAACCCATCACCACCGTCACCGCCCGCCTCTCCGGCAACAGCAACACCACCACCCCGGCCACCGATCGCCTAATCGCCGCCGTCGCCTACACCCTCCCCTTCTTCAACTCCCTCCAGTACGGCCGCTTCCTCTTCGCCCAGTTCCCTTCCGTCTCCGCCCTCCTCTTCGAGCCCCTCGTCCCTTTGCTCTCCCTCTACCGCTCCCTGCCCTACGCCAGCTTCGTCGCCTTCTTCGGCCTCTACCTCGGCGTCGTCAGGAACCCGAATCTCAGCGACTACGTCAGGTTCAACGCGATGCAGGCGCTCACCCTCGACGTCCTCCTCGTCCTCCCGCTCCTCTTCGGCAGGATCTTCAACCCGGGTCGATCTGCTCTCGCCGTGAAGTTGATTGTCTGGGGTCATAACGCCGTCTTCTTGTTCACCTCGTTATGCTTTGTCTATGGCTTGGTGAGTAGTCTCTTGGGGAGAACCCCTTATCTCCCTTTTGTTGCTGATGCTGCCCGCAGGCAAATGGGGTAGTTCTTGGTTCCAGTTCTGCTTGTCTTCTAATGTTCTTTCTCAGTTATCGACTCCATTTTGCATCATGATAATCATGTAAACCAGAAAGGAGGAAACTTGCATCAGGTTGTTTGGATTCCATTTATCTTCTCGGGTTCTGCATTGTTTTCGAAACAATTCCCGGCCTAGCCTAGTCGTATGATTGTGTAATGAATAGAGAGGAAGATGGTGGAAATGTTAAAAGGCATTGCTTCTTTTCTTGTTTGCTGCACCTAGTGGTGTTGTTCTGTGTCTGTGATCAATGTGAAATGTTGGTATCTGAAAGGAAATCCAAGATGGCAGTCTATTTCCCCCAGTTTCTTTGGATGAGTTTCATGAAGCCTTACATTGTTATCTGTAGTGCTCATACACAGCTTTGCTTACTTCATTGTTCGAGTCGGGGGAAACTGGAAAGTCTCGTAACCATTATCGAGGCTGCTAGGTTACTATGTATGAGCTCAACGAATCATTACGCGACACAATCAAGTCTTGTTTGTAATGGCTGATCTTACCTTGCTACATTGCATAACCTCATTTATATGAAATGAAAGCAAGAGCTCAGTGATCTCCTTAGGCTACCAGGTTTCATCATCTGCATAAAGAAACTAAATAGACTTCAACTAGAAACAACATTGTTGACCTTGGGGGTGCAATGGCACTAATTCATTGATTGATTGATGCATTCAAACTCTATGTATACATATGTTTCTTGATCAAGGTAAAAATTGTTCCAATCCCTCAAAAGACATTGGCTCAAATTCTTCCACCATCATCAGCAGCAACCTATTTCACAACACAGAAGAACCTCTCTATACAACGAAGCAAGACGCGAGCGGCAACAACACCACTTTTGAAAGAACCCACAGGTCAAATCTGTGATTACAAACAAATCTTGGTTTCTCTCCACCCTCCAAGCCAGCAGCAGCAGCAGCAGCAGCAGCCTCCAGTTTCCACCTCCAATGGTATTCGTCTAAGAATCTGCCCTCAACTCGCCTTGATTGTCATAATGTTCCTGCAAGAAACCCACATAGAAAATGCAGCCATTAGCAAGCAATCTCATACTATATGATCAACAACTCTGCAAGCAACTCGACTGGAATGAATAAAGAGAGAAAACCCTTGAAATGCCTCAAAACAGATCCATTTTTCTCCAATCTTATGTTCCAAAATTAGGTCAGCCAGAGCATCTCAAGACAACCAAATTCCACAATTCGATTGAATCCGCTCGAGGGAAAAGGGGAAAAAAGGAGAGGAATTTCTTGGAGGGCGAACCTGAATCCAGTACAAATCGGAAGATTGAGAAGGCTGGTCGCCGTCGACACACTGGCCGGGGATCTCGAACATGGAGAAAGTGAACTGCTTGTCCACCACCCCGACATCGAAGTGAATCAACCCGGTCTTGGGGTCGTCGACGCGGATCCCTTTCACGGGGAACCAGAGGAAGAGCTCCTGCTGCAACATCCCGGAGAGCTCCTGGATCTTGCCCGGAGATAAAAGGCCGGAGACGTTGAAATCGTAGTGGAGCTGGTTCTCCAGCTTCACGTTGCAGGGCTGGGTGAGGTTTATCTGGAACCGGCCCGTGGTCGAGTCGAGGGAGAAGTTGGTTATCCCCTCCGGGAAGAGGCCGATCGGGAGGCCGTTGCGGTGGAGGTAGTCGTAGATGGTGGGTGCGGCGGCAGCGGCCGCGGCCGCGGCGGTTGAAATCGAGAGCAGCAGGGGGATCAGCAGGGCGACGAAGGAGAAACTGGGAGGAGGATTTCGCAGGGCGGCCATGGCGCGGGGAAGGATTTCTCTTTCCCGTGGCCTGTGTTACGAGGGTTTTTCTTTGTTCTGGCGGAAGAAATGGGGGCGAATTGTTTACTTTTTGTTGTTAGGTTGACGACGACAGGCAGGAAGGAACGAAATGTTTATCTCGGCCCATATAATATTCCTATTTCTGGCCCAGCATTTAAAACCGAAAAAACAGCTGGATAGACAGAGACGGGGTTTGTTGTCCTTTCTGTTGTTTTAGGAATGGGAATAAAAAAATTCTAAATTTGCCACGTAGGAGAAATGAAGGTTAGGGTTTTGTTTGTGTTTAAAAGTCTGAATTCCCAAATGAAATTTGTTAATGAATCTTAAAGACTGTTAATTGATGAACATTCATAAATTAGATCGATATTAACTAGTTATTTATAAGTTTGACATAACCATGCATCATAACTTTTTGGCTGACCACTCGTGTTTCGGAATGTCAAGATATGGAGGTTTTCTTCGTTTTTTTTAGACGACGAGTGATAAATAGTAGTAGAATATTTGACTTTTTTGAGTTTGGTTTTATTTGGTTTTATGAAGAAGGTTCTCGCATTGTGATAAGGGCAAGTTAGAAGTTAGAACGTCGATTTTTATATGTTTAAGCAGTTTCATACTTTAAAGTTTCCATATAAGGTAAGCACATCACCAGACCCCTAACGTTGTATGGGTTTATCTATTAAAAATTGTTAAGGTGAGATAACATACATAGTACCTTGTCGAAACCTTCATATTTTTGCCTCTTTTCGCCTAGAATTCTTGCTCCACCACTGCTTGTTTAGGACTCGTAATATGGATGCATATGAGTTTTGTTGTGTTCGCTTAAATATCCGAATTATTATCGACGGTTCTAATCAAATCGAGTCCTAAGTAGGCAAAATAGCCTGACCTAGTAGCTGTTTCGGCCCATAAGGGTTGAAGGCCCATGAAGCATTAGGTAATTCAACATTGGGTCAGTGGCGCGGGCAGGCCTCAACGGAACACATCCCGGCCCACCAGGCGCCCATCTCGCGCTGCGGCGAGTGGAGCACTGGGCGGCGGGGTAACTGCCGCCGTCAGACGAAGGCTTCTTTTCGACTTCTATATATAAACAAATCCCCGCCGATTGAAGACTCTTTTCCCGGCCGAGACAAAAGAGAACGACACTGCTATCTTTGATTCCACCTCCGCAGCAGGCTAAGGAAAATGGGCGGTCGAGGGCGAGGCAGCAAGTCCAGAACTCAAAGAAAGCACTTCCGAGACGGGAGAGAGAATGTCTGGAAACGCTCCAAGTCCGACTCTCCCGCCGACGGCAACAGCGCCGCCACCGCCGCCGTCGATCGCAGCTGGCAGCCTTTCGCCACTCAGAACACCGCCTTCGATGAGTACTACAAGGTACTTTCCCGTGTGTCTCCTCGGTAAACGAGGAGGAGCAGTCCTTCTGTCCGTATTTTTATCGAGTTTGTACTGATTTCTAATGTTTTTTCTGTTTCCCCTGCTGGTGAATTTCAGGAGCAAGGAATTGTGTCGCCGGAGGAGTGGGATACTTTCGTGGAGGTTCTCCGGTCGCCCTTGCCGGCTGCTTTTAGAATAAATTCCAGGTGAAGTGCTTTTCAGCGACTTAGTTTGGGGGTTTCTACCTGGTGATGATTGATGCTACTCTGGGATTCCATTTTGCAGTAGTCAGTTTTCCTCGGATATTAGGCAGCAGTTAGAGAATGACTTCACGAAATGTCTCCAAGCTGAGGTAACTCGTAGTTTGTGAGCGGCGATATTAGACTCAAAAGCAATGATGGCTTTCTCTTGCTTTGGATGATATAGCTTGTTCTTTAATGTCATTTTTTGTTTTGTTTAGGGGGCTGATGGGGCTGAAATAGAGGCTATCAGACCGTTGGCTTGGTACCCTGATAATCTTGCCTGGCATTCAAACTATTCTCGCATGCAACTGAGGAAAAATCAAACCCTTGAGAGGTATATCATTTTGCTACTTTCAAGCTACTTACTTGTGGGTTGCGCTTGTCATTAATCACTCGAGCATGGTTTATGTGTCACTGGAGTTCAAATTGGAGGTATTTTGTGGAGTCATCGTTCACCATTGAACATCGTTGGATTATTTGTTTAGAAGAAATGATGATGCAATCTGTCATAAGATCCAAGGATAGAATCTGCTTACAAAAGCACTTATTTCAATGTACCTCGCAGGGGCTAATATACATCTCATGTTATGAACTGTCATTAATGAGTAATTCTTGGAGTTTCTTGGCACTAGAACAATGGTGGAAATTGATGGTAGTATAATATGTTAGCCTTTGGTTTTGTATTATTAAGTTCTTCCAGATTACCATGTGCAAAGAGTAACAGTTTTCTATTAAGGTTTACTATTTACCTATTTATTTGTGTTGCATTTCTGATTCGGATTTTGAAAATGAAATGGAAGTTTTGAGGCTGTTCTTTATTTAATTGTCAGCCATAGTGTTTGGTTCTATTTTAATTTCAGTCGATTCACTTGAACCAGCGCATGATTTTCCTACATTATTTTTTGTTGGTTTGTGTATACTAATTAGCATATTAACTGTTACTGATGACAAGCTACTATGCTATTCAGGTTCCATGAATTCTTGAAGCTGGAAAATGAAATTGGAAACATAACTAGGCAGGAGGCTGTCAGCATGGTTAGTGCCAATTGTTTGGAACTTGTACATAGCTTATTTCTGAATTACTCTGTCTTTCCAACAAGAGCATATTACTTTCTTCTTCTGGCTAGCTACTCAGTTGTCCCAATTATGTCTTTTATTACGGAGCAGGTTCCACCACTTTTCCTTGATGTACGTCCAGAACACTTTATCCTTGACAGTAAGCATACAACTATCATCTCATTAAGAAATTTGTTTTTACTGGATTAGATATTCCGCCATTGTCCTGCATCTTTTAGATATCGGTCTTGGATATATCTCTGTTTTAAGGAGTTACACTCTAGCTTAATTCAGCTTTGTAAAACTTCTCTTACCTCCTTCCTTACCGTTACTCTGATTTCTTCGGTTTCACTGAACGCTCCTTTTCTGTTAACTAGAACCTTGAACCCTTTCCTTGCGGAGGGTGCCATCTTTCATGAAAACGTCATGTTCTATATTTAAGGTGGCATATTGAAAGTTACAGATACAATGCAGAATGTCTGACTACCTTCTTCTTGTGTAGTGTGTGCGGCACCTGGTTCAAAAACATTTCAGCTGCTTGAGATTATATACCAATCAACAAAACCAGGGTCACTTCCAGATGGAATGGTGAGTGTTACATAGCAGTTAGGCTGCCTCTGTTATAGTTTGATCTTTATTAGGCTCCACTCCATATTCTAAAATAGTACAAGCCCATTCGTCGACCTTTTACTTGTGGTTGTTTTTTCAGCTGGATTCTTCAGGTTGGTACATGAATTGACTTATAATTATGTCTCACTGTCTTCTTTAGGTCATAGCAAATGATCTTGATGTTCAAAGATGTAATCTTCTCATTCACCAAACAAAGAGAATGTGCACTGCCAACTTGATAGTCACAAACAATGAAGCCCAACAGTTTCCTGGCTGCCGCCTTAGCAAAGCCTTGTCTAAACACTCTGTGTCGGAACATGAACAAAGTATGGGTCAGCTGCTCTTTAACCGTGTTCTCTGTGATGTTCCTTGCAGTGGAGATGGCACCCTCCGCAAGGCTCCAGATTTGTGGAGGAAATGGTTAGAATAGTCTGCTATTTGTTTTGTCTTAGCTTTTTATTCTCTGGTATAATGCTCTGAATCCAAGTTTTATTCCTGATACAGGAGCCCAGGCATGGGCAATGGGCTTCACAACCTACAAATTCAGATAGCTATGCGCGGTAACTCTAGAAACCTTAATCATTCAACAATCTACACTTAAGATTTCATCTGAGCAAATTGATTATGCTATCCTTACCATGATTGAAGTTCAAGTCAAAGTGATGTTATGATGCGCTAGTATTAGATGTGTCTTGCCGTACAGACGTTACAATGGTTCTCATCCTTAGTTATAATATTGTTCGTGGAGAGGGAGGAATGCTAGGGAAAGTGAGATAAGAAATTTGCTATAATCAGAATGACAATTCTTGGTTTACAAATGCAAGGATGTTAGAACCCTTTCTTAATAGCAGGGCTATTAGGACCCTGTATATTCCATGATCCTATCATGGGAAATGTCCTGTTACGTAAATGGCGTAGTGGAATTGATTCCACCAACCAATTGTGTCTCACAAGTCCTTAGGAACAGAACTTCATGCCTTGCCAGTTAATAATTGTGGTATTCATGCGAAGTGTAAGGTGCTGTCTTCTTTTTCCTTGCTGCTTATCTGATGATGTACATCTGCGATTGAGAAGAGTGATATCCCATTTGCTAGGTGTACATTTATCAAGAGATATTAATTGTGATCTTATTGCAGTATGCGACTAGGTCTCGGGCCCCTTAAGCTCTTACTATGGTGTGCCTGATTGATACAGGTCTTGCCTTGCTAAAAGTTGGTGGGAAAATGGTATACTCAACCTGCTCAATGAATCCAGTTGAGAATGAAGCTGTTGTTGCGGAGGTAAGTTTGTGGGCTGTGATATCTGTGAGTTTTGTGGACTTTTATTTCTTTTGTCAGCAATAAAGCCTTGTCCTTTGCCTAGGTTCTAAGAAAATGTGGAGGCTCTGTTGAATTACTTGATGTTTCAAACGAACTTCCTGACCTTGTTCGTCGGCCTGGCCTAAGAAAATGGAAGGTTTGTCAATATTATTCTAGCTTATTCTTCTCCATATTAAATGATTGTTGTTGATTCTCATCTCATTCACGTGGAAGGTTTTATATTGCTAATGGTAAATTTATTTCTGGGATTGTATCTTCTTTAGCTCTTATTATTGTTAAGATCACAAACATTTTTCCATTTGCTTCAAACTGTATAAGCTGAGCACATCTCTATTTCTTTACGAGGGAGTACATTACAATTTGAAAGAACCAAGCGGTCCATGTCCAACCAACTTACGTATGATTAGTTTTTGAGGATTTTTTTGTGTGTTTCTCTAGGATGTTTGTTTTTGGACTTCATCCTGTTCGCACGGCTAAAAAGAAAGTGGACGCCAGTTAGTTCCGGATACTTGTAGTCGG